CACTACCACCTGACACCACCACTACCACCTGACACCACTACTTCCACCTGACACCACTCCTTCCACCTGACACCATCACTACCACCTGACACCACTACCACCACCTGACACCACATTACCACCTGACACCATTACTACCACCTGACACCACTTACTACCACCTGACACCACTCACCACCACCTGACACCATTACTACCACTGACACCATTACTATCACCTGACACCATTACTATCACCTGACACCACTACTCCACTGACACCATCACTACCACCTGACACCACACCACCTGACACTACTACTACCACCTGACACCACTACCACCACCTGACACCACTACTACCACCTGACACCACTACTACCACCTGACACCACTACTATCACCTGACTCCACTACTACCACCTGACACCACTCTTCCACCTGACACCACTCCCACCTGACACCACCTCCACCTGACACCCTCCTTCACCTGACACCATCCCCACCTGACACCACCTTTCACCTGACACCACTCCTTCCACCTGACACCACTCCTCCACCTGACACCACTCCTTCCACCTGACACCACTACTACCACCTGACACCACTCCTTCCACCTGACACCACTACTACCACCTGACACCACCTCTTCCACCTGACACCATCACTACCACCTGACACCACTACTTTTTTTTTTTAATTTATGGCCTCCAGCCTCCCCCAATAGCCACACCTTCGCCACCATTTTATTACCTTAATATTAAATATCCTAATGCATAAGTAGCTATCCTATCTGTGTTGAGTTAGTTGAACCACAGATCTATGCGGCATTCAGTGACTGTTGCCCTATAGTCAATATCTGCAACTGTTGTCGGTTTTGGGGCCGATGCTCTCGTTCCCCTGAGGCAGAGCAAGGCCGACCGAAGGAGAGAGAAGGACAGTCGACATCTCATCCAGGCTGTAACATAACTTGGGCTGCTGCTTCGTTCGGAGATCAACTCCGAGTCTGGCGTAGAAACATCTTGCACTTGGTCCCATCCCACCAGAGGTTGTGAACACTAGAGGAGTGCTGCCTTGATCAACGTTCTGAAATCTCTCCCCATATGCCCTTCTCTTGTCGTTCTTGTCCTCCTGTGTGCAGCATCGAAAGTTGCTGGTGACATGCGGCCATAGGATAAAAATCCTGATGTCGAAGAAGGCTCGCTGTCCCCGCGTCCAGAATCCTCGAGCACTGATGTCAACACGGGCTTCGTTGGATGTGTTTGAAGTCCTATGTTGGAAAATCTCACCGTCCAATGGAAGGAGGGTCGGTTCTACCCTGACATCATGGCAGATTTCCTTCGACATATTTGCTGTGAGATCCCTTACTTTGTCGTGCCTCATGCATATGAAGCCCTTTCTTGCACACCATGGTGTGATCGACGTCATAGGAAGAGCCACACATGCATTGGGAGGCAAACCATCACTCAGCCTACTGTACCTTAGAGCACATTGGCATCTGTAAATTCTTGGACACCACTACCACCACTTCCAACACCACCACCTGCCACCATTATCACCTGCCACCACCCCTACACTGCCACCACCCCTACACTGCCACCACCCCTACACTGCCACCACCTCACACTGCCACCAATTCCCACACTGTCACCATCCCTACACTGTCCCCACCCCACACTGCCACCACCCCCCTACACTGTCACCATCCCCTACACTGTCACCTACCCCCTACACTGCCACCATCCCCACACTGTCACCATCCCCTACACTGTCCCCACCCCTACACTGCCACCACCCCCTACACTGCCACCATCCCCTACACTGTCACCATCCCCTACACTGTCACCATCCCCTACACTGTCCCCACCCCCACACTGTCACCATCCCCCTACACTGTCACCACCCCTACACTGCCACCATCCCCTACACTGTCCCCACCCCTACACTGTCACCATCCCCTACACTGTCCCCACCCCTACACTGCCACCAATCCCCACACTGCCACCATCCCCACACTGTCACCATCCCCCACACTGTCACCATCCCCACACTGTCCCCCACCCCCCACACAGTCCCCACCCCCCACACTGTCACCACCCCACACTGCCACCATCCCCCACACTGTCACCATCCCTACACTGTCCCCACCCCCTACACTGTCCCCACCCCCACACTGCCACCATCCCTACACTGCCACCATCCTACACTGCCACCATCCCCCACACTGCCACCATCCCCTACACTGTCACCATCCCTACACTGTCACCATCCCCCACACTGTCCCACCTCAACTGTCACCATCCCCTACACTGTCACCACCCCTCACACTGCCACCACTCCCCTACACTCACCACCATCCCCACTGTCACCATCCCCACACTGTCCCCACCCCCCCCTACACTGTCCCCACCCCCCACACTGTCACCTCACACCCCCTACACTGTCACCACCCCTACACTGCCACCATCCCCTACACTGCCACCATCCCCCACACTGTCACCATCCCCACACTGTCCCCACCCCCACACTGCCACACCACCCCACACTGTCACCACCCCTACACTGCTGTCACCACCCCTACACTGCCACCATCCCTACACTGTCACCATCCTCACACTGTCCCCACCCCCCACACTGTCACCATCCCCACACTGTCCCCACCCCCTACACTGCCACCACCCCCCACACTGTCACCATCCCCTACACTGCCACCACATCCCCTACACTGTCACCATCCCCCTACACTGTCACCACACTCCCTACACTGTCACCACCCCCTACACTGTCACCACCCCCTACACTGCCACCACACCCCCTACACTGTCACCATCCCCTACACTGTCACCATCCCCTACACTGTCACACCATCCCTACACTGTCACCACCTACACTGTCACCATCCCCCACTGCCACCATCCCCTACACTGTCACCATCCCCACACTGTCACCACCCCCTCACACTGTCACCATCCCTACACTGTCACCATCCCTACACTGTCACCATCCCCACACTGCCACCAACCCCTACACTGTCACCATCCCCTACACTGTCACCATCCCTACACTGTCACCACCCCACACTGTCACCATCCCCTACACTGTCACCACCCCTACACTGCCACCACCCCTACACTGCCACCACCCCTACACTGCCACACCCCTACACTGCCACCACCCCCCACACTGTCACCACACCCCCTACACTGCCACCACCCCCTACACTGTCACCATCCCTACACTGTCACCATCCCCTACACTGTCACCACCCCTACACTGTCACCATCCCCACACTGTCACCACCTACACTGCCACTCACACCCCTACACTGCCACCACCCCTACACTGTCACCATCCCCTACACTGTCACCACCTCACACTGTCACCACCCCACACTGTCCCCAATCTCACACTGCCACCACCCCCCACACTGCCACCACCCCACACTGTCACCACCCCTACACTGTCACCACCCCACACTGCCACCACCCTACACTGCCCCCACCCCTACACTGCCACCACCCCTACACTGCCCCCACCCCCACACTGCCACCACACCCCTACACTGTCCCCACCCCTAACACTGTCCCCACCCCCACACTGTCCCCACCCCCTAACATTGCCACCACCCCTAACACTGTCCCCACCCCCTACACTGTCCCCACCCCAACACTGTCCCACCCCAACACTGTCCCCACCCCACACTGTCCCCACCCCTAACATTGCCACCACCCCTACACTGTCCCCACCCCAACACTGTCCCTACCCCCAACACTGTCCCCACCCCCCAACACTGTCCCCAACCCCCAACACTGTCCCCACCCCCAACACTGTCACCACCCCCAACACTGTCCCCACCCCCAACACTGTCCCCACCCCTAACACTGTCACCACCCCCAACACTGTCCCCACCCCACACTGTTCCCACCCCCAACATTACACCCTACACCATCCCCACCCCAACACTGTCCCACCCCCAACACTGTCCCCACCCCTACACTGTCCCCACCCCCATACACTGTCACCACCCCCCCTACACTGTCACCACCCCCTACACTGTCACCATACATGACAGTGTAGGCACGGTAGGGGTTGCCAGTCACCACCTGATTCACTATATATAAACTTGGCATCAGTGAGGTGGTTATGTACCTATTTGTGTCGCCTTACTTGCTTCTATTAATATACATCTGTTTATATTGGTCCTATATATACTGTACACCATTAAAAGTGATGTACATAATGAATAATGGTGTACTGTATAGAGTAATGTTATGTTTACCGAATGTTACCTGTACTAAACTAACCTAACCTACTCCACCGTTAATACAATGAGGGAGGTTGATGATATGACTAATAGTAAACTCACTCATTCACACACACACACACACACACACACACACACACACACACACACAACGTGCACGCACTGATCGCTATAAGAACAACCATTGTAAAAATTATCAATAACTTGTAATAAACCAGTGTATTCACTCCCAGTAAATACTACTTCTTGCACTGTCACTATGTTGAAATGCCCTGTAGTTCGAGCTTTTCCCCATCTAGTATTATATATCTTATTTATATCACTTATGTTATTTGTATATTATTTGTAATTCAAAATCCATTCCCCAGTTATGTAACTGTATATTTTCAGCCTTCTGGCTGCCAAGCTCTTTCAATAAACCATTAATTATTATTATTATTATTATTATTATTATTATTATTATTATTATTATTATTATTATTACACACACTACAGTGCATTACCGTTTTATTTTAGGTAATGTCCAGCTTATGGTCTTGCAGGTGAACAAAATAGCAAGTGGATTGCAGGTGTATACTAACACAGGAGTATACTAGCAGGTGTATCTTACAGGTGTATACTAACACAAGTATATCTCACAGGTGTATACTAACACAAGTATATCTCACAGGTGTATACTTACACAAGTATATCTCACAGGTGTATACTAACACAGGTATATCTCACAGGTGTATACTAACACAGGTGTATGTTACAGGTGGTCAGAATGGGGAGCTGTGTGTGGTAGAGACGCCCCTCAGGACACAGTACGTGAGGCCAGTAGTGGAGACGAGCGCTGTGTGCCACGGCTGCCTCTTCCCTGCACCCACACCGCCCACGCCCGCCCCGGACACCCACACACCACCCATACGCCAGGTGCACATCGTACACGTGGACGAGCCCGAGGGCGGCGCTGTAGAGGTGATGGTGACAGGGCAGCAGACTTACAGGGTAGTGCTGGTCTTACACTCCTCCAGGGACGCCCCTGTAGTGTTCACCATCACCTCCTCCCACCCTACCAACACCACCAACCACCTCTTTCTGGTGAGTCACTACTGCTGTTATAAGCTAGGTACAGTATACAGTTCAACATGTATATAAACACTATAAGTATACAGTACAGTTCAACATGTATATACATGTAATGTTACAACGTGTGCTGCAGGTGAGCGGGGAGGATGAGGTCCGAGGTAGTAACCTGAGGTACAGTGTGGCCCACCAGCAGCGCGTTCCCCAGGAGGACCTAATATCTAGCACCCAGCGCAAGTTTGGCTTTGTCACCTCCTACACCCGGGCACCCCAGGCCAACACCATTGCCCTACACCTCCCTAATGGTGAGTGTAGTGTAGTGTACAGCAGCTGTCCTCAATTCTTCCCTCAGTACCTTGTGTGAGTCTCTAACTTCCCTGGTTTACTAGTCATTTATTATTATTAGTAGTAGTAGTGCAGGTATTATTATTATTTTTATTATTATTAAGTAAAATCGTTATACAAGTTTATAATTGGTATGACAGGTATACAATACAGTATACAGACAACACGGGTGTGTATCTATATATATATATATATATATATATATATATATATATATATATATATATATATATATATATATATATATATATATATATATATATATATATATATATATATATATATATATATATTGTACAGTACATAGACCATACAAATACACAGTGTACAATACAGTATACAAGTTCCAAATGTACAGTACTTAGTGCAGATGTACACAGTGTGGGTCATTCTCACCCCTCCACCAGTGAGGTATAGTATCCTGCTCTCCTTACCACGTCTTCTATACACAGATGAAGAGGCAGACGGTGACTGTAACATGGAGGTGAAGGATGACAGTCCGGTGGCCAATTGCTTCATGTCTGTAGAACAACCCATCTCTGGCTGCTACCACCATAATATGCTCGGGGAGAATAACAGGTTCGTGATGCTTCGTGCAAAAGTTCATTGCATAGAATTTAAATAAGATGTATGAAGCCTTGCTTGTATAGGAAAACAGTACAGGATGATGAAGCAAAGCAGGAGATTGTGGTGTTAGAGGAAGGTGTTTGGTGTTAAGGAAGGATTTAGTGAATGAAACAGTGCATAGAGTGGTTTATGCTAGCTGTTGTTGTTCATGATGCAGGTGTTGTGAAGTCTCTGTCTTGTATTTCGTCTACAGGGACATCCACATCATCGAGGTAGACGGCAGCAGCAACAGTAACGGCAGCTTGGTGTTGTCCGTGGTCGGCAGCAGTGAGGGCGGGAGTGGAGACGTCAGTGCCGGTGGTGGTCGAGAGGTTGAGAGGAACATTACTCTGGTATTGCGGACCTCAAGACCCACCACCTGGTCACTCCATGCCACCAGTCTCCAGGGGACCATCACACTACTGGTGGTAAGTGTCTTCGTGCTCCTTCAAAATCCTTATACTACCCTCTAACCCATTGTAACATGATCCATAATACTATATCCTTCAGGTATTTCAAACATGTCATCACTTATCATCAGTGCCACAAACTCTACAACAGCCTTAAAAAAAACCCAAAAAACATGTTCTCTGTGTTACCAGGGAGGCAGAGACCAGGTGGAGAATACGTCTGTGTCGGGCCCGGGAGTGGTGGTCAAGGTGGAGAGGATCAACGTCCCAGCCTCGTTTGATGGGTTGATACTGACAGTTCTGACCAGCGTGGGCCCCCCTGTATCCTACACCCGCACCACCAGCCCCAACAAGATCACCGTTACTGTCCTCCCGAAAAGTGGTAAGTGTTTATCTGGCCCATATATATACACAAGGGGTTAAGTGGTGTACATAGTATATTGAGATTTACGACCCATGGTGGAAACAAATGCAAATATCGAGGTGAAATACTGTTGAATAAAAAAAATAAAAAAATTGCAGTACAGTACAGAAGTTAAAAGGAAATGGGTGTTGGGAGGAGTGTGTGTAAAAGGAAATTGAATGATACTGTGATTGGAGAACAGAAAATTGCTTGGAAGAGTGTGTGATTGGAGAACAGGAAATTGCTTGGAAGAGTGTGTGATTGGAGAACAGGAAATTGCTTGGAAGAGTGTGTGATTGGAGAACAGAAAATTGCTTGGAAGAGTGTGTGATTGGAGAACAGGAAATTGCTTGGAAGAGTGTGTGATTGGAGAACAGGAAATTGCTTGGAAGAGTGTGTGATTGGAGAACAGAAAATTGCTTGGAAGAGTGTGTGATTGGAGAACAGGAAATTGCTTGGAAGAGTGTGTGATTGGAGAACAGGAAATTGCTTGGAAGAGTGTGTGATTGGAGAACAGGAAAGTTTCATTGGAAGATTAATTGTTTATTTAGTAAGTCAGGAATAGGAATTATACTGTAGTTCAAAGTATTTAGAATTGATTTAATTTTACTTTATTCCTCCTTATTTAATATTTTCAAACGTTTTCACTTTCAGAGATCCAATTGGATCCGCTGTTTTATTTACCCGTCGACGCGGCGGCCTTCAGGTATGTTTTGATTTGGTCTTTACGATTCGAGACTTGTTATAGATTAGGTAGACTGTGCGGGTGTGCAGGCGTCGGGGGGGGGGTCAGTTTGAGTCACGTCTGGCTGAGTGACGTTGGATTCGAACTTTACTGTAGGAGAAACTGGCTGAGTCAAGTCAAGAAATGGCCTTAAATTTGTTAAAGAGATAATAAAATCACAAATATACGCCTTCCCATATCTTCTTCCTTTCTTCACTGGGATAATAATAACTGCAAGATAGAAGCAAAAATCTCTCACATGAGTCTGTGTGTGTGTGTGAGGTGTCCTGCTGCCAGGCTAAGAGAAAAACAGGAGGCATTGATGTGATAAACAATGCTGCAAGGATTGGTTGGTACAGTAGAGGGAAAGAATTGGTTGGTACAGTAGAGGGAAAGGATTGGTTGGTACAGTAGAGGGAAAGGATTGGTTGGTACAGTAGAGGGAAAGAATTGGTTGGTACAGTAGAGGGAAAGAATTGGTTGGTACAGTAGAGGGAAAGGATTGGTTGGTACAGTAGAGGTTGAAAGGTCAAAGTGAGGTAGACAAATGTGGAAGTAAAAGGAAGAAGTAAGTTAGGTTGAGCATGAGGTGGACAGGACAGTGTGTGTGTGTGTGTGTGTGTGTGTGTGTGTAAGGTAGTAACGGTATGAGTTTGGTATCACGTTAATGTACAGAGATTCTCGATTGGTCTTTGGAAAATAGTAATTTCGATATAGATAAAGAGATTGCTTTAATATTTTGTTTCTGTAATGTTTAGGTCTACAATGATATTATAATTTTTATGGATAGATTGATACAATGCAATAGTGTCGCTGGAGCTTAGCGTATTTTTAACACTTTTTTCAGTGGATGCAGAGGACGTAGCAGCAGTGATCCAGGCTGCACTGTCTGTGAGCTGCGATGAAAGCACTATGACGGTGGCTATTCCTTACGACGTCTCTGAACGTGTCGGGGGAATATCCATGTCCCTGAGAGACCACTCGTGTACTGGTGCCATGAACATCTCTCATATCGTCATCAGAGAGAACTTCAGCCGCTGCAAGTTTACAAGACAGAACTCCCCCTATCAGACCACTTATACAAATTATGTAAGTATACAGTATAGCTTGAGACACCTGACGCTACGATTAGCATCATACCATAACCTGTCTTGTCTAGGGGCTCTGACCAATTTGATATCATTGACATATAATGACTATATTAATTTTGACCTGTTGTTGGTTTTGTTTAATAACTGTTAGGGTTGTTTGTTTCATCATAATCCTAATCCTTGCTCTAGGACCTTAACCCTAGAGATAATCCCTGCTCTAGGACCTTAACCCCAGAGATAATCCTTGCTCTAGGACCTTAACCCCAGAGATAATCCTTGCTCTAGGACCTTAACCCCAGAGATAATCATTGCTTTAGGACCTTAACCCCCAGAGATAATCCTTGCTTTAGGACCTTAACCCCAGAGATTATCATTGCTTTAGGACCTTAACCCCAGAGATAATCCTTGCTTTAGGACCTTAACCCCAGAGATAATCCTTGGGGGGGGGTAGGGGCTCTGACCAATTTGATATCATTGACATATAATGACTGTATTAATTTTGACCTGTTGTTGGTTTTGTTTAATAACTGTTAGGGTTGTTTGTTTCATCATAATAATCCTTGCTTTAGGACCTTAACCCCAGAGATAATCCTTGCTCTAGGACCTTAACCCCAGAGATAATCCTTGCTCTAGGACCTTAACCCCAGAGATAATCATTGCTTTAGGACCTTAACCCCCAGAGATAATCCTTGCTTTAGGACCTTAACCCCAGAGATAATCATTGCTTTAGGACCTTAACCCCAGAGATAATCATTGCTTTAGGACCTTAACCCCAGAGATAATCCTTGCTTTAGGACCTTAACCCCAGAGATTATCATTGCTTTAGGACCTTAACCCCAGAGATAATCTTTGCTTTAGGACCTTAACCCCAGAGATAATCTTTGCTTTAGGACCTTAACCCCCAGAGATAATCCTTGCTTTAGGACCTTAACCCCAGAGATTATCATTGCTTTAGGACCTTAACCCCAGAGATAATCTTTGCTTTAGGACCTTAACCCCAGAGATAATCTTTGCTTTAGGACCTTAACCCCAGAGATAATCCTTCCTGAGTAAGTAAAGACACTTATACGGTGAAACCTCTATATAACGGACTATATGGAGATGAAAGTCCGTTATATCGAGGTTTCAATCTATAGTACAGTACTGTGTAATTTTATTAATCATTTCATTTTACTTTGTGTTCAGGTAAGCGTGGATCTGGGGCCGAGCCTGAGCGACGACGAGGACTTTGACGGGTCCGGTTACGGCATCGAGGACGAGTACCACGGCGCCAGGATAGCCCCCATACAGGTCCAGTGTCAGGTTCACCCCCACCCACCCCCCCACCGTGAGACACCCGCCCCTCAGTCAACAAATAAAAAGGTTCGTTACTCACACTTCTACCGTCTGTTTAAAGAGGTTTTAACTCGAGGATGAATACAGTGGAACCTCTATATGTGAGAGGTTGGTCCATTATATTGAGGATTCACCCTATGTTTGATTATACATATTAGTCATCAGTTTACAAGTTTAATTTAATGTTTTGTGAGTGATTTATCGAAGTTACAGTTTTGTGGAGCATTAAGAAAGTATTTAATTAACCTGAATAATGTATAAATAAAGCCTTTTTTTTTTTTTAGTTATACTGTACTGTATATGTATTGGTTTTCAGTATCTTTTTGGTTGCTGTGTATTGGTTGAAAGTTTATTTATTTTTTTATTTTTAACCAGACTGTGAGTGAGCCAGTCGCCGGTGCCACATATAAGATGGAGATGTTCCGAGACAGCGACCACGAAATACCCATCACAACTGACAACTATCCCGCCTCCACCAACATAAACCACAGACTGTACATCAAGACAGCTCTGGCCAGTGGTAGGAGTTTTGTTCAATATGGTTATTTGTATCTGTCGAGAAGTTATTAATATTTTACCGGAGGCGTATGAATGAGGTGAGAAATTTGATCTCCCAACTGCAGTGTGTTAAGTGTACAAGTGTTTTATCCCGAGGGTCTGACTGTCTCATCTCCACTTAAGTAACTCACTCACTCACTCACTCACTCACTCACTCACTCACTCACTCACTCACTCACTCACTCACTCACTCACTCACTCACTTACTCACTTACTTACTCACTTTCACCTTATGTGTTCATTATAAAGGATATTTTTTTATAATACACTTAAGACTTACTGTCAAGGATGATCTGAAGAACAAACATTTGAGTTTGTCAGATTGTACCACAAAAGAAACTTTGCAGGATTATTGTAGTACAGTATTTAATTAAAAAAATAAAATAAAAAAATGAGTGACAAAGCAGAATATAACTCTGTGTGTGTGTGTGTACGTGCATGCATACATGCGTGCGTGCGCCTGTGTGCACGTGTGTGTGTGTGTCTGTCCAGCATCATGGTGGGAAGTGACTTAAAAGAATGACAAACTAAAAGATTATACAGTACTGTACAGTTATGTATAATTATCACTCACCACTTCATGGTCTGATGTAATTTTGATGAACCACCAAATAGTTGGCAGATGTCCTAATAATTAAACTCTCATATATCAGTTAGTTAAATAAGCAAATGGTTGAATTTCACTTTGCTTACAAATCAGAAACTCAAGACTATGGCTTTTCATCATATTTTTTCTTTTTGTGTTTGATAAAATCTTGTTTTCTGTTGTCATCAGTGATGCCATGGACAGAGGAATATGATGCTGACCTGCGAATTGTGCTTGAGGAGTGTTGGCTGAGCAACAGCTCAGCCTCCAGCCGTACTGGTGCTTTGCACGAGCCTCTTGTGAGGAAGTCGTGCCCTCTCCGTTCCTCAGTGAATTTGGAACCAATGTTGTTCAACAGTCAGACGTCCAGCTTCAGCTTCCAGGTACAGTATTGACTCACAACTTTTATTGTACAATAAAACTATTCAGTACGGTACCACCTCTGGCCACGAACTGTTCAGTATAACATGACAAGATATAAAGTATCATAATGTAGACAGTTGTGGTATGATAATCATCCTGGTACAATGTTCTAACATCTCTCAGTACCTCTTCTAGTGTCTATACTGTACCCGGGAGAGATACAGTACTTAATTGCCTTCCTATTTCTTATCACATTTAAAATTTGTAATAAAAACAAGACAACTTTGTGTGTAACATAAATATATAGATTGAAATAAGAAACAGATTTATATAGAACAGTGTATAACGAGTCCTATGTAATTCTGTAGAGTATAGTAAGTTTAAGTTCTATGACAGTAGGAATATTCTAGTCTTGGTAAGTGTATATAGAGAGGCCAAGACAATGTTTATAGTCAAATACCTGTGATGATTTTTGGCTGAGTTAGTCGTGGGAGAGCAGGTGTGTTCAGTTGAGGATATGGATGGTGAGTATAGTGAGGACCTGAATGACTCACCAGACCCTCGGTATAATGGACTTTCCTCTCCTTATAGTCCGCTAAATTCACTAGAGTTTTGGTTAAAGAATCGCTGGTGCCCCTGAGGCCATAAAATGATCGATGTGAAACTTAAAAACTCTTAGAAATTTTGTTGTCACTGGGACTGACTTGGGAAATAATAATGATCCTTTGTGTTGAGTGAGAGAAATATTACTCTTATGTAATTGTTCTCTACTTCAACAGGTCCTCTCAGAATATTCTTACTTGGGTTCCTTCTTCCTCCACTGTCAACTGGGAGTGTGTTCAGCTGACTCTCTCCCTCGCCCAGCAGTTAACAGGGTAAATACAATACAGTACTCTTTTTTTTTTCAGTACTAAGGTGATAAATAAACAACTTTTTGCAGTGGTATGAAATTTATGGTGACACATCAAATGAACGACCTCAATATAATGGACTGTACTCTCCCTTATAGTCTGTAATATGGAGAGGTTTCACATCTAATGAATAACCTTGATATAACAGTGTATAGACCCTGGACACTACTGCGGTAAAGCAACGTTGATGAGGGTGTTCGATACTCAGCCTTCGTCCTCCTCGCTACAGACACTCGCCCTTGGGCCTTTTTCCATGGCTCCCAGCACTGAATGTAAGTTAGTTTGAGTAGTTAATTCTACTTAATGATTCCCAAATAGATGAGATTTTTCCTTTTAAAGATGATTTAAGTTAACCTGACCTGACTCAGCCTGACATTACCTAGCCAGACATCACTAATTACAAAAGTGAATCGCCTTATGCAATTGGGAGACACAAGTTGTAATTTTCATGATAGTCGTCAGTAACTGGTTCAGTGTGTGTATGCTGTAGACAATGCAGGTATACAGTACAGTGTACTGTACATAGACCATATGGGTATACAGGTAATGTACCTAGACAGTGCAGGTACAAAAACAGTGGTAAATAATAAGTCAACCAAGGACAGTTAACAAAATTATCTGATGTTTATATCCAGTAGAGTCCTGTACAAAAGGAAATTTATCAAAAGGAAAAAAAAAGGCCAAACATTAACAAGTTAAAATAATACTGTATCACGTCATTGCAAATATTTCCTAGTTCATAGACGTGTACTTGAAGGATGCCTTAAACTTTTACTTTTCCCAAGGAAGAAACTTTCAAACTACTTTATAACATCTTGTACACAATTTTCCCCTTGAGTGAGGTAGCAACTTTTTGGACAGAAATCTTCTCATAATTGTGTCTAGTGATTCACCAAATGTACAACTTTTGGACTTCAGAAGGAGTAGTGTTGTAAAATAATATTATGAGATATATAACATTGATAATTTAACAGCCTCAGCCGCTTGGTCAGGAAGCAACATGAAGACGAGTGACAGCAGTGACAGTGTTGTGCAAGTTAGTGACAGTACCAGCAGCAGTTCCTCAGTGACTGGCGCCACTGATGACAAGACCCAGATCATAGTCCTGGGCGGATTGTCAACAGAGATTGTTGTTGGCATAGCACTTGCTTCCTTTGTAATTGGAGTTTGTCTGACAGCCACACTCTGGGTCATCCACATGAAGACTGGTTAGTTATTTACTTCTTTATCAAATTGTTGAACTTGTGAAGGTATTTTGGAGAATATATAAATAAGTGTATTCTGTAATTTATACTAAGATGTTGTCCTAAATAAATCTGGTGTCTGTCCTAAAAAAATGTGATATGATTTGCAGATCCTCGTAGGCAGAAGCGTCCAGAAGGAGGTGCTCCCCGTAACTCTGGTTATGACCTGTCTGCTCACTCTGGCTCCTCAACACCGTCATCCCAGGCTCCTATGACAGCCTGACGGTCCCATGGGCTGCCCCCGCTGTGGTCACGACGTGGGAAACTGCGACATGCACCACCTCCCACCACTAGTTGTGTGTAGAGTCAGGCAGCTCCGTCACGTGTGGGTGATAGCACCTACGTTGATGTTTGTTTTACGAAAATGAAAAAATTGATGAATGGGGAAACTCATAAATTAAAATTATTTAGTATCGAGATTGGCAGTGGAAATTTTTTTAATACGAACTTCCCTTTCTGCCACCACAAACTACTGGTAGTTCCCACGAACTGTGGGTGACCATCATGTGTCAGTGACCTCAACATTTGTGGCTGCCTGGAAGCATATTACCTCTTGAGCTTTTTTGTACATGAATATGGACACCAGTTATGCCTGTTTATAGTAAAATGCTCTGTACTCAACAAGTGTCATGGAACATCTCTCAAAAAGTTAACTTCTGAAAACTTGGTGGAAGTACTAAAGTATTGTACTGTACTGTACTGTACTGTACTATGATTTTTCATATTGATTTTTTTTATAACATTATTACATATCTTGTTACCAAAATTTGAGTGAGACTTTAATGGAGTATTTCTTAAAATGACAACTTTTTGCAGAGTTAGATCTAAGACAAGTGTGAGAGCATGAGCTTAGGTTCCCATCAAGTACCTTATTGACAGTGGTAGTTCTTAGCTACAGTGTAAAGTTTAGTGGCAATTCTAGTTGGGTCACATAATTGTGTTGGCGGTTCTTGCTGTGTTGCATCTTGCAACCAGACAGTTGAACTTGCGGGTAATATTTTAGTTCAAGGTTTACAGGTACTTGTGAAGTCAAAATATTTTATGTTGACAATGTCGTGAGATTTTAAAGGAATCTCTCGCAGTTGGTGTTACGGGATGGTCTGCATTACCTCTCATGCCCAAAGATGCAGACGGCCTCATGCTGCCTGTAATGAGATTTTTTATCATTTGCTTATATGAAACTAAGAAACAACAGCATGATCTATTTTAGCTCAGTCCCTTAAATCAGTCATGTAAACTGGAAGAATCTTCAGGATTATATTTATTAAGTGTATGTGTTAAGGGGTTTAACTGCTCTGCCTTGTTCCTATGTATGCCAAACTACCAGCTAGATTTTTTGCATTGTATCACCCCAGTACCTTGCACGATAGTCATGAGTTGCACCTTATGATACGGGTAAATGTTTTTTAAGCTGTTAGTGTGACAGAGATGCCCCGAGCAGCCTGCAGACCTCCTCTTATCCTTCACTTACATTGACCACATCCATTACTATGAGCTTAAGATGGTAATGCCAAGGTTTATTCCTGGAGTACTGGAATCCCAGTTAATTGCTGTCAAATGCTCAATTTGGAAAATCATTTATTGGTCAACTTGACTTATAATTGATGAAGTGACCAGGAAAACTAACAGAGTAGTTTCATGCTCAGCTGCAACCCAAGAATGTGCTTGAGTGCTGCTGTAAATCCTTAAGATATTCTTTCCAGGGTCTTAATGCTCATTGTTGTAACTTTATTATGTGTAAATTACATAACCAGCTGCAGAGAGCAGCATTTACTAAATAATTACTCAGGTTCGTAACAGTCGACTCTCGTGCTCTGTTGGAGGTGCATCTTAAAATGGGGCAGTTTCTTATTAACTTTTGTGTACATGTGTGTGTGTGTGCGACAGTCACCACAACTCTGATACTCTTGAGATTCCTTCTATCCTTGGAGAAGTACTGTACTGTACTAGATAATTAAGTTTTACACAGGACCTAAAGTGTAGTTGCTGTCATGGCCCCAGATTTGAAAATAATTTGAGCTTCTCTGCACCGTGATGAGCTTCTTCGGGAAAGGACATAATTTGTTTAAGGGGAATTATAATGGTTAAAGGTGATTGAGAACAAAACCTCAGATTATTTTAAATTTGATGACCAAGTGCTTATCAGTGACAGATCTTCACACATGTAGACATTTTTCTAAGATGTTTGTTTACTTGCAGTGACAATAGCTTCACTGTTTAGAGAGTTTCCGAGACTAAGAGAACGGTCCAGTGACGGCGAAACCCCTATACTATACTGTAGATGGTTTACTGTATGTGACGTGACTTTGGCTTACCTCGTTCTCTGTACCTGATCCTAAACGTGGCCCGGTGAGAAGTTATTGTGGTTTACCTTGGGTGGAATTTCAGCGATGAAAAAAAAAATTAACTTCTCATGTCACAAATGCTAGACTAATGTGTGTGTAACAGTATATAGAATGTAAGTGTGTAGACGTAGTGGAGGAAAACGTAACATCGGTGAAGTGTCAAAAGAGATTGGGTATTTAAAGCACTTGAGCAGAAATTACCAACATTTCTTTGAGAGTTACGTAATTAAATGGAAGCTGACGACGTTGGCTTGTGGGATCGCTTACTTGTTTATTATTTATGCTTAGCGGTGACACTGTACAATACTCTTAATGTTATCATAAACTGTCGAGCTATCTCCAAGTGTCACACTACACCCAGTAGTTAGGTGTGTCACATCTGCCATGCTATATGCCAGGAGTCATGTCCAGTTGCCAGTCATGTCTCTTCAATCATCAGGACATTCCACAGTCATGTCACAACATCGGTTACTCTGCTTGATCAAGTTTTATAATATAAATACCTGTCATGTCAGATGTCTTTTTATACTATCAGTCATATTTCATCACCACTCATACCACCAGTCATGTCACACCCAGTCATGACACATTACAGGTTATCTTACCTCATGTCATATTATATCTTGTCATAATCACTTCTGGTATACCATCAGTCATATCATACCTCATGTGTTGTCATGTAACACTGCTGCTTATATATACAAACACCTGTCATGTCATGCTACAGTACGACCAGCTGTGTTACACCATCTCTCATATCAGATCATCAGTAATGCCTCTGTCATATTCACTACCAGTTATGTCACAGAGTCATTAGTTATGTTACACCAGAATTATGTTGCACCAGACTTAGTTACCTCACACCAGTAGAGTACAGAGACACACATTGTAATAGGCAGCCTTAAGTTTGATAACATATCCAAATTATTGGCCACAAGTGTACTCAATAGTGTATATAGCCAACCTGCTGATAACCTCTGCTCTCTTGACTTATAAACCCACTCTACTCCTTGGACCACTCTAGCTGAGGGAAGGTATCCACTCATTATTTCTTTGCTTACCGTAAAGAATCTCAAATGCCTGGAGCAAAAATTGTAATGGTACGCAATTATTGTACTTCTGGAAACTTTATTAATGAAGACGGTGCAAAGAGGTGTTAATGGGTGGGAGTGGGTGGTACTGTTCGCCAGCTGAGGTGGGTTGGATGGGCCTCTTGCCTACTATACATCAAGAGAACCACTAACCTCTATAATAAGATTTAGTAGTTTTAAGTACAGTGGTTGTCACATTGTCTGCCCTTGTTTTATACTCCCCTCATTCTAGAACCATATTCTTTGTTTCCACTTAAGTAAAAGCATGAATAATATACTAATAATGTACTTGCAAGAGAACACTCACCCTCATACTGGTACTTAAGTGACCACTCATAAGAATTAGGACCTGAAATTAGAGAGTATATTATGACCTTTAGTACGACTTTCATATGGAAGTTTGTGAAGCTTCTTTTCTATTATGATGGAATTATGCTTGAATGTGTAATCACAGAATTGGTAAAATATGTACTGTACTGTATCTAGAAAAAAGAGGAAATCATCTTATCTTATAATCGTCATATTCATGATTAGGTTGAGATTTGGCACACAATAGTGTTCCACTTTAATAAACTGTTTGAGATAATGTCCACAGAGTCAGATGATTGAATATTATTTTTACATTATATATAGTGTTCCAAGTGACTCGGTGTAGTATGACTCGTACTTGACCAATTTCAGGGACTTGATACACTCTACCCTGAGGCACAGGTATGGAAACATGCCATACATTTGGGGTCTTGGTATTCTATAATAGCAAATCTAAAATATCATTAGTGAGCAAAGGGCAACTGAAAAAAATTATGACAACTTTTAACTGATATTCCCTTGTATCTTACAATACTTTTTAGTATGATTTTGAAGTTGTAGTCTTTTTGTTTCTGTAGGCTTTACTGTTCAGTCATTATCTACAGTTTGTCCAAGCTGCCTTTTGCCCAAAAACGATATTGTTGGTTGGCCGCCGCTCCTGTAAACAGTTGTGACTTAACTGAGCCTCATTCTTATAGGTTTTCTCAGGGTTTAACGTACAATGGTTTTGACGCAACTCAGACGAATGTTTTAATGTTATTTAGCCCATCTCTTTTACCCTGTGTAGCTTTTTTTTTATAGGTGACCAGAGTTTGTAGAATGAAGATGAACTTTCATATCATGTTCCTTGCAAGAGTTGACTTGTATATATGTATGAATGGTTTAAATAAGTGCACCTGAAGAAATTATGGCAAGGCTTACTGAGAAATACACAAAATATCAACAAGCTATCAAGCTAAAATGATGAGAGACCATAAAATAGCTTGTGATTAATAAAATATAAAAGTCGGGCTCTTGCCATTATTTCATCTTGATTTGCTTGGAAACTATGCACGTAAAACATCCTTTTGCCATTGTAATTTTTTATACAATATTTGACAATTGGTGAAAAAAATTATGTGAAAAATGCTGCTTGTGTATCGGTGTATGAATAACAGCGTCGTCATTCACATTTTTTATGGCTAAACAAGAATATCTTCAGTATATGGCTGCCTCTGCCCACCATCTCTCTCTTTTTTCCTACATAATAAAGAAAAATTATGTGGTTCTCATTTATTTCCATTAAATATTTGGTGTAAGCAGCAGTCACTGTGTTTAGTTCTGGAATGGATGTGAGATATTCTCAGCCATTCGTCTACCCACGTTAACACGACAGCGAGCTCTAACTGGCCAAGACTTGTGACACCTTTTCTTAATCTCCTCATTGTAAGTGATTGCCTCATGCCTGCAGTTAACCACTTGTGTATGGGGTTCCCTCTCTGCTGAATAAAATCTTGCGGCATTAGCCAAATAAAATATTAAAGTTGCGTCCTGGTAGTGAAGGGGTAAACCAAACATGTCAACCACATTACCAAAATTTTGACATTCTTGAGAAGTAAAAATAAATAAATTATATATATATATATATATATATATATATATATATATATATATATATATATATATATATATATATATATATATATATATATATATATATATATATATATATATATATATATATATATTGTAAAAAAGAAGAAGCGTTATGTCTTCTTCAGAATTAGAGTCAAAGGCATTTCTTCCTTCAATGTTCTTATGGTGTCAGCCAAAACTGGAGCTATTCCTCTTGGGCATGTAGAGTTTAGCCACTTAGTAAGACTTCTGGCAATTATTCAGGATGTTCTCATTCATTCAGAGTTGTGTTGGTCATTGAGAGGTCCACCAGTGTTTGCTGCTACTTGAGAGAGAATCACTTATTTGGAGATCTACCGTTCTCTCAGATCTGCCAGTCATTGAGAGATCTGCTGGTCTTTCAGTGATACCAGTCACTCAGTGGTATACCAGTCACTCAGTGGTATACCAGTCACCTGGTGGTATACCAGTCACTCAGTGGTTACCGGTTTCTTAAGAGATCTGCTGGTCATTCATAAGTCTGCTGATCATTCAGAGATCTGCCAATCATTCATAGATGTGTGCATTTTCAGTGATCTGTCGGTCATTCGGAGGTCTTACTGTTATAACTGCAGCCCTACAAAGTACAAAACATATTGTGGTTCAGGCGGAGTGAGTTATGCAGTGGGTCAAAGGCCGAGACTGTAAGTGTACCAAAAGTTCCTATAAGTTCCACTTAACACTTGGAGTCTCAGCAAATGTTTTTAAGGTCATTATATTGTGTCTTCTTTTGTAACTTCCAAATTTCTTTCCACTTCTTGATTTACCTGTCAGCCACACATTGCCTCATGTTCATAGTTGTAATTGATCACTGAAATGTGTCGAGAATTGTAATTATTTACTGTTCTGCTTTTAACTTGATTTTACAGTTGTGTACATGAGTAGAGTTGTATTTGTTGTCAGTGAAGTGAGAAGGTGATTCCGAGATACCTTTTGGAGGACTTTTCAATAATATCGTTTTTTTATTTTCAGATTTTGTCTGGAAGAATGTTATGCAAAACATAAACATCAATATATTTCCTTTTTAGTCTAATAATATTTACTTTTATATTTTATAGTAAATATTAGTTTGTCTGTTTTATTTTTCTTTAGTTTTGGTTTTATCTCCAAGTTCAAAATATTTGTGACTGTTGTTGAGACCCCATGCACAGTTGACTACAACCTGCTCACTGTGTAACCGCTCCTGACGGCCACCACTGCTTTACTCGACGGGATTGGCAAGGTCGCCGACAAACCAGGAGTACGAGCCTAGACATTATATTCCGCTTGAAACTTGGCCTTTGAGAAGCACCAATGGCCCAATTTCCTCACTCATCATTGTGTGTAAGAAACTGTATAAGAATGACCGTTGAGATGTGAGAGAGAAGTTTTGGATGATTTTCATAAATGGCCATTCCAGTATGTCGCCCGGGTTGCCCCTCATCATCAAGTAAAAGATGAGTTGCTGTTGCCAGCTTCTTCTGCAAATTAATATACAGGTATACTAATTGGAATATAAATACATATAGAGAAGCTGTACAGAGCTGCCATTATGGGCCGAGTGTAACTTCTTTTCTTGTATTAACTGAAATAACCAAATATTTGGGTCATGAGAAGTGTCAGGATAATTTCAGGGTCTAAATAATTTCTCGCTTTTGGAAATACTCTCCGAGGTTATATTGTGCCTGGGTGGTTCTTGACGGCTATTGGCTGGATTCTGTGTGATGAGGTGTAGAAGTGTGAACTGTACTGTATCAATACTAGGACAATCCAGACAATACTCAAGAAGAGCATACTTATCCTATATACCTACCTTTTTTTATTAAAAATTCTTTCATCTCATTCTTTGTAATATCAAAAGCTGTAAGTGCTTCACCAGCAGCCAATGCCCCTGTGTACGTACGGGTCCTATACTAAAGTTTATAAAAGGGGTTGCCAGCTGTGGTTGGCAGCATAGCTATGTTAGTATCGATTCTTCTTGATGGGAAATGTGTGGAAGGCATCAGTGTAGGAAATTTGTTCTATTAATCTGAAGTCATTGTGTAGGTATTAGATGTGCTAGAAATTTAAATTATATTTATACATAAGTTGTAGCATGAATCTTGCTCATAGTGAAGTACCTGAAGTACGAGGCTGCCTTCCACGCCTGTCTCGTAATTGTGCAGAAGTATTGTGTGAGTCGGTCTTATTACCCATGCTAACAAGCAATAGATTACACAGTCATGCCACTTGGTGAAAAATTGGTTCTTTCACACGAGGTTACGGGAGAGAACTGTTCAAAACAATACCTGTGTCAAGTACAATACTCCACTGATCATTGCCCACAGTTAGGGAAGTAACCCGAGACTGTGACGGTAGGACGAGAATCCCACTGATTCAGGTTGTGCTGAACATGCCAGCCGTGCAGTATTTCCTCAACGCCCCGTGACTTGCTGTGAAAACCCTCCAAGTCTGGAATGTGGAAGTGCATAAATGTGCTTCTCATGTGTTTATCTACAAAGTACAGTATAAAAATTTAAAACAAGACTAAAACATAACTGAGAAACTTTTAATGTTGTTATTGGGAATAATAATGATAGTGTGGTTCTGCAGTACAAGAACATCTTTTCCTGTGAAGTAACAGTACATCAAAAGGGATTAAATATGACTACTGTTTTCAGGCAAACTTTGTAATACAGGAAAATTTGTTTGTTGAATTTAGGATTCTTAATGTTCTTATATGTCAGGTGCAATTAATTACAAGCAAAGTAAAGGCCTGAGGGTAGATTTTGTCTTGAAGTTAATGAATTGGCAATGCCCATCTGATACTTAAGAAACACTCACAAAAAAATCTGCCTAGGATTTCAAAATAACTACTGTTGTGTTTTGTCAGGTAAACATCTGACACTGGGTTTAGGTCTTCAGTTAACTCAAGGAAGCAGTCTGGGGTATTGAATATATGGCTTTAGCATCTTATATACATTGTACATACATTAATCTATAAGTCACACTATACATGGAACAGTTGAAGATGATAACTGCATCTGAGAAGCATTGACTAATGAAATATTTTCTGACAGTTTCACTCATCATATTCAACTCTTAGGTATCTTACAACATAATGCGGGTCTTACTCTCTTTACACACTATTTTTAAGTTGTAGTATTAATATGTCCTAGTGGTACTGTGATTGAATCATTCACATGTTCTAAAACCAGTCCCATGATACACTGTTTAATTTTTTTAACATAAATGATTTCTTGGGCAGATTTGTTTGTGAATGGTGTATATAACCTTAGCCTCGCTGAGATCATTGATTCAGGTTCCCGCATGTGCAGCCCCAGTCGTTCATTACCATGGCTGGTTGGGTGAATATCATCGTGTAGATTATTTTGATGAAATAAATGTTATTTTCTAAAATGACAATATTGTTTTCATGATGACCTATTTCTTTATCATGTACTGTACTGTGTCCTGTACCTTATGTTTTGTGATATTATGTACTGTACTTCTGTATGCTTTACTGTATACTGTATATTGAATTATTGCTGTAGGCCCCGTTTCCCGTAGTCCAGTAAATTTCAGTATATTGGACTGTACTACAAACACCTACAACTATACATACACAGAAATATCCAAATCTTCATAAATATAAGACAATAGTTAGCCATTAACACTTATACATTGTATGGTGTTGGCCACTGTTAAAGATTTAATCCTCCATCTCATTTCATTCATAAGTTGAAGAAATTACAAACTGTTGGTTGTTGCTGCTACAACATTTTTCCAGTGGTGGTGAGATGGACCATAAGATTATCACCAAGTTAACTGAATGTTTTCCGGAGACACAACTAAATGCCATGTTTGTAATTAAAGGGGTAGGGAGAGCTAGTGGGGCCCTGAGGAGGCACCTGTTGTAATGCTTCCCACCACCAGAGGGGACACTAAGCACAACTGATGGATAATAGTGTATGGTGGATGAAGTCTTTGGGCAGGAACAAGTTGGTTATGACAGCTCACACGGGGCTGAAAAATGACACAGAAGTGACAAAAAAAAATACTGATTGGTAAAACATAACTTTCTCACCTAAAGCTCTACTCTCAGCATGTCCATTTGAATTTCCAGGAGCTCTTATAAGCTAGCATCCTGAATACACAATTTAGATGATCGTGTTACAGTAATACATGTCTACTGTATTTGTTTATTTCAATTATTGTATCTTCACACCAAATGGTGGCTCATCATTAAAACATTCTCTGGCTCATACACTACAAATTGTGTGGTGAGCTGTAAACCACAAGTCATGGCACCAACTCAAAATGAGGAACTGTGAAGTGTGATGTAATCTGGAGTTAGCACACAGTGAAAGCCTCACTCTGGACATATTACTTATGGTTCACGTGTTCAGGTACAATCAATGACCCGTATACCCAGTTTAGCCTGTCAGTCTGTCACCATTACGGCTTTAGGCCGGACAGTCCGCCTTTTGAGCACTGTCCTCCGCCCGGCGCTACCTCGAGTCGGACGTTAATTTGTCCTCCTTTTTGTCCTACTAAAAAGAATTATACAAATTACCTTACGTATACTTAAAACAGCGGGAGCTGGAGGCCATAATAACCGTTAACGTATTTTTATTACATATAAAGTTGCCATTGTCAACACTGCTGATGAGCCGCAGTGTACGACAGTACGAGTCAAGTTGTCAAAATCGTCAACACGTCCTAGATTATCTAGGCTAGATGGTCAGTCTGCCCAAGGCTGCAGTGGAGAGTGGTCGAATTTTTTGTTCTTGCTTTAATTTGGTTAGCATACTGTATGCTGTTTCAGCAGGAGTAAAAATGAATATTCATTTCTTTCAGTTCTTTGTTTATACTGTATGAATGCATGTAGGTAATATATACAGTGCATTTAAAAAAAATTTAAATTTTAGAAAAATGATCACAAAATAGCATTCATCACATTACAGTGATATTTGACAAATCAACAATTCTCAGTATATTCTGTATATTTTATACAATTTTTTATATATTTTCAACTCATCATTAAACATGCTTAATTTAGGTTAAAAAACAGGTGTCGCCAAAAAAATAAAAAATATGTCCTCCTTTTTGGAAATGGTGACCCTATGTGTTCCCCGCCAATTAGGTCAGGTCAGGTCAGGTTCCACTGTATCACCAACAGCTTAACATTAAATAATAACTAATACTAAAAAAGGATCAGCATGTATTAAAGCAAATAAAACACAAGGGGAAGATATATAACAAGTACATAAGAGAGAAAGAAGAAAATAATAACAATAACTTAAAGAAACAATGAGGGAACTGTGTTTAAGAAAGTAGTAGGAGCAGTAATAATAGTCATAGTAATTTATTATTATTATTATTATTATTATTATTATTATTATTATCATTATTATTATTATTATTATTATCATTATTATTATTATTATTATTATTATATTAGGTCTCGTAGCCCCTCCAACAGCCTCGTAGTCCTCACGTACACAAAGGTTTTCGTCTGCTCACCCCGACCAGTAGGAGGACCGAGTGGTGGCGGCTATCTGTGTCTTCTTACAAGTTACAACATCATTTTACAGGAGTTTTAACATCGCCAGTGATGATCTTACTCATAAATTCACCATAAAAGAGAACATAAGGACACCAGACCAAGTATCAGGACCAGGTAAGGCCAGGTATAGGATCACAACAACTTGCTGATACTCGTGTACAAGTACTGTCTTAACACAACCGTAGGTCTTTTATACTATTGTGGTTGTAAAATGTAGACTACAACTTCTTCCTTACTTCAACCAATGAAAACAACCATAAGTGAACTATTGGTGGTTTGTTTTTAAGGGTAATATGGAGGACTTCACAGCCACTTCCCCGTCTCGGTATGGTAAGTTAGGCTAGGTAAGGTTAACTGAACTTGAACTTTTAAATAAACATCTTTTAACACATTTGCTGGTAATGGTGTAGAAAAATGTGACCACCAGAAGTTGTTTGTTGATTTTCTTTATTTTTGTTATACTATACTTATTGTTTTGATGATTTTAAGTACAGGTATATTAAAAGAAACCACAACTTTCTAGTATAATTTTAAGTGTTTTTTATTTACTTTATCCCGCTTCACAATTCTCCTTCCGGCACCATTGTTGTTGTTTATCTCGCTGAATCCCTCTTCAAGAGACTTTTCCTAAATGATGGTGAACGCTTCCATGAACTCCTCCTCGCCATTGCTAATGTATATCAACCTCAATATTAAGGTAAGTTGTTTAACACATAAATTAACACGATAATGCATAGAACCTGACCTAACAAACCCATAGGTTGGGTATGTTAGGTCAGGTTCTATTAGGTTGTATGCATTGTCGTTTTCATTTTTGTGTTTAATATCATATTAGTGTAGAGAAAAATTTCAACCAATTCGGAAAATTCCCTCAGGTGGCCACCGTCTTATACACCTTTACCCATTTGCCATAACTACAGCAGTGTCCACTATAAAACACAGTCAAATTGTGGTGTTTTTAAATGAATCTAATATGAAAAATCAGCAGCTGTGAAATTGTAAATAATTACTGGTGGTAATGATCGTCTCGAGAACTACTGTACTTATAGACAAAAGCCTCAGTATATATAACAACCTTATGTTAGTTATATATATCAAGTGTTAACAAGAATGGTCTACAGAGTTGGGTATCAAATTAAAAGATTGTATTTTCTTTACAGTTTCAAAATCTTTGTAGTTACTGTATAACGTTGAGCAGTAACACCCACGCTGACATCTATTTTGGGTTAATATTGACAACACACCCGTCACAGCATAATTTTTTGACGGATCTTTCTTACTATATATTTTCATCGCTGAGTTTGGATATGATATTCATTCTTGGGCAAATGCTTCGTTTGGTAGACAGTTAGACCCTCAGGCTCGCACTAGCAGCACTACTTCGTCTTTTGTGGCGATAAAACGGTAAGGCTTGATGTCCTCTGCTCATTGTTTGTTTATGAGCTGCTTGTTCTGAGCAGCTTCTCTCACATCCACAAAAAAATGTAAAATTCACCACATCATAGTAAGTTCTTTCTGTTTAATATACCTGGGGGCTCAGCTAGGAAGTTAAGGTTAGGTAGGTGTCTTTGGTTAGGTTGGTGAGGTCTTCTAACAATTCTTTGGCCACTTGTATTTCCTGTCAACTACGGTTTGGTTAAGTTTAATTTAGAAATAACCCCATTTTAACACATTTGCCCAAACTACAGCAATGTCCACTGAAAAACAAGGAAATCGCAGCATTTTAAAATTAATTTTCTATGAAAAACTGTGACGTGTATGTCGTCAATAATTAACAAAAACGTACAGTACTGCTACGTCTCAATCTAATGTTAAATAACTATATAAACTTTAATAATCCATAGTATAATGTATACAGTGCTGTACTTACATATACAACACAATGTAATTCACGTTTACAGGGTGGTGCAGTGAGACGGCATGTTTGATCCCATACTTGTGGTGGTCTGCTGTGCTGGTATTGGGTTGACGCTATCGTATTTTACTCTCGGAAACTCTCGGATGCCCCAACACAGCTCTGAGGAGGATGAATCAGGTGTGACTTAAGTGTTTTAATTACAGTACTGTATTTATTTTTGCTGGTTTTTAAATGATGCGTGGCTTAAGTTTAATATCATTTGTTTTATGCTCACTTATTTTTTATTTGAACTGGGCTGTAATGTTGGTCCATCCATAATCATGTTGTGTAAGTGTTTGTCTTGATTAAACTTAATATCTGCAAATACTAAATTGTTGTTGGGTTTCAGGAGAATTTGTTTGTTTATTTTTTGAGTCCACTTGTGCAGTTGGTCAAAGATTATCAACTATTTCTTGGAGGAAAAAAAAAATATTGTATTGTGGATGGTGAACATTTATATATATTGGATCACCCGAAGAATCTGCCTCCCAGCTTATTTCACCTAAAGATTAACCACCCTACCACTATTTCAAGGGGGTAGGGGGTGAGGTTAGGTTAGATATAGGAGAGGTTAGGTTAGGTTTCCATTAGGGTGGTGAATCTTTTGGTGAGATAAGCCGGCAGGCAGATTCTTCAGGTGATGCTAAATATTTGTACTGGAGTCATGGAGTTTTAATGACTTTATGCAGTACTGTATTGGGTTTATTAGGAAACGTTTGCCACTTACTGTGATTAGTGACCTTGTACAGTTATGTAGGTAATTACTGTACCTGTATGAATAGCTACCTAGAAAATATAAACCGTGTAAACTAATGAAAAGATGGGCTGGCAGGAGACAATAGGTACTCAAACTTCAGGATTATAATCCCAGTTTTCCTTGAACAAAGAGTCTCCTAAATTTAACCTACCAAAGGTTCTACCTGCTATATACAGTACAGTACTATATATCCTGTCTTTCTAAAACTTTAATTTTCTCTATATGTAAATTAATTAAATTTGTGATATTTTTAATTGAAGGCTTCAGGTTATTATTGAACTATGTGTGTAATTAACAGTATGTCTCATCATGATATATAAACTTATGTAGTGAATGGTTTTATATTTCTCAGAGAAAAGCTGCTTATGTCCAAAGTCCAGCAGAAGGAGAGTGCTGGTGGTGACAGCTCACCCGGATGATGAGGTCATGTTCTTTGGACCCACAATTTTACACTTCACTCAGCGGGAAGGAGCTCTGGTGTACCTTCTCTGTCTCTCTACAGGTTAGTGCTGTACTGTACTTGTAGCTACAGTAAGAACATCCTCACACAGTTTTGTCTCTCCTAGAAAAACACTTGGGTACAGTATATTGATGACAATCATATCAAGGATAGCAGTCACAGAATCACCTGAAGAATCTCCAACCCAGCTTATTTCACCTAAAGATTAACCACCCTAACACTATTTGGGGGGATGAGGTTAGGTTAGGTTAGCATTAGGGTAGTTAATCTTTTGATGAAATAAGCTGGAGTGGAGATTCTTCAGGTGATCCCAATCATTATATCACATGATAACCAACACCTGTGCACCCACCTTTGACTTACCCACTCGAGGAAATTATGCAAGTCTTGTAGATTACTTATTGACCAGAGATATAACACCTTACTAATACCATATTGATAATGTTAATTTGGAAGTGATGGCAATGTTTACAGGTATGTGGTGGTTCTTACATAAGCTTCCCCTTCAACATTTCTTCACCTTTATTACAGTTACAGTATATCTTTGGTCAGCACTTAACATACTCTCAAAATGTCCTCAGAATTTAATATTACGGTGTTTAACCATCAAGTGAAATAATTGGGGGTTCCTAATCTTCACACGATCTGACATTAGTTTGCCCTCTGAAGGACATCATAGGTTAGAGTGACCTACTGTATAGTCAAAATAATCATACCAAGTACTCCACAGATAAGAAAGATAACAATCCATAATAAAGTTGTGTGATAAAAGGTGTATGTTTGATGTACATTAAAAAATCTAAGGTTGAGGTGAATTGGGAGATATGAGAGGGCAGCGAGGTCCATTAATGAGAACTATGAGGCCCATATAGGGTAAATAATGATAAGATTTGCTACATGTTGTTTCTGCCGTCCCTACTCACGGTATCCATATCTACCACATTTATTACAGCAGAGAGTGTAAGTGAATGATAACTGATGAAGGGAGTGTTTATATTATACTGTATGGCGCTACCAAGAGTTAAAAGAGCATTGGCATTTATTTGAGTTATTTATTTGCCAGGTAACTACTATGGACAAGGAAGAATCCGGTGTCAGGAACTGTGGGCCAGCTGTCGCCTTCTGGGTCTGTCGAGAGAAAACATTATCTTGTATCGCTGTGATGACCTGCCAGATAATCCAGACATAATGTGGCCTACAGTCAAGACAGCCAACCTCATCAACCAGTACCTTCATGCCCTTGATATTAATATGGTAATGGGGGAAATTTATTGGTGTGTGTGTTATCTTGGTGGTCATTGTCTAATACTATGATACTTCTGATATATGCTCCTTACCAGACAGCTTCTTGTAATACATTGCTGTACAGGTTATCATTTAATCAGCCTGAGATGCTATTTTAACTCAGATGTGTAAATCAGTCACCATTTTCTTTTCATCACCTGATATTAACTACTGTACTGATTGATGTCTCTCAGGTGGTGACATTTGATATAGGAGGAGTCAGTGGTCACATAAACCACACAGCGCTATTTTCTGCCGTTCAGCACTTAGTTGAGGAGGAATTTTTACCTGACAGTGAGTCCTTACTATTCTTGGTTGTTCCCAGAATGTTAATATAACTTTCATTTATTAAAAGTTTTTCATTTTGTCGTGTACAGTACAGTTAGTAATTTGTCCTGTCATAGATGTATTAGTTTGCATTCATCACCATAATTAAATGTGATATGAGTAATCTTTTCACTCCACAGCTTGTGAGGCATTTTCCTTAGATACAGTAAACATTCTCCGAAAATACTCCTCCCTTCTCGATGTACCTTTGAGCTACGCTCTCTCCTCGTGTGCCTTCACTGTAGACTGTAAACAGCATTCTATTTTACAGGTGAGTTTTGTTACAGGTGTTTTATGTTATTGCAGGAGTTGTAGCTACTCTATCTATCTATTAGTCTGTCTGTCCAGCCTTCAGTTATGTTTTACCTGTTTTAGCTCTCCAAACACTGGATACATTGTGCTATGGTATTACTGAATTATTTTTGAGCTGTCAGGTATCCAAATTCACTTTCATAATGGGGCTATGTGTAATGGATTACTTAATGTGCATGGCAGCTTAGAATGAAGGAGATGTGTTGTGGAAACAAAGAAATAAAAGGGAGGTGAGAAAATATGTTGATCAACTAATAAATGTAAGATATGAGTGAGAGGTGGATGATCAAGTTTAGTGTGTGGAAGAATAGAAGATATTAAATCACCAACAGTGGGTGTATATGGGACTGTCAGGGATGATAAGACTCCGGGGGTGAATGGAGTCACTGAGGAGAAGTGATAGAATGAGTTGACAGGAGCTTATAGGTTATGGATGAGTATACTGAAAGAATGGTAGAGATATGTGTTTAGTTGAACTCCTATGTGTAATGGGGAAATGTGATTAGAAAACTTGTAGAAATTATAGAAGAAATGTCTGTTTCATATACAGTCTCTCCTCGACTTATGACGGGATTGTCCTGACGACCAGGTCGTGAGTAGAAAATGCGAAAATAATATTGTACATAGACATTCTAATATGGGTGTCTCTTTTTCTTCTCAGCACCATGAGAACTCTCACTTTTACGCCTGCCAGCCATTTTAAAGGGAATTACAAACGAAAATTTTGTAAGTACACAGCGAGATCATTAACGTTGGTACTAGAAAATACGTAATTTGAAAAATATTTTATACAACCACAGCGGTCGTATGTCCGGGTTGTCGTAAGTCGAGTATGTTGTAAGTCGAAGAGTACAGTCCCTGTAATGGACCAGGAAAAGTATGGGTGTGCTTACCATGATGGGGTATCAAGATTATGTATGTAAGATGCCTCTGGCCAAAGAAAACAACAAAATTACTTTATACTATGGAGAGAAAAAGGAAATGTAATTAAATTTGTTTGTTTCTTTCTTTCTCAGAGTGCCATGAGAGCCCACAGCAGCCAGTATGTATGGTACAGGAAGTTATATATGTATTTCTCACGGTATGTTCTCATCAATACCCTATCCAGAATCACTCCTGAGTCATAGAGGGCATCACTTGTGTCTTGTTGTCTATGACACCAAAAAATAAAATAAATCCATTGGTGAAAATAGCATAAGAGGTATTTTTTATGTAAAACTCTACTGAGATAGTACTTAGTTTTTTTAACGCGTAACTTTTCATACAAGAGAATTTTGTTATGAGTGATGGTCAGACTATAATGAAGTGTGATTTGCTCTCATGTCATTTGTGCCATCAGTTTATACCCCAGCTGGTGTAAGACGCATTAATTAAGTGAACAGAAATGACGACAAACTTCCTGAAGGTAGAAAGTGGCCAACTCTTACTAGATCTCTTGCTAGAGACCCTGTACTGTATGTCATTAACTCTTAAAATGGTGGTCATCATCTGTGGAAGTTTCTTGTTCCTTGTGTTCCATTTTTTGCGCATATGGGTGGCGGGGGGGAATCGTTTGCCACCAATTACGGGCTAACAGTTGTCACAAGATGGTACTTACTGAAGGTTCTCCTGCTGTCCGTCTCAGTGTTCACTAAACCACTATACTGTACGTCAGAATCAAAACATTATTGATTTTGCTGAATTACGTTTCTTTAATAATTATTTTGGTTAAATGGAAAATAGTACTGTAGACTATGACAATGTATCACTGTCCTAGAAGATTTTTTTCACTCATTTTTGTAAGTTTAAGTTTTATGATCTGTTTCCTCATTTATCCCGTCATTGTTGTTTTTACCAGATAGCTACACGTCTAATTTTACTTGTGTTTCGTTATTGTAATAGTCCCACATTCCCTCTCGTATGGGGAACATTAGCTAAGCCATTGTGTACAGGTGGAGTTGTCAGGTGAGGCGTCAACTAACACCGCCAGCACCAGGTGATCATTGGTGAGGATTAGGGATGTCAATAGAATAGACTAAGTACAGTATATTGACTAGTACGGTATGTGAGGTTTTCGTTTGTTACCTACAGTATATGTACTAAAAAGCTTTAATTTGTGTATTTAAATTATAAAATGATTTTATTACTGTAATTAACAAGTTTGATGTGTTAGTTTGTATATACTAAGTTACTCTAAATAAGAGCTATTGTAATAATTCAAGTAACTTCCTCTCAAGAAAATTGTAAGGATGAGTTTTTGTTGTAGTAATAGTTGTAGTAATGTTAATACAGTAGAGTAGTCAAAAGCCATATCTGGAAGGTTGTTTGATAATTTTATTTTGAAATACCAGGTATGAAAGCCACTGTTGCCTGAAGTAAACTTGTGGAAGTATTGTTGGCTGTGTGTTTTGAAGTATGTAAGTAAAGGAGTACATTACAGTTTATGTGGTTTGTGCCCCAGTGATGGATATGGGGCTCTCTCTCTCTTAAATAGCCTTAACAGAGAAGGAGGTGGCATGGAAGTGTTAGTTATGGGTCCACAACTGCCACACAATGATCATGTTCTTAAAATTCAAGCAGGTTAGAAAATGGCACAGTACTGTCACCTGGTCACTTGTCATAACGATCAGACATCCTCCTTCTTCTTTGCCACAGACAGTAATATTCCTAGGTATTAGTATTCTGTTTTTGGTGTATTTATTGACTGGGGAGTGTCTATAATGCCTTCTTAATGACCAGGGTGCTCAGTTGTCTGGTGTGATATTGTAGCTGTTTGATAATTTTCTTTTAATTTTGTCTTTAATTTCCATGTTCCCAGTGTAGAGGTAACAATCCCCAAAAGCCTTTATGATTTGGCTAAGTTTTTCATCTACACCAAACTGCCATAACACATCCATTTTTTTTTTTTTTTGGTCCAATGTAATGGCTTTGTGAGCTCTGTTAGCACTACTCTTATCACCTGCACTCAGTAGCCTCTTTCCAGATGTCTTGAAAGGAGTAAAACGTGGCAGTCTCGGAAAAAATTTAAATGTGACAGTGTGTTTTCAGAACAAAGCAAGACCATCACCTGGTGAATTCAAAACAAAGGCATCAGTATGAACTTGTTGGGCGTACAGATTTACACAGTACGGAGAGCGTGCTATGACAAACCACAGAGTGCACGTACAGTACAAGTTGAGTATATACTGTAGTTTCATTTCCCCATTCAAAGTTTCTAATTCTGAGAAGCAAATTTCTATAATACTGCAGTGTGTTTAAATTTTGAAGATAGGAATTGGTTTCCTATTTTGTTTGTCATGGTGAATTTACTTAAGATGAGTTTTTGTTTACCCAGGAAATGTTTGTATTTGCTGCTGATTTTTGTTTTTAGTTTAGATTATAGTTTTTTATATTGAATATGATTGTTGATTTATCTTAAAAGGCATTTTATTGTTTAAAAACTCATGGTGACATAAGGCTGTGATGTTTGTGAGAGGTGGTGTGGGTAGTAGCATAAAGTTATGATGTGGCCGGGTGGGATCATGGCTGTCTACACCACCACACAACCACCATATCCAAAGTATTTATGAGCTGAAATGTAACATGTTATTTACAGCATATTTATGTAATGGTTAGACGTACAAGTTGCAAGGTAGTAAAATCAGTTGAAATCTGTTCATAAACTTGTGTCAGTCCAGGTGTATGATTACAGTCTAGGTGTGTGGAGCTTGGCTTAAGTGCTCTCCTAGTGTGTTGTACACCACATGTACTTTATTACTTTGTATATTATTACTTTTTAATCCACTTATTAGTGAAAACCTCAAATAATTTTTTATAGCAAATTTTTACCTAATTTTTATCAAATGCCTTGAGAGTTGACTGCAAAACAATATAATATGGAGATACAGATGGTAAGAAAATAGCCTTATTTAGACTGTTCATGAAAAGTACGGGAATTTCTTGGGGGTGTGTGTGTGTGTGTGTGTGTGTAAACAAACATATACACTTACTGTACCAATAATTAGGCTCGACAAATCCATGTACATACAGTACACAACTCAGAAATGTGAGTGAACCTCAACTGTGTATCAAGTTATAATGACCGTACAGTATGCTGCATGACTGCTAATATTAAGAGTACAAATTTACTTTCTGCATTTATAAAAAAAAAAGGTAATCTTCAGCACTGACTCCTCTTTTATGGATGGTGATGTAGCAAACTACAAGCTGGGTAATACAGACATTTGGGATAACTAAGCAGTAGAAAGTGCAGTATTAGTACTAACTGCTCCATGTTATTAGGTCCTCAGGAGAGCCCCGGTACACCTCTAAGGTGACCAGACAAAATCGACTTGTGTCTCTCATCAGCATTGTCAAGTGGAGCAAAGAGTTAGGGCTACTACTGGTGTCTTTTACCCCCCTGGTGCTGTTTAGTCCACTTCAGCAGCCCTCACCTTCCTTGTTGTCAGTATGTACAGTACAGTTGTAGAGTTTGTTTAATAATGCACCAGTTACTGTAGTGATCCTCATAGTGTACTGTAGTGGTGGTGGGATAATGTTTTTATTATTTAAGATATTTGTTAGTGGCATAAATGGTTCTTGTGATAATAAAATTTTAATTTACTTTCCATTAAGGATATTCTCACTTGCTGTTCTTTATGTTAGTTACCAGTACTGTCTTGAACAAATGATATAATCAACTAAACCTCATGGTTGAGACCCCTTTTGAGGCCAGTAGTGACTATGTTATATGCCAGTAGCTAAAATAATGATGTTTACAGTACAGTAAAGTTTACCGTTAGTCATATTAACGCTAAAATTGCCAACAGCCGAAGCTTAATAGGTCTTGTTAACTATATTTATTTATTAACAATATTTTGTTTTTCATAGTTTAATTGTTTATGATAATTAAGACTTCTTTTTCACTAATAGAGTAACCAGAGAAATTATAATCTGCACAATTGATGGCCTAACTAGGTAGGCTGCTTGTGTAAGAACTACAGTACTGTACCTGGAGGTCTGCCATTAATGGTCAGGACTAATTTTACAGTCAGTCCAGCCTCTTACTGCAACAACTTGTCCTGAAATTAAGAGTTAAAGTAAAAAAAATCCATTTTATAAACCAGTGTTCTTACGACATCAGGAAATTACATCAGTACTCGGTCTGTTTTCAAGTTATTCATTTAAACTGTTGGGCCCATTTTCATTAACCTAGGCATAAATGCTTCTGGTAACTAGTTTGACTTGAACTTTTTTCTTCTGATGTCATGTCTCAGCTGCTAGTTGATAAGTTAGAGGAAACTTATTCTCTTGATGACATTTGTCTCATCTACTGTTTAGTTTTCATAGTAGATAGGCATACAAATCTGTTTCAACTTCTCCAGACTTACCAACCACCTGATGCTAGTGTGTGTATGGTGATCTGTGGCTTTAGGTGTTAAGGTTTGTTCCTGGGATGTTCCATAAAGAATTATGACTTTCAATATTTTTTTTACATTATAAACTGTCTATATTGGTATACATAGATTTTCTGGAGCAGCAGTTTATTGCATTTATGAATATATCTCAGGTTTCCTCCAGGAGAGTCATCTTAGGTCACTTGGGCCTCTTATTATGAGTGTTGTCCTATCACTGCTACACTGCGGTTTGACCTAGGATGAATTGCCTCAGAAGTATCACTATTTTCCTGCAGTCCTTGTGAAAGTAGACTTGTAAGTAACATCATTATTTTGTTATTTCATTTGTAAAACATTATTAATTATCTTCAATGGAAATCCCACAAATTGAATGAAGAAAGTATTGACCCAATTTATAAATAAGACCATCTTCAGTATCAACAGTTTATATAGTGTATTGTTGGGTGCTAAGTATACGTTGTATCCATGACTGGCCAATCAACACCACACCACACAAAAAATTCCTGGTATTTTCATAACGAACATGAATATTTTTGAGTAACCAGAAATGAGGGAAGGGTTTTGGGGTAATAATGGATGGCAGTTATTGGAAAAGACTTGTGGTTAAGGGAGACTTTACTGTTTTGTATAAATTTAGAATGTAAAAATAATTTTGTCCTTTATACATACTACTGTACTGCAATAGTGTACAGGGCTGTAGTTCTCACTCAGTCCTGCAGATGGCACCATACACAGCTCACATTCTTCCCATACATATTTTAAAAGCTGTGGCTGGAACAGAAAGGGTTTAAATTGATTATATAGTTAATTCCTGCCACCAGTGTCAAGAAGCCTAGGTTTCAGGGGCAGATCCAGGGGGTCCAGAACCCCCCTTTCATCAGAAAATTCCAATATCTTTTCTTTAATGCAGTATTGTACTCAGGTATTTTTGTAAAATAAAAAGTAACTACTATAACCTAAGAATATCTCCTAATGCCAAGTGTACATGGCTTCAAAATGACGTCAAAATGCCCATGATATTGGTCAGATTAAAAAAAAATCATGGGGTGGGGACTTACAGTACCCCCCAAAACCTCCCAGCTGGATGGGCTCGCTGTGCTCATCATATTCCCCCACCCACAACTTTTTAGACCCCCCCTATCCCCCTCCTGATATTCCTGGATCTGCCCTGGGGTTTTCAGTGTACTGTATAAAGTTTGGCTGGTAATTCATGAGGCACCTGATCTATGCTCGGTTATGAAATGGTACAGTATTTAGAATCCAGTCCCAAATACTGTACACACGGGTGTTTTAAATTTAAATTTCTCAGAAGTAATTTTTCTTGTCCTTTAGCTGTCACAACATCTTAAAACATCTCAGAGTTGTTTAACAGTTAACTGAGAGCTTTCTAATGACATCCTCCCAAGTGGTCTGTGATCTACACTTGATGTCCATGTTGCAGAAGTGACAGTTACAGCCTGGCAGCTAAATTTTTGTCATGATAATTAAAAAAAAAAAATTAATGAGTAGAATCAAAGCACCAATAAATGAACCGTAAATGTTGTTCATGTGTTTCAAAACTGAACATTTATAGTCGGTACCAATATACAGATCTATGCTTCTTATTGGTGTGTGTGTGTGTGTGTGTGTGTGTGTGTGTGTGTGTGTGTGTGTGTACACAAGTGGTTGATTTGAGTATGTTCATGTGGGGCCACACCCTGGGTATACTGTATATGATTAACACCAGGATCAGACTAAAACTATGCAACTTTGTGCCTCTCAGTGTCCATGAAACCAAATTCTACAATTTTATCTATTGATTACATCCTTTAAGGTTTTAATCAAGCTAATAAAGAATATCTTGTCTTGTTTAATACAGTAATTTCTTAATATTGCACCACCTCATATCTTAAACATTATTTACAAGTAACAATGCTACACATTTCAAGATAATATGATTATAATAATGCACGATAATAAGTTGTGGATAAGCCATATGACAATTTAAGTATACAATATCTTGTTGCTTTGACAAACAGAGAAGTTATTGGTGAAACTTCTCTCTTTTTTGTAATTTAATTCTTACTCTAGATTTACAAATTATTAAAAGACTGTATTGAAGTAGTATTACTTTTCAACGTATTGGAGTATTTATAACAAATATGTACACAGTATAAATGTATATTGTGATAGTTGCACAGGAGTGTCTGTCTGTGTATGAATCATTTAAAGCTTACTGTACAGTATTAGTAATGGAGATTTTTAATACAGTACGGGCATATGGTACCTCTTTGACTGCTGTTTCATTATAATGCTCATTGTTCTGGAGGAAATTTGTACTGTAAAAAAGTTTAAAATCTCTCAAATCTTTTAAAAGTCCTGTAGGAGACCGTGTAACAGTCTCCTCTTTTCTCTGGCCCACAAGGTCACCTTATGAGAGTGATGTATGCTTATTACTGCTCAGCCAGTCAGTTTCCGCCACCATACTTTCTGCTCCTGAAGGTGTGTTCACTCCATCGTGGTACTGTACTTTCTTTTTTTTGTTTTACACATAAGGTCTGGAAAAACACATGCAAGTGATAATGCTGTTCTTATGGCCAAACAGTTAAGGAAAAGCTGAGGATTATAAGTCTTCAGAGTTGAGAAGAACCTGGGTTTATAAGGAGAGAGATTTGAGTGAATAAGCCTACACAGTACTGTACTGTGTTTTCTGGTGTTAAGTGTTATACTTAAGGCAGTGTTGTTTATATGACTGGAGGAGAGTTTTGTTGATATATTTCCTGGGCAGTAAGTTGCTACTACTTTCATAAAGTTACTCTTTAAGGCCTTTGGGTATAACCTGGTTATGTGAGAAGTTGCAGTTGGTATTATTACTGTATCAATTTCTGGAGAACCTGTGTTAAATTTATACTTGTTTAGGTGCAGATACAGGTAATACCAAAAAGCATAGTTTTGATAATTGACCAAAGGAGAAAATTTATACCAAACATGAGATGTTTAAAACCGTTGGCATATATTAGTATTAAGGTTTTCTTCGATGATCAAAAATCTTAATAAGAAAAATGAACACTAAAAATGTATAACATTTAATAAGATGTAGTTAATGTTTTACGGTGAAGGGACTTTTTTATCGTGCAAACATATTTCTGGTGTGTAACAGGGTGGCCAGGTTACTGATGTTATGAGTACAGTACATCCTTTCCCTGGATAAGGATTCCTGTAACTTAGGGGCTGTTGAGAGTAGCCATGTGCAGTATATATAATGGTCACACTGCAGCTTTATTTACTATTGTATTGTGATTGTTGTTGAAAGGTATATATATATATATATATATATATATATATATATATATATATATATATATATATATATATATATATATATATATATATATATATATATATATATATATACAACACTATGTTAAAGGTTTTGTTTCATTGAACCTAATGAAATAGAAAAGTAAATTCCTTTACCCAATCATATACAGTCCAGTATATCTGTTTCTCAGGATCAAGATGTTACACCACAGTCACACAGTACATGTAATATTTAATATTATAATCTGTCTCCGATCACTTGTATGACCCCAAACATGTTTATAATGATCTGTAAACCTCTCTCCCTCTCACATATCATTAAATAACAGTAAAGAAGACATAATAAAGACGCAAATAAAAATAAAATTATTTTATATACAGTACTGTATATGGTTCAAATTACCCAATGGCCCCCAGCTTGGGAACCACTACTCTAGACATATAAACACCACCACCTGAGCAGCACACAGGCATCCACACACACTACAGGACATACTGAGCAGACCTCTCGGCTCATCCACATTCATGTGACTTTTCAGACCACGATGCCAACACGAGAACACATGTCTTTCATCGTTTTACATGTTCTAGACACATGAACCTTGATTATGGAAGGATTTTATATTATTATTTTATACAAGTGCATACTCCATTTTTTCCCATATTTGCACACGGTGATCAGCGAAGTTTGTTACTGGGGGTTAAACGGCGGCTATGGATTTCCTACTTCGCTCCCATACTGTATTTGCAAAAAATGGAACCCAAGGAACTGAACATCTACAAACCCCAAAATAAAGTAGTGTACTGTAACTTGTTGTACCTCACCCATGAACTTACATCATATTCACTCTGGGGTGGTTATTCCTGTGCTAATTTAACCTTGTCCGGTCTTGTGACATTTTGGGTGTGCAGGTGTGTGTGGTAGGCCCAAGTCTTACAGTACTGTATAATGTTCTTGTGAGGTTTTGCTTCAGACACATTTGTATCCAGAACATAATTAGAGACATAGATGATGCATTGTATTTATTGTTGCTCTCCTTAGAATTATTATAAAAGAAATATGAAAAGCTAGATACAAAAATACAGTACAGTGCCCCAAATATCCCAAGATATAACATCTACCTCAGACTAAGTTCACTGCAAGTCCAAGAAGTGAAGTTTATGTACTTGAACAGAAGTGGTTCATAAATAAGGATGACAATTAGCAATATGCTTTAATGTACAGTTTAGTCTGCATTTATGCGGTTTTTGTTTACGAGTTTGGTAATTTACGCAGTGCCTTGCCAGAATGAAAATGCTTTAATTATGCGGTAAATTTGGTCATTTACGCGGCAAGCGGCTGGAGAGGTCCAGACCGCCGCGCCATTTTTTACCCACGTGGGAAGCGGCGCGGTGAGTGGTGCACATTAGGCCGCTCTTACGTTATCGCTGACGTCATATGACGTATCGGACTGTGATTGGGCCAGGCATCCTTACCTCCCTCCGCCGCTAGTTGTGATTGGGCCATGCATCCTTACCTCCTTCCGCCGCTAGCTGTGATTGGTCTAATGTAACATGACGTGCCCTGCCACCAGAGGATAGAAGTCACTGACCTAGCAGGGCCTGTCTCATTGTTCTCAGTCTGCGTATACAGTTCTCTCTTGTGCCTGCTATTCCTCTCACAACTCACAATGGCTTCCGCGGGACCCCCACCACCAGAGAAAAACATTGAATTACCTGGACCAAGCCATGATAATGTGAAGGAAATCATCGAGTTGGGGGAGAAAATTAAGCTCATCCTTGACAACGACCCAAACAAGCATCGGTATGAAGCGTCTAATAACCATCCGACGAAAATTATGGAGCCTTCTATCCAGATCTATCTCGACAACATCAATGCTAGTCAACGTAGTATTGAGGACTTCCTCGCCCGCAACCCACCACAGCCAGTCCAAGTCAGTGATATTGACAGTGAGGATATGGGGTTTGTCTGGGAGGCCCTGCAAACCTCTGCGAGTAGTGAAAGTGATTCACCGGAGGGCAACTAATCTGCCCTCTGCCTCGGAACCAGCCGCCATCCACGTGTGCCGACCCAGCTTTTCTACTAATATTATTGATATTTCTCTTAATTATTAATTGTGTGTGCATACCATCAAAAAATTAAGATGTTATTTTTACTACAACGTACGTATTGTGTCGGAAAAAGTGGAGTTTGGGGTCGGCCCAGTCTCTATTTCAATTATAATCCCATATGTTCTGTTATTTCATTTACGTATTTCTCGTTTTACGCGGGCCTCCACGGGTTCAATTGACCGCGTAAATGCAGACTATACTGTATACGGAGAGAAAAACCTGCAGATGATTCTGTAGCAAAAATCAGTCCTATATCCTGACATAATAAAGAAAAGCCTTCTTTAGTTACACTGCTTCTGCTGCTGAACCATCACGGCTCTGGTGGTGATGTCTGGCAAACGTCTCGCCAACAAGTAGTGGAAACAAAAGCGATGCTTCACCATACACCTGTTTGGAACATTCCAGTTAATATTTCTGTATTAAATAATAGGTCTAAAGTTGAGGTGTGCAATTATAATTAATCATATAATGTCATAAAGTATACAACAATAATTCCTCATACCTTATTGTTTGTTTCTAATTTGTATTGTCCCCATGTGTCTAATATATTTCATTTACTAAATTGCACAGTAAAACTCCCATAACCTGGCACTTAAGGGACTGAGGCCTTGCTGAGTATACAGTATAATCAAATTTGTCGACTTAGTGGTAATGATCCTATAAACATTATACAGTACAGGATAATGAAGTAAAAACAGTTGTATAAGGCACTTACCAACAGCAAGGGGCAATTTTTTAGATGAACTTGTAAGAAGCAGACTAAGTGTACTATATTGTGTGCATCAATTTACAGTAAAGTAAACTGTTCTGACAAATTTAACACTGATGTATACATAACCACCACTTCACAAGCAGTGTAAATAATTGTTGTGACAAACTTAAGACTACACTTTATACATAACACTATATGTACAATAAAATTTCACAGGCACTTATTCACTGTCAGAAGGTCTACCTGTGATGAAAGGTGCACATAAAATGATGCTCACAGAAACAACACAGGTTTACAAGCATGGGTCGGCTAGCCAAGTTATCTGGCTTGACTAAACTCCTGCCGACTTAGCACCAATTTGCCAACTACTGTGCTAAAATATGTAATGGTTATCCAGTGCTGTGCTGACTTATCAGATGATAAGTTATGGGAGTTTACTGTAATTCTTATAATTAATCTCTCCTAACTGTACCAACTTACTGTTACTGGTATATTATTTCACTGTTACATAATCTCCCACACCTAGAAAGCCCGAGAACCCTGAACCAAAATTTCAAAAAATGAGACACGTGGCCAACCATATGAAAATTCCTTGCTTTTATCATTTTCACCACTCATCAGCTTATTAGCTGTTTGTGCAGTTGGTCTATCCATTGTTAGTACAGGAAGAAACCAGAGGCCGGTAAACCAATGATGTGACCAGGTTCGAACCTCTGACATATTGGCGAGAGATAAACATGTTACCAATTTAACACCAACACCTCTTTTGTGGCAAATTGAAGCCCTCCTCCACAGGACAAAGAGGTATGAAATTAACCTCTGCTCCTGATCAACAAGAGCTCTAGGTGACAATTAAGGGCTCCCCTACTGCTGCAAAAAAGTAAAAGTATTCTAGTTCAAGCTTCTAGAACTGCTATACAAACAACTAACTCACTTTGACAGGAGTGGCATCCATCTTTATCTTGCCCCATGACACAGCCTCATCAGGTCGAGCACCAGTATCACTACCATCCCACTCACTTGATGTGTTTAGGAAGACAGAGAAATCTGCTCCATTCCTCTGTAAATAAAAAATTAATGTTACTGTCAACTTAAAAGGTAGTACTGTACTGTACTGTACATAAAAGATGATCTATATCATTCATACTGAGATCATAGGAGAGAGTTTGCTGTAAGGCAGGATAATGTTAAGAGTCATGAGACCACGCAGTTCATTCTTTGCAATGTGCAGATTGTACGTCATCTGACAGACTCATTTACCATGCTTTTTGGAACAACCTTTCACTAGCCATCCTCTACGAAAATTTTAGGGAGGTAGGTGGGATCTTGGTCACTCCTCACTGGTGCCTTTATACTTACACATGTAGTACCAGTTCATACACACCATAAGATATCAACTATAAAAACTTGGTCATCACATACTCAGACCTGCCATCAACAATTAACCTCCCAAAACCAGGTAATCTTAATATCTAAAATAAAAAAATCTTCACATGAGACCACATCTTCATCTATTCTATGACTCAACATTGGAATGGGAAGCTGAATAGGATATCAAAACTGACTCAGAATGGGACACTATATACACGGCCTGATTAAGCTTAATAGGGGCCTGAGGCACAGATCAACTTGGGGCCCCCTACCCTCAAGGTATATATAAATAACAAGAACAAAATATACCCAAATTTATCAATGATTTCATCAATATTAAGCTTCTGCAAAATACCACATTTAATGTTCATAAGAGACAGAAAATTGAGACGTTGCTAGGACATAGTTGAACGAAGTTCATGTTTTATACGCTTCAACTTCAAGAATGTTTGGATTTGGGGGCCCCTTAGAGTCGGGGGGGCCTGAAGGCAGTGCCTCATGGTTAATCCGGCACTGACTATATACCACAAGATACTCCCAATCTTATAAAATGTGAACATCAGCTAAAATCACAAGTTTTGGATCAGTGTCATTAATTCACTGGAGCAAAAACAAAGATACTTGAGAAGTTCACTTCCTCCACATGTTATAAACTGAAGACCTACTTGACTCATGTTTTTTGCTTCATCACTTAGCACCTGGCGATTTTTTTCTGTGTCAAACAAATGAATAACTGAAAACTTGAGGATTATGACAAAGAACAAGTCTGAAAATGTACACAGAGAGCCAGACTTGAAGGTGGGAGTGATTTGCTGGTACATCATAGGAGGTTGATCCCAAGAGACCTGACACTCCTGAGCAAGTCTTTTTACATTACAGGAGTTGCCTCTCTTAAAGGTGAGAAACAGTCAACCATTCAAGCCCAGAAGAACTTCCCTGGGTTTATGGTATATAAATGTGATATAATAAGATCAAACAATCAACCTAAAAATAATCTTACTGACACCAAGAATTCCATATATAACCAGTCCCCGGGTTATGAATGTCCGACTTATGAATTTCTGCTGATATGAATGAGGTTAAACTTCAAATTTACAGTAAACGTACTTTATTTTATTTACCCGATGGCTTATTTTTACTTACATACTTACTTACTGTATTTTGTCATTCTGTTTCTTCTTTACTCTTAAATTAAGGGATTTTATAAGTATATAAGGATTTAGGATATGATATACAGTACTGTAGTGGGGTTTTAAACATTGCTCTATATGTACGGTATGCACATAGCATGTGTTTCGACTTGGATACATTTTTGACTTAAGAACGTCCCTAGGAACATAACTCGTTTGTAAACCAGGGACTGCCTGTACAGTAATAATAAGTAATGTTTGCTAATAACCACAAATTAAATAACCTAACCTAACCCTGACCAGCAGCAGCCCCCATTAATTGGTGGTGGCTTATGCCCTTTTTTTTCCAAAGTGAGTTAGATAATACATTCACTCACATTATTCATACAGTACATCTTTACAAGTGATCACAAGTCTTGGAATTTGGCAAATATATTAAAACTCATATGATCATATTTGTAGTTTACCACAGTAAAAATCTTACCATAAGGTTGGCATTACATATGTGATGTTTGATAAGGCCACCACCCACAATAATCATCCCTGTGTTCAAAGACTTCTTGGTCAACTGATTCAGTCTAGCCACATCTGAAATTTATAAATTTCTCAATGTAGAAAAATATGCTAAAATATATTGTAAACTCTAGTGTACATGGACAACTGACACGCCTGACAAATTCTGGCAGAAAAAATTATTATTTTTTTTTAATTTGACAGAACATGTTGGAATGGATACACAAACTAACTGAAACTTATTAATATTAATACCGTATAATTATAACAAACCCTGAATTCACAACAGTTTTATCTGTATTAATTCTACAGTATGCAATAGGTCACTTAGTTTTAGACAAAAATTTGAAATCTGCAACCTCCAATCTGTTCAACACAAGTTGCTGTACTGAAATTACAGTAGATTCATTGCTCAGAAACTAGACATAACAGTACGAGTAAATGGGTAAAGGGGTCAAATGCTTTTACCCGTCAAACCTACCAGCTTCAACCGCGGATAACCCTCCACAATGATAGCTGGCACTACTTTAATCCCTTGTGTGTGGGTCCCCTCAGAGCTGAATAAAATTGTCAGGTTCATATTGCAGATGAAATTCAGACAAAGAATTAAAAGAAATAATAAAAAGTAAACGAGAGACTTTCAGATTTATAAAATTACACTTTGATAACAAGTTCAAAGAACAATATCCCACTGGGATTGTAATGACATAACTCTCTACAGGTTGATAAGGTTAATAAATGATAGTGGCTACATCGTGGGATACTGAAGAGAGATGAGCACTGAGGGGAAGAGATGTCTGAAGAATCAATCTAAAATAGAGGAGAGACAGATATAAAAGATCTACTGTGTGTAGGAGAGAGTTGTTAATAAGTGCTGAGATGAACAGTAGCTACTCTCCTGTCTATTTATGTCTTAAGAATGTAAACAAGAATCTTCTACCTGCATTAATATCAATGATGAGACCAGGTTCTTTAATGCTATGGAAGTACAGCATGTCCCCTAAACTACCATCTGTTATTGCCGGGCTGAAGATTGGAATTTTGTTTTTAGCCGCCCAGTAAGCAATACTTGAAGGATCGTTGACCTCCTCACCCAGGCGAGTTATTATCTTCGATGGTGTCCAATTTACACCCTGTTGAATATGTAGAGACTATGATTATTAAATAAATGTGAAAACAATTTAGTTATAAAGAGGGTGGTGATTTGGAAAAAAAAATATGACATTCATGTGTCAGGTTCATCCTGAAATGTGTCGGACTTACAATATACACTGAACATTTATAAACTTTACCTAATGTTAACAAACTTTTCCTGCACAAAATATGATCAAACAAGCTGACAAATTTGAGTTTTATCTTTGGTCCCATACCTGCAAACCAACCCATATAATTATCAGTAGAAAATGCACTCTATATACATAAAGAAACAGACTCATACAGATGAGCACTGTAACACTCCTAAGTAGATACAGTACTGTGGTTATGGAACTTCTCAATCAGTTGAACACACCTCCTTCTTCTGTTCCTCTAGCATTGCCGTAAGTTTTGGCATCATCCAATCCTCGAACTTGCAGTAGTTGTTATTAGGTACAATGAGGTTACCTATTCTATTGAAGCCCTTCACACGCAGGTCCTTCCCCTTGAGATACCAGTCGCCGAGGTAGGTTGGGGCAAGGCACTTAATGATATCTTCCTCCACGCCCCCTGCAGTAGTCACAATGCAGTCCACCAGCTTGTGCTCCACTAAAAACCTGACAAGGGTAGTTTTCTTTATTTTGTATTCTTTTATACTGTAATATCCAAATCTTCCATCAATCCCATGTACAGTAGCTCATTCATAAGATGTCTCCTCCATATATCCTCCACTACCTAATGATGTACAGTACAGTATTACAGTATTAATATGGCTTTAAACATATAATAATAAAAAAAATTTAATTAACCACCTAAGTTAAACAATTGCAAATCTAAGCATATTAAGACATGACATCAGATAGACATTTATTTATACAGCATCTGCATCATTATATACTGTAGTGTTACCTGCCACTATAACACAGTTCATCACTTGCCAATGTTACTAAAAATAGATTTGAGACGACGTGGTAACAGCACGACGTCAGAACAGAAGACAAACATCCCAGTAGAAATATATATAGTGGTCTCTCGGTTAACGAACGGTTCGATTAACACAATTTTGGTTAACGAATTACCTCCCATAAGGATCTTCAATTCGGTTAACGAACAAAACTTCGATTAACGAAATCCTTACGACAAACATGTTTTGTTGTGAGCATCAGCTGATGGGCTAGTTTGCCAATTCAGTAATCTGTTCTATGTTTACATTCGTTTCCATGGAGTAAATATCAAGAAAGTTGTGCTCTTTAATATTTTTGCATTTATTTTATTAAAATTATTAGTCATTTTAAAATTTAGTTAACATACTGATAATATATGCAGTGCAGGGAACTAGTTTTTTGTGCGCCCATCAGCCGCTTGACTCACCCACCAGGTGTCAGTGCGGCTTTGTTTACAGTGGAGTGAACATCGATTTTGTTGGTGTCTTGAATATTTTTGCATTTTTACATTAAAATTATTAGTCATTCTAAAATTTAGTGCAGTGTTGATTTAAATAAAATAATCTTGAATTACACCGAGTGAACTTAAAACTTTATTGGTGAAATTACTGCATCAAACATGGGTCCCCTGAAAGGTGATTTCTTCTCCATCCCCACGTCCTTCTCTTCTCCCTTCTCCTCCACCCCCACTTCTAATTCCCATCATCATCATCAACCAGGAACCTTCTACATACACACCTCAAAGTAAGTGTACTTTCTGCATTTTCTTTTTACTTTGTATGTACTTTTCTGTGAGCTGGAACCAATTACCCAATATCCCATTGAAACAATGGATTCGGTTAACGAAAGACTCTGTGGAACGAATTGTGTTTGTTAACCGAGGGACCACTGTAGTTCATATGCTGACAGCTGTAACATTTTAGTGTATAGTATTTTGTTCTGTGTCTTTTAATGAGTCAGATGATAATTGTAGCAGTGGTTATTTTAATTTATTATTTAGGGTAACAGAGATACAGTGCTTTGTTTGTCCTCCGCACCACTATCACGTGGTCGCCGTACACAACTGTGTGGCATCACTCACAAACTGTGCTATACTGAAAATGTCAAAGGTTCCACACAACACGACACCAACAAATTTATGGAGCAATAAGTTCACTATAACACTAGTACAGTACTGCATGTTCACTACATCACCTATAACTTAAAACCCAGAAATCTGTTTATTTCCTCATGGGAAGAGAGATTTTAGTGGATATTCACATCTTGATATCTAGGAATATGACACCTTCCCTCCCCCCAATGAAGTTAATCTCTATACAGTATGAGCAACTTTGATATAGTACTACAGAGCTGTACATGAGGTTTTCAAGACTAAAAGTTCCCCTCCACCATGCTACTGTACATACTCAGTTAGCCTTCCCTCCAACACAAGACCAATGTTACCTTTTTCTGCACGGGGACAAATGATACGTGCAAATAATTAAACAACGAGGGAATAAGGCCTCACCTGATGGTCTCTCGAACACCACACGAGACCATGTTGGATGTATAGCCAAGAAAAATAGTGCAGTTCCTCTTGATTTTGATAAATTCATCTTCTTCCAATTCATCGCTAAAGTCTTCTGGTATAGGCAGTTCCCGGCAGGTTATCTGATACAAAAAGTTATCTTTATCCTGATGATTGTTCTAGAAGCTTTTTAGTGCAAATTTTAATGATTAAATTTTATAGATTAATTATGTCACTTACTAATAAAAAAAATGTCATGCTTAGTTTGATTACACTGAAGACAATAAATTGGGGTTGGCAAAAACCATTGTTGTTTTTTAACCTAAAACCACGGGTTTACATTTTTTTAATGCTATTATGCTGGTTTTAATATATTTTAAGTATTTATAGCCCTTTTATAACTTTTTAATATGCTATTAATCATGAAAATTACATTCAGATCTTACTATAGAGGTGATCAAATGTAACCTGATCAGCATTACATTGTACATACATTGATAACATATAAGTGGGGCACAGTGTGTGTGTGTGTGTGTGTGAACCATTATGTTATTCAAACAAATAAAAGTAGACCTTAGGTACAGGGGCTAAATCACTTACCATCTTTTTAATCTCTTCCACTGCACAACCAAAGCTTGTTGCTTGAAAGCCAGAATATCTATATGTCTGGAAGAGTTCATGGTAGTTGACACCATTGTTGAAGTCATATCCTGGGGAGAAAATGATTGTTGAACTTTCAAACAATGAAAAAGTTTTATATTACAGTGACCGTGAGGCCATGTACTATATTGCTATTTGGCCTCTCACCCCGCACAGGGACACGCACAATCTGTGCATTCCTCTGTTGTAGGTCTGGGACAGGTAGAGAGAGAGAGAGGAGCAAAACTTCACAATACAGTACACAGCTTTGGTTTAATGTACTGTATATTTGTTGCATGTGTTCTTAAATGTTTTGCCTGTATATATAAGGATGGAGTGTGATGTATGACTCAAATTATTCTCCTTCTTTAGCTCACTTATGTATACAGTTTTTTATTTTATTTTTTTGCAAACAATCAATACACAGAAAAAACAAAGTCTTTTGAGGACACATCAATGTCACACACCCTCTGTGCAATACCTTGAACTGTTGGAGTTCCCTCAGTTACTTGTTCTGAGTGCGCCAAAACTGCCTCCTTGGAAACATCCTTTACACCCTCCATCCTGCAAGACAATGTATATTAATAAAACAAAATGCACTTGGTTCATTAAGGTGACTTCTACATGAAAGCTTTTACTGAAATTTCCAAACACATTTTTGTGAACAACCTGTCCTGGTGTTCTTTTTTTTTTACTTCTGTACAAGTTTCAAAACTGAGGGACTGAGCATGACACCTAAATTTATCAGAAGACTTATGTACTGTGGGTGATAAGGGTTCTCAAGATACTGTGTAGCCCCTATTAGTACTGTACTGTAGTGACGAAAACCCAGTTACTGAAGCTAAGTTTTGTGAATCTACGCCGCCACACTAATACTCCACATGTTATCACAGACCCTTTGAGGTTCAAGTGAAAATAATAATAAAGTAACACGGAGCCCCCTCGACAAGAAGGTTGAACATTGATCCAGTCACCCGATCAACCCAATGCAGTTGATTGTGAAAGCATTAACTCCAAGGCATAGTACAGCTTGCACCCTTTATCCCAGGAACCAGTAGTGAAGTATGTAGGTGTATCTATATAACCAGTGAGGAACACCTTCGCAGATACACCATAACGGCAAATATGACACCATCCAAAAAATCACCTTGAAACTGCCCTAGGTGGGAACACTTTTTTTTTTCCGATAAAATTTTAAAGACTTATGACATACTATCTCAGCAAGGAAAAAAGTCAAGCACTGAATTTACATAACTCATGTAGTAGAGGGTTTAATCACCAACTATGTCTTGACTTAATAAATAACTAAAAATGCCGTTGATCCTACACATTGCAAAATGGTCAATATCACAAACAATACAAACGATTATTAAACCGAGAAGTTACTGTACATATCTATTATATAACAATCGCTCTCTTAACTACTGTAAATCTAAAAAATACAAACAGTGGTGCTCAAGTAGTGAAGTATCACCAAACTACTGTACAGTAGTTGAGTAGAGTGACTCACGTGTAAATAGTGTCTGTCAGCTGCGCACATAAACAGGATTGCCAAGACTCATGAGTGCACTAATGCCAAATCCGTTGAAATTCATTTCCAAATTAAGTGTTTCAGTGTTAAATTTCCTAGCACAGCGACATATAACAAAATAGATAAAAATTAGTAAACATTTGGTTATAGTATCACTTAATAACCAGTACAATACCTTAATTAAAAAAAAAATCTTCCGTAAGTAAATATATTAATGTAATTTATAAACTCATACACACAAGGCTATAAGAACTTAATTTAAGTAATGCTAAAATGGCATTTTTTTTTAATATCAAACCGGCTTTTTAATACCAAATTTAAGGGAATTTGGCATTGGAAACTGCCAATTGGCAACCCTGGCCGCCTGTGTTCGCTCGCTATACTGATAACTGACCATAATTTTGCTCGCTTTCCTTTGCACAAAATTTCTATTACTGTACTGTATTTTACTATCTATCATTTCACCACTTGTGGTATTCTGGTTGAATCCCACATGAATGTTAAAGACACACAATTTTTCCTGAATATGAAAAAAAAAAAAAAAAATTACAATTTATTTGTAGATAGTAATCAGTCACGCAGTTCCTCGTTATTTGATAAGAGACATGCATAGTGCATCAACCTTTTAAGAACGATGGTATAACCCTTTGCGGATGATGTTTTAACCTTTTGATGATGATTGTTTAACCTTAGAGGAAGCTGGCGTAACTCTTTGGGTTTAAATCATCTAGAAGAAGCCCGCAACAGACCATTTAGGAGTGAATGTGGGATATTGTCTGTACTATTAGCATCAACTGTTTGTCAAAAGGAGGATTATTGATTATCTTTACAACATATCAAGTAACAACTATGATAATATTTAGGATTTCATGTCAATATCTGCTCATAACAATTGCTAGTTTGTCCGGTTTGGTGTGCTATGTGAAATGAGTTGCTTATTGCTTAACACCTCACACTAAATACCAGAAGAAAACGGTACATAACGTAAAAATTATAAAAAATTTCAGATTCACGCTGAAATTAAAAAATAATTTATTTTAAACGCAAAAAATACATATATATTTTTCTCACTTTGTGTTATTTAGAGGGTTTTTGTAGTTTAGTAGTGATGTGTTTATTTACGTGGGTGTGACTGACTGACAGACAGCAGCAGCCCATCAGGTGAGGTCACTGTGGTAGTCACTTTACTTGTAATTGGAAGAGCTCTGATTTAAATAGCTCATATAATCCTTCCACGATGACGTTATCTCTTGTTGATAAGCTGCTGTAGTAAGCAAATAGTGGTGAAGAGGATATAGTGTGGACTGTGAGCGGACGTTTGGATCACGGGTAGGTTAGGTTAGAACCACCTTGACCTAAACCAACGTCCTAGATTCAATATGAACACATTCGATAACTGTAGTGCCCAACATCTTACAATTTGGGTAAGAGTAACCCATCTGGTGTTCTTTTCGTTAAACAAATCATAAAAGTTTTGTCTGATTGTAGCAAGAACAAATTATTGCCTATTGTATACTGTTAAACTAGAGTACCATAGGAACCTCAGTTTATTTCACCTGGTGATTAAACACCCTGGTGGTAAAGGTTAGGTGTTGGCAAGTTCTAAATATTTACCAAGGCTAGCATTAGTGCTTAATCATCAAGTGACATAAGCTGGGTTCCTAATCTTCGTGATATCCAGTAATTAATTTTTCCTGCCAAAATCATAATTCACTGATGGCTATTATCAATTAACTGAAGAGGCAAAAGTCATAACTGGACTTGACACTTTTTAAGAGTAAATATCAGAGGAAAAGAAACAGTAAATCACACTCAATGAATAATTATGGTTTGTTTCACTGTCCTAAATACTAAATAAGCTTGCACAGCTAGACTTAAATATTTACCATAGTAAATTCTCAACTTGCTTTCATACTGCACTGAAGCTTTCTTGCATGGGCAGTTTTAATTAGTGTTTCCTGTATTCTTGCAGAATTACAAAACACAATTTCTTATTGAAGAAATTGGTATTCAACAACAGGAAAAGGAAATATGAACATGGAATATATACATTAGTAAAATTTGAGTCAGTTGTCGACAGTCATCATCTGTGAGACCGAACAATTAGACGATACATGAAGGATTGACACAGATCAAACGTAACCTTACCAAACTGCTAAGAAATAACTTAAGTGTTTGGTTAGGTTGATTTATCGGTAATGCCGTAACATCATGCAACAAAATGTTTGAATGTTGAATACTGTATTGCTTTCTTATTTTGCGCATTTAAAATAATTCCCAGAAATTTAATTTTTCTCTGATATCTACAACTATTTTCAACAGTAAGAAGTAATGATCAGTAATTCTGTAGACAAAATTGGAAAAGTATTCAATACACTATTGAGGTAACACAAGAATGCTTCTGTACAGTACAGTATTGCCTAACAGGAGTGCAGCATGCCACTCTCATTAGTTACTAATGTTCTGTGTTGTGTGAGACATTGGCATTATACTGTACATATGAATAATGAACAAAACTTAGCCAGCCATCTATTCTATCTTAATTGAAAAATAACTCCGGGTTAGGTTAGGATACTGGTAGTTTGGTTCATGTCATATTTCATAAACTACAAGTATTTAATGTGATAGTCTTATATAGTTCACTAAATGTCAACAGTGTTGGATATTGCTATTAAATTTAATTCAAAGTAGGTTTGAACTAATTTCCTTGGTATCCAAGACTTGATTATGCCATAATAAATATTGTTTTAGTAATAGGGGAAATAATATAATTGGATATGTTCGACAACTTCAGTATTACTATCAACCTTTTTCCTGTCTACAGAACTGTACATAAGAACTGATGAAAGACTTTAAATTTATTGAAAATTTATTGATCTCCAAAGTCAGGATATAACAATAACACATTTTACAAGCTTTAAAAAATATGACGAAACATAATTAAGATAATGATTAAGGGTACACTAGGAGTGCTGGGTTTTATACTACTGAATACTTTGGGTTTATTCCTAATTATAGCCTGAAACAAGAGCCCTTTGATAAGTGGTCCTAGGATCTGTACTATACAATATTGGAAGTACAGTATATAAGAAAAATGAGATACTTTGGAAATATAATTAGGGATAAGGAGAAAATGGTAAAGATTTGGGTAAAATTTAAGGTACAGTAATGTGCTTTTGTAGGGTTAGGGAAGAGCAGAAGCTGGGATGGATAATGAAATTAAAAACAATGTCCACTGGTAACTCCACTCTGGTTGAGATAAACCAAGTTACATGTGATGATGTAGTGCGCACATCTCTGTTTCCTACTTTAAATGGTGTGCTGTGTTGCATCTCAAGGTCCCTTATGAAAGTTGGATGTGAGAGGGAAGCATAACTGACTCATGAACTAGTCTTAGTCTATAGTGTATAAAAGTTACACTCAGGCTTACAACTCGAAACTCTTGGGTTACCTCACTCCAAGCCAAGTTGTAAAATGATATTAACTGGGATTGATGATGATGATGAGATGGAGAGCCGTTTGCTCTGAAGGTGGAAGACAGTGTAGGAGGAAGGTAAAGTCAGGAAGTGGGAAGTAAAGAGGGAGATTTGATAGCAGGTGGGCTATCCACCTTGCAGAGACGGGGTTATGTCTGCCACGACAGCATTTCATAATGAGAACCACATTTATATATACTGTACACTATGTAATGTACTGTAGTATGAAAAAATCACATGTACAGTATACTACTTCTGATAGAGTAACATCACATAATAAAATTCTTTCCCAGATTGATATCTTATCATGCCAAGGACAAAACGGAAGAGTGCTGACCAAATAAGGAAGTTAAACAAACTGAGAAAAAGGGAGGTGAGGCTAAGAAGACAACTGCTCATGGACTATGTAAGTACCTGTTTGTGCAGATAAACTGTAGTGACACTACAGGGGCGGATCTAGGAATATCAACAAGAGGGGGGTGGGTGGGTCCAAGAAGTTGTGGGTGGGGGAGCATGGCGAATGCAGCGAGCCCACTCAGTTGGGGGGGCTTTTGGGGGACGCTGTAAGTCAGCCATAATTTTTTTATTTTTTTAAATCTGACCAATATCATTTATATTTTGAGGCCATTTTGAAGTCATGCACACTTGATATTGGGAGATATTCTGAAGTCGATAGTAAATACTTTTTACTATACAAAAATACCTGAGTACAATACAGTACAGTACTGCGTTAAAGAAAAATAATGGAATTTTTTTGGTGAGGGGGGGGGGGGGACCCCTAGGGCCCACCCTGGATCCGCCCTTGCATCACAGTGTAATCGAAGTTAATTTTATTTCAGTCACTGTCCAAAATTTGTGGTAGATAATTGTGTGAATGACTTTAAAAGTTTATTTTATGTGGGGTTCCTATCTTTGTGCACAATATTATATACAGTTCTAAATACCTGACCATATTCAGTATAGAGTTGTCGATACTATAGTACTGCAGAGGAAACAAAATCACAGCTGATTGGTAGAAACTTGACAAAGGACAACCATTAAACATCTCCATTAGTACAGAAATTGAACATGAAAAACTGGAAATGAGAAGTACGCACTAACGAGCCAATCAGTGGAGGAAAAAAGTAAAAGTAGGTGAGACAGAATTTTGTCCCGCCCAGGCCTAAGGTTAATTTTTATTTGTATTTATTTTTATCACATTCACCACTTATCAGCTTACTAGCTGTTTGGGCAGTTTATCCAGTGTTAGTACAGGAGGCGACGTTGCCTCTTGTTCTAGATGACGGAAGCCCTCAGGAAAAAAAAAATTCGCGTCTGGGCCGAGGCTCGAACCCTTGACATATTGGTGAGAGTTGAAGGTAGACACATTATTTTATTTTCATTCAGTGTATAACTGCTCATAGGAGCGATTTTGGTTTGTGCAGGACAATAAGACCCTTGTTGCTGACGCGATGAGTGTAATTCGATCAAAACCTGTTAAAGAACAATTCACATATAACAAATGCTGGTATATCAGGACACACAGTTCTAATAGTACGATCAATATACAGTACATAACCTATTAACCTCTTAAATATAACTCGCATGTTACAACTGCTGATACATCAGGACACAGTTTGTATAATATGATCAATATACAGTACATAAATATACTTATAAAAGTTATTAAGAGTTCTTAGAGGATTTAATAGTTCACAATCACACTCATGTTTTGGGGTCTAGGGTTTGACCAATGAGAACAAATATAAATATCCTCTTGGTAGATGTTGGCTGAACGAAAATTCAAGATGTTGTCTCTACGGTAGAAAGCGAGACTGCTGGCCCTCAGGCAGTCACACAGCTACTACCAGCTCCATCTCGCTTAGTAAGCTATCCTGATTTGTAAACAGTTTCTTCACTCAACATGTGGCCGGCACGTGGCGATAACACAGTGGATTAAACAAGCACATACAGTTGGGAGCCATCTGCAATAAATAGTAGGACATTTTATGGCCAATATATAAGTACTTCATCCCATTGACGTATGATCCAGTGAGGAGAAGCTTAAGTATAATTTACCTCCAGTCACGCTGAGTTTTGTGTGAAAAATAAATAATACAGTACCTGTATTGTGTAATCTGCCCAATAACACCCTTGGTCAAAGCCGTATGTACTGTATAGTAGGATCGTCGCATCACTACAGTAGCTTATTAGCAAGACACCTTCCCACAGTGATCTGAGAGCTTCAGTTCATTATAAACATTAACGTCTAATGATGTTAATATTGATTACGAACAGAAGTTCTCTGATCGCTGTGAGATATTTGCTAATTAGTTATTAACTGGCGAGACATGAAAATCCTTAAAAACTGAAAAAAAAGCTCTGATAGTGTTTATAGAATATATTTGTGGTATTATTGCCTTTCTGCATACAACATTCCTACCCCTAATCTATTATCCTATTCGAATAAGACATCTAATTATAAGATCATTTTCCTTTGTTACATTATCGTCACAAATGTATAATAACGGAGATAGCGTATCCCAAATTTTCTCTATTTTCTTCCATTAATCTTCCGCCATTACTTTTACTATTATCCTCTTCACTAATCGGCTCGTTAGCGGCTTGGGCGATCGGTCACGTCTCTGTCACGCACTGTTGGCAAGTACTAGTCATGTACAGTACTGTACTGGCTCTCTGTTATGCACTGTTGGCAAGTACTGGGCATGCACCAGCTCCTGAATGTACCTGAACCTGCTCCAGTGTTGGTCAAGTCTGGTCTTGAAAGAGCTCACACTCGGTGCCATCACAACACTTTCTGGCAGATTGTTCCAAGAGTTCACAACTCTCACTCCGAAAAAGTTTGCCCTCACAGTTTTCTGGACTTGCGGCTTCTTCAATCTTGAGCTGTGACCCCTTGTGGGGCGAGCGTCCGCCAGCTCCAAGTAAGGACACTCGACTGAGTAGTGCCCCTTGAGATGCTTATACACCTCAATTAGGTCGCCCCTTGCCCGTCTGTAGTATAAGCTAGGCAAATTCAGGCGCTCCAATCTCTCAGGATAGTTGAGGTGCCGAAGTGCAGGCACCAGTCTGGTGGCCCTCCTCTGAACATTTTCAACCAACTGACAGTCCCTAGCATATCTCGGGGACCAGACAGGGTGACCAGACAGGGTGACAGTACTCCAGATGGAGAAGCACTTCACTTTTGAGGATCGTTACGAGGGACGGACCGTCTAGATATCTGAACGACCTTCTTATAAGACCCAATAATTTATTTGCCTGATTTACCTTCTTCTTGCAATGGCCCGAGAACTTCAGCTCATTGTCAACATACACACCTAGGTCCTTCTCACATTCAGTCTCAAATAGTGCAGTTTCTTCATCCCGTTGGGACATATGATACGCCTCCTTACCGTTGGTACGCCCCAGGTGCATCCTCTTTCACTTCGTGACATTGAATCTCAGCAGCCATTTCTTTGACCATTCCTGGAGCCCACAGAGATCCTTCTGCAGCTCTTCACAGTCTGCTTGGTTCTTAATTTCCCGAAATAACTTGGCGTCATCGGCAAACATTTGTATGGAGGAGTGTACAACGTCAGGCATGTCTTTTATGAAACAAACAAACAACAGTGGGCCCAATACACTGCCCTGTGGTACCCCACTTGTGACAGGTACTGATGATGATTTCGTGCCATTAATCACCACACACTGCTTGCGGTCATGTAGAAAGTCTTCTAACCATGCTAGGACATTTCCCCGAATTCCGTACCCTTTTAGTTTGATTTTCAGCCTTTCGTGGGGTACACTGTCGAAAGCCTTGGCAAAATCTAGGTATATATTGTCGATATTATCACCCCGTTCCAGAATATGGGTCCAAATATCCAATACCTTCAGCAATCGTGTTAAGCAGGAGCGCCCCGGCATAAAACCGTGTTGGCAATCCTTTACAAGGTTGTTTCGTAGTAGAAGTTCCATCGCGGCATCTCTGATAATACTCTCAAGTACTTTACATATTATGCTGGTCAAGCTCACTGGTCTTTAGTTGTTCGTGGAGTGACGATTGCCCTTCTTGAAGATAGGACTCACATGAGCCATTTTCCATTCACTGGGGACCTTTTGTTCATCCAGGCATTTACAGAACAGGATCTTCAGGGGCTCAACAAGCTCGTTGCACAACTCTCAGCACTCTGGGATGCACCATGTCAGGGCCGGGACTCTTATGGACCTTTAGCTTTGACAGTTTATATCTAATAAGAAAAAACCCGACCAATTTACGACGGAAATTAAGGTCATAACCGATCTAAATACACATAAATACACTAGAGAAGCTTTTGCACCATCCTCGACACCGGCTCCTACTTCCACCCGAGATCCCTCGCCTGAATTTCTGTTCGACACCACAACCACATCCGGCCCATACGAGCACGCACTGATTGCTATAAGAACAGCCCAGTCACCAACCATTGTAAAAATTATCAATAACTTGTAATAAACCAGTGTACTCACTCCCAGTAAACACTACTCCTTGCACTGTCACTATGTTGAAATGCCCTGTAGTTTGAGCTTCTCCCCACCTAGTTATTATATATCATATTTGTATCACTTATGTTACTTGTATATTATTTGTAAATCGAGAGACCCATTCCCCAATTATGTAACTGTATATTTTCAGCCTTCCGGCTGCCATGCTCTTTTAAAAAACCGTTAATTATTATTATTATTATATTATTATTATTTAGAATTTGTTTTTAATTTCTAACAGAGTTGTGTGCACTTATGCAATTTACCATATTTTTAACAATATTAATCTTTACTTACCCATTACATAAACACGTACACAGGGACATATTACCTTTATAAGTTATTTTGTATTTAAAAGTAATGTAGATAGTTTTGTAATATATCAAATAGGTATCGTGAACAAGTGAGGTCTACGGGCACTCCGTGCTTAAAGGAAATGTGTTTTTAATCGATTCCCTTAAGTTTCGAATCCGATCTTATTCATTCATTATCGCACTAAATACTCATTCGTCCTGCAGTTATATTTTGAGATTTTAAGTGAACGATATTAATATATGTGTGACATTGCCTATTGTTGATATGGCTATTGCTGATGTCGTCACAGACTCAGAGGCTTTGTTTACCACACAGACGTTGGTGTGTCCTGCGTCACCACTAATGTTTCTTGTGCGTTATTTAGCTTCTAGTTCATGGTTATTGTTCAAATTTTATTGTTATCGTTGGCAAGATGGGCTATACATGTGTCCTCTCTGGGTGTGGTAAGAAGTCAGCCCCGGGAGTACAACTTTTTCAGTTCCCAAAAGATCCTGCAACACGTCAAGAGTGGACACTGTTCGTCAGCAAAACCAGACATGCCAACTGGAAAGGACCTTCGTATTACAGCAGGCTTTGTAGTGATCATTTTGTCGCGTCAGACTACAAAAATTATATGGAGTGGAACACGGGGTGGACAACAAAACTAATTTTACTTCCGTATCAAGTACCAACCCGGTACCCAAAAGGAATAACTTCAAATCTTGTATCATCATCTAGACACGGCATAAAAATTGCCAGGCATTCCAATGACAGCTGCTCAGAACACACCTCCCCAACCCTGGTAGTGTCAACTGCTAAAACTGGTAGAAAAATTGTTAGGCAACCCAGTGACAGCTACCCAGAACACACGTCACCCTTGACGGTGTCAACACCTGTCCTGGGACGTGACCCCTTAGCACCCTCAAATCCATCCACTTGTAAGCGACCTAGAGGAAGACCAAGAGGAAGACCAAGAGGAAGGACAAGAGGAAGACCAAGAGGAAGACCTAAGTCGGCATTTAGGAGGAGGGAGATAAGTAGGGTGAGTTGTACTTGTCAGAGAATTTTGTTGTAAATAGTATGGGAATAAAGATTGTCATTTTCCCATTCTGTAATAGTGATTGTGGCTACAAAATTATGGCTACTTAGCCCATAGATTGCATGGTCGTGATATTGCACTCTTAGTGGGATCCATTTCATTCAGCATTTCGGAGAACAATAGCTAGCTTTTAGATGGGATTTTTTCTCCATGTTTAAACTACTTGACAATATAAGAAGACAACCTAACCTAATCCAACCCAACTGCCATGTAGCAACTGCAGACCAAGTTATTTATGTGGCCTAATATTAAGGCGACACAGCCTGTGGGCATGGTAGCCATGGAACCACTTCATAAACTGTAAGGTTGTTAAATTAGATAAAATAATTAATTTAGGTTTGGTTGGTTCAATTTGCTCATTTTGTATGATGGTATGTGTAATATTTGCCAAGTGAATTGTAGAAAGAAACAAGGAGTAAGACTTGTAGAACTTGCTTAAAGATTATTTCTTAAAGGTTTGTAGAAAAATGTAATACCTGTACAGTAGTGTACATGTATGTCAGTTTTAAATTAAGTTTAACATTTGGAGTGCTTAATACTTTTTGATGGTTGTGTTCCTTCACCAGCAACTGTAGGAAATTTTTCAATATACTGTAATATTAATGCTGTCTTACCAGTAAACTTTTACATTCGAACAAAACAGGAATCTTAGGAATTTTATCTTTGCAATCAATAGTTTACACAGTTCTAAGACTCTTTTGTTCTATGACGTTAACCTTGCAAATGACCAAAAAATTACCTAGATTAACCTAACCCCCTGGACGCCTGGCATATATAAGTTGTTTGCGAGGGGAATGTCATAGAAGAAAGGTATCTTGGAACTGTCAAAACTTTTGATTGCATAGATAAAATTCTTAAGGTTCCTGTGTTGTCCGAAAATAAATTAATACCGTCTTACCTCATGAAAAAAAAAAAAAAATGTGAAAGAAATATTTTTTTTGGAAATATTTCTAAAAGTTTTTCCTTCCCAAGCATTATTATATGACCACATCCATGATGACATATTCATTGTTTACCTCCGAGATAATTAAAAAAAAATAGCAGCTACTGTTGTGTGATTTATCAGTGGTAAAATGAACTAACCTAACCTACCTAACTTCTTTAACTAACCTAACCTACCTAACTTCTTTAACTAACCTAACCTACCTAACTTCCTCACTTAACCTGTGTTAGTTTTGGCTTAGCTTTGTTAATTATGTCCAGTAAATCATGTAATATAACAGTAACTGGTAACCTGTAGTGCATCACCGGGCATATGTTCAGGACAGAAAGACATACAAATTATAGCTATACAAACTAAGTCCTCGGTGTTGGGGAGGATTTTCATGAGACAAGAAAACATTTATCAAATATAGAAAAATTCTCTGAAGTTACTGGTCAGGTAAAGTAAGTATTATTATCATGTCAGTCATGTAGCAAATTTTAGGATTTTAAGTTTTGGAATTAGTAGTTTAGACAATTCAAAGACACCTTTCTTCTATAGCGTTTCCATCAGAAATTTATATTAGTTGTTTAAAGTGGGCAGGGCTTTGAAGTCGAGGGAAAAGGGGGGGGTAAAATACTAACAGTAACACTAAACAAACCTTTGAAAACCTAACCTAACATTTCCTAACTTGTAAAAATGTTAAGAATCACTTTTTGAGTTATTGAATCCCTCTTCATCTGAACACTGAAAACACCAACACCTTCTGTACTAAAACCAAAATCATGAATAAACTAAATTTTTAAAGTTTTATGATTTTTAAACAGACTGAAGGGATCAATTAAACCCAACCTAACCTACATATAAATTAACTCTTAAAATATCTAAGGTTGTTAAGTTAAGTGAGATTTGGCTTGGTTGGCTGAATGACTTTGACAGCCACAATTTAAAAGAAGCTTACAAGGAAATTAACATATAGTTCATCGATATTTTGTCTTCCGTATTTGGGCAACAATGACTACAGTACACATTTGTGTAATTCATGGTTGTGAAGTTTGTTATCACTGGCTGCTACTGTATATATAATTCTTACAGTATTGGAACCAAAACATGAGCAGTGATCAGCGACAATTTGTTGAGTTTCTTTTCAGAATTGGCTTAACATTATTTACTGTATGCATTTCTAAATTTTTGGCTCCTGATTTATAATATTTAGAAAGTAAAAAAAATAATAATAATTTCACTTTCTATAAAGGAGATCCAAGAGTGTTACTGCACACCCCGAGTCCTGAGGAGATGTAAATTTTATATTCCCAGTACAATTAAGGTCTGTTGAATCAGTCACTCTTACTGCTTACATATACAATATAGTTAGCTGTCATTAAGCTTGCTTATTATTTTTAAATCATTTTTAATTTTGTTTTTATCAATATCGGCTAAGTATTGGAATATCTTTAGCAGCTTGAAAATGAGTATGGGTATTGGCAAAAATTTTAGTGTCGTTTACATCCCTTTTTTATATACATATATATGAGAGAGAGGAACTACTCTGAAATGCATATTTTATTTGTGTGTGTATGGATTTTCTGCCTTGGGGGTTCTACTTTGGGGTACCTGTGTTCTTGAAAGTCATTTTATGTTATTTATTGTTCTTGAGAGTTCCACTGTATTACCACTGTCACAGGCAGACTGAGATACTTCATATTGTAGGATGTAAAATTTCTAATTGAAATGTTTTGTTATACTTGTTGAGATAACGAATTTTTGTAATAACTTTTTAGATACAGCAAAACATGCAGAGCCTAGACCATACCTCCATCATTTCTGATCAAGGATGGCAGATGTTTGGTGTGCCAGTCAAGGAAGAAAAGGAAAGCAGAGATGAGACACCAGAACAAATCCTAGAGTGTGATGTTGTTGTGAAAGAAGAAGAAGTGGACTGTGATGAGATTTTATCAAAAGAAAAATTAAATGAAGATGTATTGGAGAGGGAAAAAAACCTGGGTAGTTGTTCAGACATGAAGGAAGCAAACTTAGACAGTGACAGATTTAGAGAAGGACTCATTGTGGAATGTGATGTAATTATGAGGGAAGGTGATGGCTTAGGCCTATATGTGAAGGAGAGTGGAGAAAATAGTGACTTACATGTAATAGAAGAGACGAATGACAGTTGTGCTGATACAAAAGTATACAAAATCGTCAATGAAAGAACTATGAGAAGAGGCATCACAAGTGATACAGAGAAAAGTGATCCTCTCTCTACTTTTGTACAGGATGGACTGCTGTGATTTTGAAGGTTTTATGTTAGTGTACAGTACCAGCATATGTGGTACAGTAGTACTGTATTGTGATACCGGGTATTTTAAAAATATCATTATGTTAAATACTGTAATCTGTATTATTATTTTGTTCTTGTTTGTAAGTATCATTTTAGTTTATTTCATTGTTAGGATAAAACCACCATGTTATATTATGTTCATTGTTGTTTCCTCTTTGAATTATTACAACATTTGCTTTTGTGTTATTTCAAATATGTAATGAAATGAATCAAGTAAAGCTTGGATGTACCAACCAAGTGTTTTATTTGCCACGATTTACTTGACTCATTTCATTACATATAAAGCTGGAGTGCTGCCCTCTGCTTCCTTGTGCTGGCTGCTGCTGTGCTGCCCTCTGCTTGTTGCTACCCTGTACTGCAACAGCAGTGTCTCCATGCTCCAGGTAGTAGGTAGCTATCAAACAGGGAGGTACTACCGCCTGGGAAGATATTGGAAGCATAATGTGTTGTCTAATGGTAGACCCTGCTGCCATATGGCATCACGAAAATTGTGACCAAGTCCCAGGTTGCTGATCTGACTTTCTGCCTCATTTACACACAATTGCAGGGTCTCAATTGTTTCTTTTACTTGGATAACACAACATATATAATGTACAGTATATAATTTCTCACTCTGGATTTATTTTTTCAATTTTGTATTTATTTATGGTTATTATTTTTATTATTATTATTATTATTTTATTTGTAATAATTTGCTATTAATTTAATTAATTGTTGTAATAATAATGATAATAGATTTATTATTATAATAATTATTATTTATTATTATATTTTCTCCCCCCAGGCCCTGATGTGGGTCATTACCTGTGCCCGGGTGGGCTAATGCCCGTAAAAAATTTTTAAAAAATTTCTCAAGGGTTTAGTCGTTACTTATAGCAGTTATTGTTTACATCATGGCGGAGGGTTTTATTTACCACAATTTACTTGACTCGTCTAAGCCTACCATGGAGAATCTACTAAGCCCCACACGTCTGGATATTGATCCTATATCGCCTACAGCAGCCAAGGAGTGGAAGCACTGGCATTGCACATTCATAAACTTCATTGAGGAGCGTGGAGAAAATGCTCCTAACAAACTCAGAACTAATGAACAGTGTACTGTTAATGAATTTATTGAAGAGTGTACAACCTTTGAAAATGCTATATCTATGCTAGAAAGTGTGTAGTGTGTGAAAACTTTCAATGAGATTTTTGCTAGACACCTCTTGGCTACATGGCAGCAGCAGCCTGGTGAGACCTTTGATGAGTTTCTCAGAGAACTTCGCAAACTCAGTAAAGATTGTAACGTGATAGCAGTTACCGCTGAACAATATCGTGAAGAATTAATCCGTGGTGCCTTCATCAATGGTATTTCCTCACCACTCGTCCGGCAACGTATTCTGGAGAACAGGACACCTGGCTTACAGAATGTCTGTAATCAGGCTTACTCACTTGACCGGCCCAGCGTAATGCTGTTGCTTGCTCATCACCAAGTGCACACACTGCTGCTCTAGTTGTACCTGGGCAACCCCAGACAAAAGAAGAACTACCCCATGAGGATCATACACTAGCTACTGTCTACACTGTTAGGAAGAAATGTTACATCTATGTTACTTCTGTGGCGGTGCGCTTCACATTAGAAACAAGTGCCAGGTGTGTGATGCTACCTGCCATACTTGCAGCAAGAAGGGGCATTTTGCTAAAGACTGTCAGTCAAAGACTTCCGTGAGTGCTACTGCTACATTGTACAATCCTACTGTTCTTGCTATTACAACTGCATTTCCTCAGAGCCTCTCACATGCAGTTACTGAAGTCACAGTAAATGGACACAGGCTGAAGGCACTAATTGATTCATGTACTTCTGATAGTTTCATAAGTAAATGTACTGCGAAAAAATTAAATCTGACAGTGTATCCATCAGTTAAGGAGATCTCTATGGCATCAACGTCATTAAGTATCAGCTCTTCTCGGTTTTCTAATGTAACTTTGAAGCTCAATGGCCAAATGTATCCATCTACCAGCCTTGGGGTATTAAAAGATCTGTGTTGTGACTTGCATTTGGGCCAAGACTTTCAGAAACAACACAAAAGTCTGACATTCGAGTATGGAGGGCATAAACCAGAGCTCACAGTTGCTGGTACCAATTCAGTCTGTACACTCTCAGCAGCATTGACGGGTGAGCCATCGCTTTATCCAAACCTACCACCAGAATGTAAACCCATTGCAACCAATTCGCGGCGCTTCAGTAAGGATGACCACTTGTTCATTAAGCAACAAACATCTTAACTTACTGTCAGAAGGTATCGTTGAAGCAAGCTCATATCCATGGCACGCCCAGGTTGTTGTGGTGAAAGATCCTCTTAACAGACACAAGAAGAGAGACTGCATTGACTACTCTCAGACCATTAATCAATACGTATACGGAACTAGATGCTTATCCACTGCCGGATAGATGACATGGTCAATAATCTTGGCAATTACAGTGTGTTTTCTACATTCAACTTGAAAAGTGCCTATCACCAAGCTCCAATCAAGGAATCTGACAAGAAGTACACAGCTTATGAAGCTGATGGGAGACTGTATCAATTCTGTAGAATACCATTTGGTGTCAAATGGAGTTGCTGTTTTTCAACGTTTAATGGACAAGCTTGTGGGAGAAGAAAATCTCAAGAATACTTTCCCAGACAACATTACAATTGCGGACATACCCAGGCTGAACATGACGAACATCTTTGGAAATTTCTAAAAGTCGCTGAGTGCAGAAACTTCGTACTCGAATCTAAATCCATAAAATCAGTATCCTCCATCAATGTTCTTGGCTATCGTGTAGGGAGTGGTACCATAATTTCAGACCCTGAGAGGATTTGTCCGCTCCAAGAATTGCCGCCACCCACAAACGTAGGATCTCTGCGGAGGGAATTGGGAATGTTTGCCTATTATACCAAATGGATCCCCAATTTCTCAAACATGATTCAACCTTTGGTAAAAAGTAAGACATTCCCACTGGGCGAAGCAGCTTTGACAGCATTTGAACTCTTAAAAAAAAAAAGACTTGTGGATGCAACTCTACGGTCTGTCGACGAGGACCTGCCATTTGTAGTGGAGTGCGATGCCTCAAAGGTAGCTATTTCAGCAGTCTTGAACCAAGGTGGCTGTCCTGTTGCATTCATGTCCAGGACTTTGCAGGGCAGTGAGCTACTTTATCCAGCTGTAGAGAAAGAGGCTACTGCCATTATAGAGTCAGTGCATACCTGGAGCCATTTCCTAGCCAGGCGTCAATTTGTGCTGATCACTGACCAACGCTCTGCAGCATTTATGCTGGACAGCAGAAGATGAACTGAACTAAAACAAAGAATAATAAAATACAAGAATGGAGGTTGGAGCTAGCATCCTTCAGCTACACCATACGGTATTGCCACGGAAAGGAAAATGTGGCTCCTGATACGCTGACCAGAGCATTTTGCTGTTCAACATTTCCTGCATCTACTCACTGAAATCCATAATGGACTTTGCCATCCTGGAGTGACTCGGCTCCTACACTTTGTGAGATCAAAAAAGCTCCCATGTTCAATAGAAGATGTAAAAAGAACATGTGCATCTTCTTACAAAGTTTGCGCAGATTTGAAGCCAGCCCCTCCCTCCCTCCCTCCCTCCCTCCCAGTACTACCGCCCGTCGGAAGGGACACTCATCAAAGCTACTCAGCCTATGGAGCGGCTCAGCATTGATTTCAAGGGGCCTCTACCATAAGCAACCTGTAATCCTTATACTGTATGTTTACAGCAGTTGGTGAGTACTTGCGCTTTCCTTTTTCATTCCCATTCCCTAACATGCACATGACAACTGTGATCAAATGCCATGAAACAATATTTAGCCTTTGTGGATTGCCCAACTTTATCCACTCAGACGAGATACCTCTTTTATGTCCCAGGAGCTCAAGGCATACCTTTCACAAAAGGGCGTCGCAACAAGCAGGATAACACCCTACCATCCCACAGGGAATGCACAGGTCAAACGGTACAATGGTATCATATGGAAGGCTATTCGTCTAACACTGAAGTCACACGATGTAGCAGAACACTGGAAATTGGTGCTTCCAGATGCACAACAATCAATTAGATCACTTTTGTCTACTTCAATACAACCTTGCATGAGCGTTTTTTTTATTTCAATGACGCTCAACTTACGGTAGTTCACTACCATCAAGGCTTATGACCCCTGGACCAGTGCTGCTTCGACGTTTTGTCAGATCTAGCAAGAAAACCTCCAGAAGACCAAGTTGAGCTCGATGTAAACCCAACATCTGCTAGCATTAGGTAACCAGATGGACACCAATCTACAGTATCTGTCCGTGATTTGGCCCCGTGTCCAACAAGTCTGACAACTCCTATGTAGCAGCATGATGTCGAGCCTGATCACAAGAATCAGCCCTCTCGAGTTTATGGCAATGGGACGAGAATGATGGATTCCCCTACTACACCTAGTATTCAAGGTCGTGACTTACCGTGTGAAATACCCAGTGAAGATGTTCCCCCTTCCCCGGTGACACCCAGAAGGTCTACTCGAGTACCAAAGTCTCCCAATCGTTACGGCTGGGATTAAGATCATGTATTGAAGTTAATTAGTATCTTGATGAGCAGTATGTATTTGAGTTATCTGCTGTGTTTATGCACTATTAGCATACATTTTCTAGGAGGGAAGAATGTGATATTTTTCAAACATCATTATGGAAAATCTGTAATATTATTTTGTTCTTGTTTGTAAGTATCATTTTAGTTTACAGTTTCATTGTTAGGATAAAACCACCATGTTATATTATGTTCATTGTTGTTTCCTCTTTGAATTGTTACAACATTTGCTTTTGTGTTATTTCAGATATGTAATGAAATGAGTCGAGTAAAGCTTGGATGTACCAATCAAGTGTTTTATTTACCACAAGTATTAAGACTGAAAAGGATAGAGATGAATGTTATATTTGTAGTATGAAGAAAAAGATCATAGATTTTTTATAGCAATGAAATTACAGGTACAGTATATTGAAATTATATGACAATGATATAACCAAGTGCAGTGTAGAACCAGTGATGGGTTTGTGAAGATATGCAGTGAAAGTCAAGATAGATGGAGAGGTAGACCAAAGTCGAGTTAGTCGTCAAAAGTTGAGGAAGATGTCGGGGAGTACTGTGCCATACACCAGGACCACAAGACTACCCAAAGTGGTACAACAGCTGCATGAGAGGAGTGAAATGATGGAGTCTCTGTGTGTGGAGTCAATTTGGTTAACTACCATTGAATAAATGTTACAGCTTCAAATAATGTGAGTCTTGGTTTATTCTCTCAATAATAGTTAAGGATAAATGACATTATTGTAGTCTTCTAGTAAACAGTTTGTATGTCCATGTATCTTCTCTTATGGCTATGCGTGGCTGACTCAGTGGTGATCAGTGGCGGCTCGTGCATAGGGCTGCAGAGCTGCAGTCCCCCCAGACACTCGCTGCCAGGCGTATGATTCCTTTAGAGAGACAGCTGAATAATACACTACCAACAAATATATCATTTTATATGTTATTTAATTATTTTCAATACGTTGCTAAGTGAATTTTCATTAAAATCAGACCAAAATTTAAGTTACTTTCATAGTTGCTGTCAATGCTGTACGATTCATGTCTGCACTTGAAGCAGCTCAGTCTCGTACAACGTGTTTACATTGCGTGTGGACGGTGTGGTTAAATCGTGCTTTCTTTAATTACCCTTTGACGATGGAAAATCGAGTGAAGTATTTGCAAAACATCAACTTTTCCCAGCTGACATTAAATGAAAAGACTGAAATCAAAGCAAGAGGAAGACCTACACCAGTTTTATCCATTCAACAGAACAGTACAAGCAGGAACAAAGAATATATACGCCAGTTTAACATGAGTGTTTATCAGAAATGTGAATGGCTCTGTGGTTGTGACGAGGCAAATACTTTATTCTGCTTTCCATGCTTATTGTTTGGTGGGGACTCGGCATGGACGAAAAGTGGTGTGACTGACTTGAGGCATTTGCCACAGAAAATAGTGAAACATGAGCAGTCAGCCAAACATATGAATAACATGATTAATTTATCGTTGCTGGGTAAAGTGAACATTGCAGCTCAGATTGACACAGCATACAAGCTCTCAGTTGCAAAACACAATGAACAGGTGAAAAAAAACAGAGATGTGTTATCCAAAATCATAAACTGTGTAAAATTTTGTGGAAAATTTGAACTCCCTCTTAGAGGACATGATGAAACAATGAGCTCTAAGAATCCGGGAGTATTTCGTGGATTAGTTGATTTTGCTTGTGAACTGGATTCTAGCTTAGATGCTCAATTAAAGACCGCTACAGTTTTTGAAGGAACATCTAAATCAATACAGAATGAACTTTTAGAATCTATGTTGGAAATTTGCAAAAATAAGATCAAGGAAGAAGTAAAGAATGCAGATTATTTGGCAGTTATGTGTGATGAGACAACGGATATTTACGATAAAACACAGATGGTAATTGTTCTAAGGTATGAGCTACAAGGGAAGCCTGTTGAGAGATTCTGGGGATTTTTTAACCCTATCAATCAGACAGCAGAAGCCTTATCAAGTGTGTTACATAAAGAGCTCCAGACTTTAATTGGTGATTGTCCACACAAGCTCATTGCCCAAACTTATGATGGTGCAGCTGCTCTAAGTGGAGTCAATAAAGGTGTGCAAACCAGAATAAAAGAAGTGTATATCAATGCCCACTTTATCCACTGTTATGCCCACCAACTGAACTTGATTTTGGGAAAGGCAACATCACAGAATACCAATGTTCGTGTATTTTTCAATAGCTTGTCAGGAATACCAGCATTTTTTTCTAAGTCTCCACAAAGAATGGCTGCATTGGAGAATGTTCCTGGTCATCGAATTCCAAGGCCATCTGCAACACGTTGGAATTTCAAGAGCAGAACAGTCAATGCTGTGCATGAAATGAAAGATGCACTGATTGAATGTTGCAGCACACTGGAAGCATCTAACTCAAGAGAAACTGGATCTGCAGCAGCTGGTATCAAAAGAATTGTGAATGATCCTGAATTCGAATTTTGGTTGGAATTTTTCTCCAAAGTAATGCCTCATGTTGACATCATGTTCTCTCAGCTTCAGTCTAGAAATATTGATGCAGCTAAGGCTAACGCCTCTTTAAAAGTTTTTAATTCCGCAGTTCAGAAGTTAAGAGACGAATGTGATGCGATGGTGTTGCTGTTGCCTCCTGAGCAGAAAAGAAGAAAATTTAAAACAGACAAATTAGCTGCTGCAAAGGAGGTCTGTGACGTAATTTTGCTGCAGTGCAGAGAGAGATTCAGCTTTACTAATCATTTGGAAGCAAGCAAGTTACTTTTAGTGAATAATTTTCCAGTGTATGCCAAAAATTTCCCTAGTAATGAACTTGAACAAGCAGTTGCAGCATATCCCATGCTTGAAAAAGACAAATTGAGAACTGAACTTACTGTACTGTACACAAGAGAAGATTTGTGTAAATCAGAAAGTCTCATAGACTTGTTGGAGATGATGAATGACAATAATCTACAGTCAACATTTTCAGACACTGTCAAGTTGCTGAAAATTTTAATAACAACTCCAATGACAACGGCAGAAGCAGAAAGGTGCTTTTCAACTTTGAAGAGAATTAAAACTTTTTTGCGCAGTACCATGGTGAATGACAGACTGTCTGCTTTAGCAGTGATATCCATTGAAAATAAAATGATAACAGAAATAAAGGATTTTAATGAAATAGTAATAAACAATTTTGCTACATCAAAGAGCAGACGCGCGGACATCAACTACAACTATTCAATAATTTAAAAGTCTTATATTAAATTTTTTAGTCATTTTAACAATTATTTAACATAATTTAAGTACAGGGAAACTAGTTTTTAGCGTGCCAAACAGCCTGTCAACACACCAAGCAGGCGTCAGTCTCTGTGTCTTTTCAGTGGAGGTAACATCTTGCTTCAGACTCTCTTCAACATAACGCTTTTTTCTGTGTTTCCAAGCAAATTATTGGTCATTTTGAAATTTATTTCACATATTGACAAAATATAATGCAGTGCAGTGTTGATTTAAAGAAAACAATCTTGAATTACACCAAGTGAACTAAAATTTTATGGGTGAAATGGCGCCATGGGGTGACTTCTCTTCCACCCCAATGCCTTCTCTTCTCCTTTCTCCTCCACCCCCATTCTAATTCCCATCATCATCATCCAGGAGCCTTCTACATACACACCTCAAAGTAAGTGCACTTTACTACCTCTTTTGTTGACTTTAGGCAATTTTCGGTGAGCTGGAACCAATTACCCAAAATCCCATTGAAACGATGGTTTCAGTTAACGAGCAACCTTCTAGAAGAAATTGTGCTCATTAACCGAGGGACCACTGTAATGAAACACATCAAGTTTCACAAGGAAAATATCACTTGGATGTTTTAAATAAATCTCAGGTTTTCTGAATCACAGACAAAAATTTTAATAAAAAATTTATTGTAGAGATGAATGACTAAACCAAATTATGAGATGTTGCATTCTGTAGTCATTAAAAATAAGTAAAACTGAAAATTACAATTTAAGATAAAAATAAAAATAAACAATTATCCTCAATTTATTCCTGAGATACACAGTGAATCAGACTCTTGCTTGAAGGCTTCATAAATATACTTTTCACCTCATTCATCACTAAGTTTCCATCACATAATCTTCTGCAGAAGTTGTCCCACTGTGTACAGTCTCTTGTGGTTCATCTGACTCACACTAAAAGTTATTGGATATATGGTCTCTCCATTTTCTGTCTTCCACAGTGCAACTATAAATATTCATCAACCCATAATCCATTTTACACACACAGTACAATGTCAATTTACTGGACTAATTATTGCATATACTATACTGTGGGAATTCTGTATAGTGAAGCTTTTACCATTTTTTATCTCCAGGTACAGTACTGCACAATATAACCTCTAACTATAATGTATGGGGCACACATTGTCCCACAATGTGAAAAAATCACTCATTGGTTTTTACTTTCATCCAAAATACACCCTACTGTAGTTAATTATACAGTAGTATTAACATAATAATAATCATTTTAATGTTAATCAGAGGAGAGTCATGAGTGAATGCATTTGTACACCTGAGTAGTATTGTATTCTTAATGGTAATTTATGGAATACACAAAATAACCCATTAAAAATGTACAGGAAACCCCTGCACATACAGTACTTTACTTTAGTCAGCGAGTCATTGTGAACCACAATGTGTGAGGTTGAGAGCAATAAGAGAGGTGTTGGTAGCCTTCCTCCCTCATTCTCATCATATGTCCTACACTATTCATTAGTCTGACAACTAGCTGTAATAATTGTTTGATTATTAGTTTCACTGAATAAAATACTTTACCAAACATAAAAAAGCCTATTTGTGTACAACATTAATACCACTTGGTAACTCTACTACTGTACAGTACTTTCACACACAACATAATATATCTTTAGAATTAACCAAAATAAAGACAAAAGACAGTAGGGATTTAATGTGGTTTCCTCAATGATATTTTATTCCACCCGATGAAAAAATAAGAAATTAAGGAAATGGTAAAATTTTCACCACAGTAACTGGTATAAGCCATGGATGGGAGGCCACTGCTGACCTGCTCCTTCCCAACTACTAACCTTGCACACTTATGCCTTTTATGGCTGAAAATAATAATATTTTAATTGAATAATTTTTTTTGAATAGTAATAAAGACAGACTACAGCTCCATAATCTGATTGCCATCAAAGTTTAATATGTTAATACTTCACAGTTTAACATGATGGTACTATTTCCTCCAGTAAGCTGTATATATAACTAACCATACTAATACATTTCCAACATTGTATTAACTGTTCATTAATACAGGATATAAATTAATATTTTTCATCAATTTAGACTTAAAAATAAATTGAATTAAGATATGTAATTATAAATCTACATATTATTTGGCTGCCTGACAACAGGCATTTGTGTTTGTCAGTTGTGTATCTGTGTACAGCCTCACCCCTACACTCTAATAACCCTGCACAAGCTTACTAATATCCCCTCCAGCTTATTCGTATTAAAAAATATTGGGACGTATAAATTACCTGTACTATTTTTTTGGTAAACAAAGAAACCGGATATACTGCATAAAGACATTTAGCCCTTAACCAGCAACTAAGTATTCTCTACTGCCCCACATGTGTGTGTGTGTGTGTGTGAAACACAAGGAAAATAAAACTTCCCCTGATGATGGTAACTGTTCCTACAACTAACTTCCCCTGATGATGGTAACTGTCCCTACAACTAACTTCCCCTGATGATGGTAACTGTCCCTACAACTAACTTCCCCTGATGATGGTAACTGTCCCTACAACTAACTTCCCCTGATGATGGTAACTGTCCCTACAACTAACTTCCCCTGATGATGGTAACTGTCCCTACAACTAACTTCCCCTGATGATGGTAACTGTCCCTACAACTAACTTCCCCTGATGATGGTAACTGTCCCTACAACTAACTTCCCCTGATGATGGTAACTGTCCCTACAACTAACTTCCCCTGATGATGGTAACTGTCCCTACAACTAACTTCCCCTGATGATGGTAACTGTCCCTACAACTAACTTCCCCTGATGATGGTAACTGTCCCTACAACTAACTTCCCCTGATGATGGTAACTGTCCCTACAACAAACTTTCACTAATGATGGCCACTGTTTAAGGGTTAAATGATCCATACAATATCTAGCAGCCAAACTGTTCTGTTTGTCCAACACACAAGTCATACAGCCTCATAACAGAGATTATATATTCACTCAGTTTTGACCATTTTTGTATTACTTTTGTCAAAATGTAATTAAAGGAGAATCTCCCGTCTGTTCTTGCAATGTTTCTGATGTGCAGGTGTCCAATAACTTAACATACAGTACTTCTGTATTGTATTTCATACATACAGTATATTTAATCATAATGACTCACCCTGTATTAAAGTATATTAAGACCACAGTTTTCAGCATCAGTTGTTACACGTCATCTAAAGTTTTTCTGTTGTAATTTTGTCTCCCAGCACATCTGTTAAACATCATGTATTCCTACAGTCACATACAAGTCACCATCTGTTGTATCTTCCTTCTCAGACTCATCACTGTCCTCTATTCCAACTTTTACAAATACATCATTTTCCAGGTCTTCTTCCTTCACTTTCAAACCTTGGTCTGGTTTTTCTTCTTCTTTCACTTTCAAACCTTGGTCTGATTTTTCACACGACAAACCCTCATGACAGTAAATTTCTTCTTCTTTCACAATTTCATCAATTTCCTTGATTTTTCCTTGAAGTTCTTCATTAAATCCATCACTGTCTGAATTTTCTTCCTTTACAGGTATACCAAACACTTGCCATCCTTTACTAGAGACGTCAACATGAATGTTGTGTTTGTGAGTACAGGTATTAGGCTGGACCTGAAACACAAAAATATTTGTAGTGAACTTAACAGATAAGAACTGCTAGGTACTGCCTCCTCTTAACATATATCCTACAATTAGCATCTCAATTTGTCCCTTGAGCACTGATGTTATGACTCAGGTAAAGGTAAAACATACTTTATTGCAACAATTCACCCCAAAAAGTAAATGCTCTCTCTACAATTTGTAATGTTAATTGTAATGAAGTTAATTCAATAAAATATTGTACCATTAAATTTTGATTCAAGAACTGACATCCTTGTTTACAGACAAATACAATGTATTGTATATATGACTCCTGCTCCCACCTACAGTAGTCTGAAATCTCAACCATTAATGCATTACAGGTATCCCGCGTTTAATGGACAATAACTTAGCGATATTTGTGTTTACAATATAATACTTTTAACACCCTCTCTTGTTTAACGCTGTTTAGCGATGTTCGACTCACTGGGGATAGTTTGGGAGGGAAGACGGAAAAACTCCCAAGTGTGCATCAATACAATACAGTACTGTACTGTAATATAATGCAGCTTAGAAATAAAGAAAATATAATGTAAAACTATACAATAAGAAAAATGAAGAGCCTGTGTGGGAAGTGAACGTGTGTATCGAGACAGAGAGCTAGCTGTAAGTGAGGCCAGCCGCACTCTCCCCCCCCCTTATGTGACGTCACGGCCTACACAGCCAGCAGTCACACACGTCTCTCGAGTCAGCCGAGTGACTGCCAGGTTGAACTGTGTCGCATGTATACTGTACCAATTAATGTGAGGAATAAATAATAATAATAAAATACTGCCTTACCATTTGGCAATCATTTCACTCCACACTGGACACAAGACCGTACACAGGTGACAGATCTCCCACCTCCCCCACTGTGTGTGTTATTCCTGCACTAGAAGAAATTTTTATTCCCTTCATGTTTTAACCTCTTATTTTTGTACACTGTATGAACGATTGTGTGAGCACGTAACAGTAAAAAAAAAAAAAAAAAAATCTAAATATAATTACAAGTTGAACAATAACACAGCTCAGAGCTCAGCCTCACCTGCTGTGAGTGCTACTGGGTGGTGAGTTGGTGGATCCCTATTGTTAAACGAGGAATACCTGTACAGTATTAGGAGTCATTATACAAACACTCCTTTCATCTTGGATGATACAATGTAACTGATCTATTAACAGTTTATCTCATGTATTACAAAATACAGGAATTTAGAATACTCTCAAATTCAGAAATGCTTGAACTCCCATTATTTCAAATGGTGGCAGAAACAGTGAACAATATTATGGTAATTAGAAGAGTGAAGTGTGTGTGTGTGTGTGTGTGTTTTTTTTACGGGAATTAGCCCACCTGGGCATAGGTCAAACGACCCACAACGGGGCCTGGGAGGTGAAAAAAAAAAGAAAAAAAAAAGAAAAATTAAAAATAGAGAACAAAAAGGTTATATTGTGTTAATCTATACAACGAAGATGCCGGAAAACCATCTTTTTAAAGTGAGACAGATTGTATAAGTTTGGAAACACAGAAGAAGGCAGAGCATTCCACAATTTGGCTGTGTGAGGAAAGAAGGGTGTACTATCATGGGTTATTCTCGTGTGACCGACAACCACAGAGAAACGGTGGGCACTGCGGGCAAGACATGTGTTACGAGCCCACGGTCTTGCTGGCGGTACACTGGATGCCAAATCCACCGAACATTGCCCGTTAAAGTACTTGTAAAAGAGAGAGAGAGAGAGTGAAGCAACATTGAGGTGAAGAGAAAGGGAAGAGAGATTGTCAACTAAAGGAGGAGAGTTAATAAGACGAAATGCCTTTAATTCCACCCTATCTAATAGTTGGACAGAAGAAGAGCCACCCCAGATATGAGAGCAGTACTCCAAGTTAGGACAAATGAATCCCTTATATACTTGGAGCAACTGCTCAGGAGTGAAGTAGCTAAGGCATCTGTACAGCAATCCCAACTTTCGGGAGGCAGCTTTAGCTATACTTTGGATGTGTGATTTCCAGGACATATTTCAGGAAATGGTGAGGCCTAACATATTTATTTCAGAATTTGGCAGAATGATAGCATCCTGAAATGTAATTGGTGGGAGATCGTCTAATTTACAAAGTGTAATTGGTAAATATTGAGTTTTATTACTATTGAACTTAACCAAGTTTGTATCTCCCCATTCAGAGGTGCTGCACAGATGTGCATTGATAGAAGTAATGATATCAGTTCTAGAAACAGATCTAGTTTGAGAGTTAAGAGGAAGGGGAAAATGTGAAGAAGAGTGAAGAGTAGAATCATCAGCGTAAGAATGGATAGAATTAGTTGTAGTGTGAAGTAAATCATTGATAAAAAGAAGGAAGAGAGTAAGTGAAAGAACAGAACCCTGTGGGACTCCACTACAGAGTACTGGTAGAGAAAGAGCGAGAGATCGATCCCTCGACAACAACTGCCATGGATCGGTTCTCAAGGAAGCTTAGAGATGAGAAAAAAAGTGGGGGAGACAAACCAAAAAAGGGAAGTTTAAAGAGCAAAGACTTGTGCCATACCCTGTCAAATGTCTTGGAGATGTCGAGGGCCACGACAAAAGTTTCCCATAATCCCTAAGAGAGGATGACCAAAGATGGGTGCAATAGGAGAGCAGATCACCAGTAGATCTCGCCTGGCGAAAACCATACTGGTGATCCGACAAAAGTGAAAGGCGTTCAAGGTGACGGAGAAATAGAAGTTTAAGATAGTTTCGAAAATCTTAGAGAGGGATGAAGTTAGGGCAATGGGGCGATAGTTAGAGGGATTAGAATGGTCACCCTTCTTTGGGATGGGCTGAACCAAGGCATGCTACCAAGAAGAAGGAAAAGTTTGGGTTTTGAGGCAGAGGCGAAAGAGGTGAGCAAGCACAGGGGCCAGGGCTTCAGCACACTCCCTCAGAACATGAGGGGGTATTCCGTCAGGTCCATGCGCCTTACTCACATCCAACCTGGATAACACACCGGCAACCCTGCGAGTGGAGATTATAGGAAAGTGCATTGGTTCAGTAGGAGGTGCAGGGGTAGGAGGGATAGAGAGGGAATCATCTAAGATGGAATTAGAGAATAAGGTGCCAAAGAGGTTGGCTTTGTCAGGGGGAGAGTTGGCTATAGAGTTATCGGATTGGAAGAGAGGAGGAAAAGAAGGAGTGCAGAAGTTGTTACAGATGTTTTTAGTTAAGGACCAAAAGGATTTACTAGGGGAAGAATTAGTCAGGACAGCGGTCTTTCTTTTAATAAAATTCTGCTTGGCCCTACGAAGAATAGCCTTACAACGATTCCTAGAAGTAATGAAAGAGGTGTGGGTAATGGGAGAAGGAGATAGTTTCATAGCTCGATATGCCCTATCTCTCACCCTGCAAGCAAGAGAGCAGGAGCGATCAAACCATGATTGTAATGTGAAAGTTTTGGTAGAAGATGGGATAAATGCACTCATACCGCCTTGTATAACCCCAGCAATGCTGTCAGTACATATCGAGGCATCCCGAGTGGAAAAGCAACATTCACCCCAAGGAAAGTCGGTGAAGAATTATCGTAAGGATTGCCAGCTTGCCCTCCGATAGTGCCATAGTTGACGTTTAGACGGAGATGGGGGAGGTGGTCGTGCCCAGCTTGATTTAATAGAAATAAAGTTGTGATCAGAAGACCCTAAGGGGGCAAAAATTGAGTATGAACAGTGAGAGGGGTTAGAGGTAAAACAAAGATCAAGAATGTTAGCAAGTTGATCGTGTCGATCAGGAACGCATGTAGGGTGTTTGATTATCTGTTCCAAATCATTAAGTAGGGACAAAGAGAGTGCCTCAGCTCCACCTGGGTCATCCCTTGCAAAGCCAAGCCACTCTCTGTGATGTACAGTATAGTCTCGGTTTATGCGGATTTTTAAATGCGGTTGGTCATTTACGCGGCACCTGTCCAGTCGCGCCAATTATTAGTTACGCGGTACATACCTGAATTTACGCGGGAAGCGGCACGGACAAGCTGTGTGGTAGGTCGCTCTTACGTCACCGCTGACGTCAGATGACGTTTCGGACTGTGACTGGGCCACGTATCCTTACCACCCACGCACCCCCTGTGATTGGTCTATTTAACTTTGCTTGTCCTGCCACAGGGACGATGAGACGATGACCTTGACTGCGTCAGTCCCATTGTCTCCCGTCTCCGCGTATACTCCCTCGTGCCCAGGAACCTGTTTTGTTTTTTGTGATAGTGAGGATATGGACTTTGAGGAGTTTGACAAGGAGGTCCTGCTAGCCTCTGTGGTGGATAATGATACAGGTGAGGGCCAATAATCTGCCCTCTGCCTCGGAACCAACCCCCCATCCCCGTGTGCCCAGCCATCTCTTCTACTAACGTAAGTGTTAAAAAACCAAATATTATTGATATTTCTCTTATATGTTAATTGTGTGTGCATACCATCATAAAATTAAGATGTTATTTTTACTAAAACGTACGTATTGTGTCGGAAAAAGGGTAGTCTGGGGGTCGGCCCAGTCTCTATTTCAATTAATCCCATATGTTGTTATTTCGTTTACGCGTTTCGTGTTATACGCGGACCTCCATGGGTTAATTGACCGCGTAAAACGAGACTATACTGTACATTGAAATCCCCTAGGTAAAGGATCTCGGTGTTGGGGGTGTGTGGGTAGCAATGTCTCATGGCAAAAAGTGAGATAGTCAAAGAGTTCGAAATAGTTGGTAGAGTTAGGAGAACAGTATAGGAAACAAAGAAAAATAGTCACAGTAGGTAGGGATATTTTGAGCCAGATGACATCATAAAGGGGAAGATTCAAGGTCCGGAGTAGAGCTATAGGTGTGCGTGTGTTTTGATGGCGCCTTTACCTTAGAGAAAGAGAAATTATAAAGGTTGTAGTTGGAGACTTGAAAGGTTTGGGTGAAGCTGCTTTGGTCAGTTGGAGTTCAGAAAGTAGTGAAGTCGGGGAAGAGTTAATACAGTATTACCCCGCCTAACGCGGTTTCACTTAACGCGTTTTATCATATACGCGGTGCCTCGCCAGAGCTGAACTTTCACTTAACACGGATTTTTTCCACATATACGCGGTGAGTGTCCGGCTCGAGACGCTATTTTTAGATTTGCCCCACCCTGCCTGACTGCCTGTTTTAGCTCATAAAATTCATACAAATTACCCGGCCAGAATATAATTTACATTGCTGGAATTCTTATAATTTGGTGATCATTTTGAATATAAACATCATATTTTTGCATTAGACATACAAATTTTAGATAAAAAATTTTCTCAAATTAACTATGTTATCTTTTGTGCAAAATATATGACATTTATATTCAAAATATTCCTGGTCTTACAAGGAATCCAGCAATGTCAATTATATTATCCTAACTTTAGTTTGAGGTATTATTTATTAAAATTTAGTGGTTATCCCACACATCTCCTTGGGACGGTTGGTGGGGGGTGGGGGGGAGGGAGGGACCGACCGACCATCTGTTACCCTGTGAAGAATTATTATTTTTTTTATTAACTGAAGATATTTGTTTTAGCTCATAAAATTCATACAAATTATCCGGTCTGAATATAATTTACATTGCTGGAATTCTTATAATTTGATGATCATTTTGAATATAAACATCATATTTTTGCATTAGACATACAAATTTTAGATAAAAATTTTTCTCAAATTAACTATGTTATCTTTTGTGCAAAATATATGACATTTATATTCAAAATATTCCTGGTCTTACAAGGAATCCAGCAATGTCAATTGTATTATCCTAACTTTAGTTTGAGGTATTATTTATTAAAATTTAGTGGTTTTCCCCCAAAAATTTCTCTGAGAGGGAAGAGCCAGCAGTGTAGTGTGAGAGAGGGAGGGAGTTGAGTCCATTATTTGAATGGACATTAACTTGGCGACTGTATTTCTCTTAAGTATTAATTGTGTGCATGTACCATCATAAAATTAAGATGTTATTTTTACTACAACATAGGTATGTGCCTTCAAAAAGTGGAGTTTGGGGGTCAGGCCGGTTTCTATTGGAATTAATCCCATATGTTCTGTTGTTCACTTAACGCGGATTTCACTTAACGCGGGACCCTCTGGGTTCAATTGACCGCGTTAAGTGGGGTACAACTGTAGATGGTGCTCCACAGAAGGAAAATTGGATCTCAGTCCGCGAATGTTGGAAAAATGAAGTGTGAAAAAAGCCGATCCTCCAGCAACCGCGGTGGCGTCAGTTGAGGCCCCAGTAGCTTGATGATGATCAGGTCGGCCCTGGGGTCCACAACCTTCCCGACCAGTGGGACCCATCCGAGAAGGCCCCGCTTCAGTATTAATATCAACTGACATAGGAGAATACAATAGAATGAATACAACAGATCAAGAATGAGTACGATTATATTTGTGGTGTTGTCAATAGTAAGAGAGACAGTTGAGACCCTGCAATTGTGTGTAAATGAGGTGGAAAGATAGATCATCAACCTGGGACTTGGTCACATATGGCAGCAGGGTCTATCATTAGACAATACATTATGCTTCCAATATCCAGTACCTCCCTGTGTTCATAATGCTGAATTATCCCAGATAACATTAACACTTAGGTCTGCATTCTTCCTACAGTATTACAATACTGTTCTTATATTGAACCTTTATATAGAAAATTATTAAAACATTCACCCTTTCATTTACCTGGTGTAAAAAGTCACACTTTGAGCCAAATAAAAAACAATTGCCCAAGATAAATAAACAATATGTGTCGTGTCAATATATAACTGTACAAGGTAAAGTGACTACTGTACTGTACAACACTTACCAGCACTTCCTTGTCAAGTGTTTCCTCTCTCTGGCTTTCTGATGTTTTCTCTTTTGATCCTTTTCTCTTTGTTCTTGGTCCACTTTGTTGTTCATCTGGAAAAATAGTATATCAATTGATGATAACCATAGGCATTACTTAATGGGCTCAACCTTGCTTCATATATACTGTATATATATATATATATATATATATATATATATATATATATATATATATATATATATATATATATATATATATATATATATATATATATATATATATATATATATTATATATATATATTTTTATATATATATTATATATATATATATATATATATATATATATATATATATATATATATATATATATATATATATATATATATATATATATATATATATATATATATATATATATATATATATATATAATGTATGTGATGGCTTACTGCTGATACTATTAAAGAGGCAGTGGATACAGTTGGGAAATGGAAGGACAAAATAGAGGCAGGGGCCTGAGAGTGAACGTGGCAAAACAAAGAGTGTGGGTGAGAGACCCTTGGTGGAGAGTGGAAAATGGCCATGAGCTGCCGGCAACAAAGGTGTTGGCAGTGACTCAATAATGTGCAACAAGTGTGGAAGGTGGGTACACAAGAGGTGTTGTGGCAGACTATGGGATGTTGCTGACTTTAATTGTTCTCTATGTGCAGGTAACCATGTGCCCACAGCAAGGCTGGGGAACTAAACATTGTGTATATGTTGATGTGTTCTGTTACCTGGGTGACATGATCAGTGCTGGTGGGAGTGCTGAAGCCTGCTCAGTTGCAAGTGGCTGCTGCAGGAAGTTTAGGGAGCTGCTGCCTTTATTGATGACAAAAGGACCTTCCCTCTGAGTGAAAGGATGATGTATGTGGTTGGTGTGAGAAGTGTGATGTTGTATGGCAGTTAAAGATGATGACATAAGTACTGCAGACTTGAGCCAGCCAAAATGAGAATGCTGAGGTGTATGGAACTGAGAAGCTGTCTATCAACTTGGTTTTATTCAATGTGCAAGTGTTATATGCTTTATATTAAACCCTAAATATGTGTGACTAATTTGGTGCCAACATTCATGGTGTATTACAGTAGCTAGGTCCAGGAGACACCAAGCACTTCAGCTTTACCTTCTAAAACTTTATTTTTTAATGACCTTAACTTGTACAAACTTAACTTTTGGTTAAATTAAAATACTGTATTGTCTTTTATATACAGTACAGTACTATATGACCACAGTACTGTAGTTGTATTTACCTTGATCCTCAGTTTGTATTTGAGTCACATCTTGTGCCAATATCTTTCTCTTTCTTGTTTTATTTGCTGGTCTGCCCTTATTGTTCCCAGGAGGTACACCATCTTCTGAGGTTGATGGAGTTGTTGGTCCAGCATCTGGCTGTTGTCTGTAAATACAGTAATAACATTCTCTTATAATCACACATAACTCTTCCATTTTTCATAAACATTTAACAATAGTTTTTTGCTGTGGTAGCAACTCCACACATGAATATTATGACTCACTTACTGATGGCATACAGTTGTACAGGTACTTAGACTCTTAATTACATTTATTTTTATTAATAAAATATAATTACTGTATGGTTTTCACATAGTTTCTGAAATTAGTACTGGGTACCGGTAATACAGTAGTCAAATTAAACCAGAGATTTGAGGTAAATTCTGCCAAATGGTGCTTTTTGTATGTTTCTCAGTGGTAACTAAGGTGGAGAATATAGATGATATAAGGAAATCGAGAATTATAAAACAGAGGAGACATGAGGTGCTCGATGGAAAAACCTGAATGCATTTTTCTCCTGTAACCATAGTTTTCTTAAATAATATACAGTACCAGTACAATATTTGTAAATGTAAGGAATAAATAAAAATAATATTTACAATAATTCTTTAGTAAAAACTGTAATTAAAAATAATGTGTAAGTAAGCAATAACATATTTTTAATTCTGGAGCTGGACAAGATAGAATTTAGCCTGCTGGAGACAGCAATTGGGGGGATTAATTAGCCTGCTGGAGACAGCAACTTTACATACAGAACAGTATAGGATGCAATCTGATTTATTTTTAGCAATTTATCAGACAAAAAAAGTGAGTCTCATATGTTATAAAATACAGTATATTGTTTTTATCATTACTACATAACCTACCACACGATTCTAATAATTTTGGTGTCCAATTATTAAATTTTATGTATTTTTTATGAAAAAAACTTAGGTCACTAAAGACTAAACAGCCATAAGGTCGAGTTTATTCTAGAGGATCACTGTGGAACACACAGCAAATGATCAATAATCATTCATACATATGGTGATGTAATACTCACCTGCCCAGGACAGGTGTACAGGCATGCATGATGATGGGGGAACTAGCTGCTGTGTCTTTCTGCCCCTGGCAGGTTCCATTAATGTGGTCTATGACATTCTCACATATGGCACCACTCACGTTTTTAATACCCTCCCCAGTGCCTCGCTTGTCCTACTCGAGTGTCCCTGTCAAGGTTACCGGTACTTTGTCTAGAACAGTCCGCACCCTTCGTTGTGATATCAGATGAATACTGTACCGAGAAAACCCTTTGCACATACCCTGTACAGTGACCCCTCGTTTAACGAACGCCTCGGTTAACGAAATTTCGGTTAACGAACTGCCTTCCATAAGGATCTTCAATTCGGTTAACGAAAAAAAATTCGGTTAACGAATTTCTTACGAACCGACCTCAACATGTTTTCGCTTGCACTGACCGGGCAACCAGCTTTAGTATCAGTCCGCCAATACATTAATCGGTTCTAGGGCTTAAATTCCTTACTATTTTAGTAAATATCAAGAAGTTTATACTATTCAATAATTTTAAAAGTTTAATATTCAATTTTTTAGTCATTTTAACAATTATTGAACATAATTGAAGGTAAAGAAACTAGTTTCTGTCACGCCATCCAGCCTGTTAACACACCATACAGGCGTCGGTCTTTGTGTCTTTTCAGTGGAGGCAACATATTGCTTGAGACTCTCTTCAACTAAATGCTTTTTTTCTGTGTCTCCAAGCAAATTATTGGTCATTTTGAAATTTATTTTACATATTGACAATATATAATGCAGTGCAGTGTTGATTTAAAGAAAATAATCTTGAATTACACCAAGAGAACTAAAATTTTATGGGTGAAATGGCACCATGGGGTGACTTCTCTTCCACCCCAATGCCTTCTCTTCTCCCTTCTCCTCCTCTACCTCCCACTTCAAATGCACATCATCATCATCATCCAAGAGCCTTCTACATACACACCTCAAAGTAAGTGAACTTTTCTACCATTTTTGTTGAATTTAGGAAATTTTCGGTGAGCTGGAACCAATTACCCAAAAACCCATTGAAACAATGGTTTCGGTTAACGAACTTTTCGGTTAACGAACGACCTTCTGGAACGGATTGAGTTCGTTAACCGAGGGGTCACTGTACTGTACTTATCTTTAGCATTGGATACAGAGTATGTTACGGTATTGTTCTTAATATACGACATGGCCTATCCTTCACTCGAGACCTTGTCACGTCCTCTGACTTTACATGATCATTAATATAGGCATTTTGTTTACCATAATCAGCTATTTTCCACAACTGTTAAAATATTTATTTTACTTTTTTCTGGCCAAACATGCGAGGCAGCCACACTTACAGGGAGGCCCAACCTTCTGTTCCTCCACATTTTCCCCAGTCGTTGCACTCAAATAGGATTCCCCAAGATTTTATATTTTATCTTTTTGCTGATTCCTTTTTCCACTGTGAGAGGTCACATAAATGGTTCCTCGCATGCCCACTATCTTCCTCCACACTTTCATTGCCACTTGAACCCATTATACACACTTGCGAGCACAAATTAGGCAGAAAATAATGGAGAATCACCAAAGTTGTGTCTAGTAAGAGTGGGGTCTAACACCCTGAGAAATATAAAAGTAAATGAAACAAAGAATACCATTAGAGTGGATGAGTAACTGTAAACTAATATTGCTAAACTGTGGAAAAAACTGAGCATTTGCAGGGGTGCAGTCGGGCCAGTGGGTGAGCAAGCCATTCCTCCCTTACTTGACGACGAGCGTGGAACTGGTAACGAAGCAGATTGAATCGGGTCAAGACTGGACACACGAGATGGGAAGGAGGAGGATTTTTACTGTATTAATATGAGCCGTGATGCTACTGACGAATGATTAGGACTGATGTTGATATCATGCTTACTTAATGCACTAAACTATATAATACAGCACTTTTATAATGCTAATTACTTGCAGCTTATGGTTTTTAGGGTCACTTTTTGGTGTTATATTATTCTGGATGTACTTATGTAGTTAGACATTAATTTCAATTCTGAGAAAGCATTTTTTGCTATAAGGGGTTTTGGCCTTACTGTTTCTCATTTAATCTTACCTCAACGATTTTATTTCAAATCTCCAGACACATACTCCTGAACATGTTGATTAAGGACCTGTCGTCTGCAATTGGATATCTGTATAATTACTTGATCAAATGACATACCAATAATTTTAATTACTGTACGATATAATATGTGTGTGTGTGTGTGTGTGTGTGTGTGTATTTTTCCATTTACCTGTACAGTATATCTCAGAATATAATGGGGATGTTAGATGTGTAACAACATCATAAAACAGTGGTCACATAACATCAAACTATGGTAAGTGAAGTGTCACATACACATGATAACAACAACACAGTGTTTATGTTGACGACACATACCTGCACAAAAATCAATCCAGCGTTAATATGAAGAGAGAATACGTTTCTTATAATAGACTTTATGCTAGAAATTTACCATAAATATTACGACAATATACAGAGTACGTACTATGTTACTTAACGGAATACAGCACTGAACCGGCAGCGGATATTACACCATTTTCCCGAAGAAGGAGATCTTCACCCAACATATTATATAAAACACTGGCAATGATTCCCCAAATTATGAAGTTATTGTACAAAACTTTAATAGTAAATAGTGTAAGACAATGTTTAATGTGGAAAGAATGTTAGAACAATCAACAACATCGTTCTGGTCATTCTTTCCCTATGTTATTTCATTTATTACAGTTAAATCTATTCTAGTAATTCATACACTAACTGAACTAGGCTCTTGTCTGCATGTAGCTACTGTATATTGTTGCTATATTTACAGCAAATTTGTTTATATATATACAGTATTACCCGCTTAACTCGGTTTCGCTTAGCGCATTTTACCTATACGCGGTGCCTCGCCAGAGCTGAACTTTCACTTAACACGGGTTTTTTTCCACGTATATGCGGTGAGTGTCCGGCTCAAGAGCTATTTTTAGATTCGCCCCACCCTGCCTGTTTTAGCTCATAAAATTCATACAAATTACCCGGCCAGAATATACAGTGACCCCTCCGTTAACGAACTCAATCCGTTCCAGAAGGTCGTTCGTTAACCGAAACCATTGTTTCAATGGGTTTTTGGGTAATTGGTTCCAGCTCACCGAAAATTTCCTAAATTCAACAAAAATAGTAGAAAAGTTCACTTACTTTGAGGTGTGTATGTAGAAGGCTCCTGGATGATGATGATGATGATGATGATGATGGGATTTAGAATGGGGGTGGAGGAGAAGGAAAAAAGAAGGCATTGGGGTGGAAGAGAAGTCACCCCATGGCGCCATTTCACCCATAAAATTTTAGCTCTTGGTGTAATTCAAGATTATTTTCTTTAAATCAACACTGCACTGCATTATATATTGTCAATATGTAAAATATATTTCAAAATGACCAATAATTTGCTTGGAAACACAGAAAAAAGCGTTTAGTTGAAGAGAGTCTCAAGCAAGATGTTACCTCCAGTGAAAACAGAGAGAGACTAACTCCTGTTTGCTGTGTTAAGAGGCTGGATGCCGCGCATTAAACTAGTCACTTTACCTTCAATTATGTTCAATAATTGTTAAAATGACTAAAAAATTGAATATTAAACTTTAAAATTATTGAATAGTATAAACTTCTTGATATTTACTAAAATAGTAAGGAATTTAAGCCCTAGAACCGATTAATGTATTGGCGGACTGATACTAAAGCTGGTTGCCCGGTCAGTGCAAGCGAAAACATGTTGAGGTCGGTTCGTAAGAACTTCGTTAACCGATTTTTTTTTCGTTAACCGAATTGAAGATCCTTATGGAAGGCAGTTCGTTAATCGAAATTACGTTAACCGAGGTGTTCGTTAAATGAGGGGTCACTGTAATTTACATTGCTGGAATTCTTACAATATGATGATCATTTTGAATATAAACATCATAGATTTTGCATTAGACATACAAATTTTAGATATAATGTTTACTCTGAGTAAATATGTTATTTTTTGTGCAAAATATATGACATTTGTATTCAAAATATTCCTGGGCTTACAAGGAATCCAGCAATGTCAATTATGTTATCCTAACTTTAGTTTGAGGTATTATTTATTACTGAAAAGGTAAATATTCTGGTTTTCCCACACATCTGGTAGGGACGGTTGGTGGGGGGTGGGCGGAGGGAGGGACCGACCGACCATCTGTTACCGTGTGAAGAATATTTTTTTTTTTTATTAACTGAAGATATTTGTTTTAGCTCATAAAATTCATACAAATTACCTGGTCAGAATATAATTTACATTGCTGGAATTCTTATAATTTGATGATCATTTTGAATAAAAACAGCATAGATTTTGCATTACACATACAAATTTTAGATGTAATGTTTACTCTGAGTAAATATGTTATCTTTTGTGCAAAATATATGACATTTATATTCAAAATATTCCTGGTCTTACAAGGAATCCAGTAATGTCAATTATATTATTCTAACTTTAATCTGAGGTATTTTTTAATACTAAATGTTAAAATTTGGTTTTTTCACCAAACATCTCTTGAAGGGAGGATTGGTGGGGGGGAGGGTTGGGACTGACCGCACGGTTGGAAGAGGGGGGGAGGGTTGGGACTGACCGCACGGTTGGAAGAGGGGGGGAGGCAAGGTGGGGTACGTTGATTGACAGATAGTGTCTGAAGAATATTTTTTTTTTATTAACTGAAGATATTTGTTTTAGCTCATAAAATTCATACAAATTACCCGGCCAGAATATAATTTACATTGCTGGAATTCTTACAATTTGGTGATCATTTTGAATATAAACATCATAGATTTTGCATTAGACATACAAATTTTAGATATAATGTTTACTGAGTAAATATGTTATCTTTTGTGCAAAATATATGACATTTATATTCAAAATATTCCTGGTCTTACAAGGAATCCAGCAATGTCAATTGTATTATCCTAACTTTAGTTTGAGGTATTATTTATTAAAATTTAGTGGTTTTCCCCCAAAAATTTCTCAGAGAGGGAAGAGCCAGCAGTGTAATGTGAGAAGAGGGGGAGGGAGTCGAGTCCGTTATTTGAATGGACATTAATTTGGCGACTGTATTTCTCTATTTCTCTTAAGTATTAATTGTGTGCATGTACCATCATAAAATTAAGATGTTATTTTTACTAGAACATAGGTATTGTGAAAAAGTGGAGTTTGGGGGTCGGGCCAGTTTCTATTGGAATTAATCCCATATGTTCTGTTGTTCACTTAGCGCGGTTTTCACTTAACACGGTACCCTGTGGGTTTTATTGACCGTGTTAAGCGGGGTACTACTGTGTATATATATATATATATATATATATATATATATATATATATATATATATATATATATATATATATATACACAATCGGCCCTTAACATACGCGGGGGTTACGTAACAGAGATACCCGTGGATGTTAAAAATCCGCTATATGTGCTGCCCCAAAAAAAAACCTGGTCCCCCCATGTCCTTATTTACTGTATATACCTGTGTGTAGTTCAAGTTTTTAAGACCAAATTATTTGGCAAAAAATTGGGGGTCGACCTCTAAACGGGTAATAGTTTCATTAGGTTGAAAAATATTTACCAGTAACTACCAGTAAACAATGGAAACGATGCACCAACGCACCACCAGCTGTGAGTGTCGGTACAGTTGCCAGGGCAGATCTCTTGCCAAATCCATGGTATGGTAGCACAGGACGATGTAAAACAAAGTATTCATTTATTAAAGTTTATTTATAGATACTGTACATAAATTTTTGTTCATTACATTTGAAACATCAATCCTTGTTAATTAAATTTGAAACAAAAGAAAACTACGATACCGTATTTTCATTAAAATATTACATCACAAGTATATTTTACCTTAACTGTGACTGAATGAATATAAGTATTCTCAGAAATAAATATGGAAATATAATATTTTTGCTGGAATGACGTATTACAGTGGAAAGACGAAAACAATGACTTTCGCTTTCTTCCGTTATTCAAAAGATTTTACCGTAATCGCTTTTCGAATGGTTTTCAGTTAAAAAACTGTTGTACTCGTACTGTATTATAATAATATTCTATCCTATCATTAGCCTTATAATCCCACAACTGAAAACCATTCGAAAAGCGATTACAGCAACATCTTTTGAACGAAAGAAAAGAGAAAGTCATTGCTTTCGTCACAATTTTATCCCACTTTCCACTGTAATACGTACATCATTTCAGCAAAAATATTACATTTCCATGTTCTCAGAAATAAATGGTAGTTTTGTTGAAACGTAATGTACAATATTTAATATTAAAATGCAAAAATAGCTATAAAAACAATTAATACACCCGTAATGTACTGGCTGGCATCTCCACTCGTCCCTGCTCCCGCATCCAAGGTCACCACTCCTCCCAACTCGCTCCCTCCACTCCCTCCTCCACCCCCTCTGCCTCCTCCCCGTCACTACTGCCGACAACGAACACAAATGTTTTGTGAATAACTGCACCTCCACTTCCTATGTACAATACTGAACTGTGCTGTGCATTTTTACAAATAATAAACACGGCAAGAAAAGTTATTAAAAAAAAAAAGAGAAAAAAATTTCACTTTACTGTACCGTACCTATCCTCGGCGACAGGACGGGGGTCATCGGGCTCATCGTCACTCAATTCCATAACGGGTGGTGAAGTGGGGGCGACGGTGGATTCAGCTGCTTCCTCACTGCCGCCAGTGATTGATGGTGTTAAATCTCTCCTTCGGTGATCAAAGAACATGGTGATGGGGAGTTGTCGTCTCTTTCTTTCATTTCTTCCATGATGTTTTTGTATGGAGCGAAAACGTCATCCATCCCTCGCATGAATTTCAGGGCACGCACCATGGAGGGGTCCATACTATAAGCCAGGTTTTTCAGTGCCTCAATATTCCAGGTCATCTCCCCCAACTTCTCCAATGTTATTTCTTGGTGCTCTTCTTCTTCCTCATCCTCTTTCCCTTTCGCTTCCTCTTCCTCTTCCTTGCCTGAGTCTACTAACTCCTGTAGATCCTCCTCGGTCAGCTCAGTGTCGTGCTCTTCAATTAGCTCCCTAATCTCGTCCTCTGCCATGTCCTGGAAGCCTTCAGCAGCCACTTTCCTTGACAGTGCCAGAGTCTTTCTGAATATTTTCATTAAAATCCATCAAAATCATTTTCCTTGTCATCGTCTTAAGCACCAAACAGCTCCCCCAGTCTTCTCCTTGAACAGGGCTAGAGGGTACGTGTTTTTCGAATCGTTTTCAATTAAAAAAATGTTACAGCACATGTATATTTTATCTAAACTGTGCCTGAATGAATATATTCTCAGAAATAAATAGTAGTTTTGCTGAAACATGATGTATTTCAATGTAAAATAGGATAAAATACATGACGAAAACAAAAGACTTTACCTAACCTTCCAATGTTCGAGATGTTACTTGTTTTTTTAATAGTTTTCGGTTAAAATACTGTTATATTACAATGATATTATATTCATACTGTGCTTGATATACTACATTCACGGAAATGTAATATTTTTGCTGAAATTCCGTACGTATTAGTGGAAAGTGGGATAAAATCGTGACGAAAACAATGACTTTCACTTTCTTTCGTTCAAAAGATGTTACCGTAATCGCTTTTCGAATGGTTTTCAGTTAAAAAACTGTTGCATCACAAGTGAATTAGGATAGAATATTATTGTAATACAACAGTTTTTTAACCGAAAACCATTCGAAAAGCGATTACGGTAACATCTTTTGAACGAAAGAAAGCGAGTCATTGCTTTTGTCACTTTCCACTGTAATACGTACGTCATTTCAGCAAAATATTACATTTCCATATTCTCAGAAATAAATAGTAATTTTGCTGAAAAGTAATGCATTTCAATGTAAATTTGGATAAACTACATGAAAACAAAAGACTTTACCTGACCTTCCGATGTTCAAGATATGTTACTCGTTTTTTAAGTAGTTTTCGGTTAAAATACTCTTATATTAGTGATATTCTATTCATACTGTGCTTGATATAATACATTCACGGAAATGTAATATTTTTGCAACTACAATGCTGATGTCAACACAAGCGTGGTTACAGCGAGACTGACTGAGTGAGGGAGAGCTATGCGTGTGTGTGAGTTTGCGGGAGCGGGCGGTGTCCCGTGTTCGGTGCCTTGCGCGAGTTGAATGGCGCGCAATTTGAATGTACTTCAATTACTTCAATGTACAGAATATTCCTCCGGCGGGGCAATCCGCGTATTTTTCTGTTGTATCAACTCACCACACCTTACACACATTGACTGTGTATGTTATAATGGGTTGTGATGGGCGGTTGCTCATTACCTAGGTCCACCTTTGTTGTGAGCATTACATGTAGGTAATGCCTATTGAAGTTTGTTAGGTTACAATAATAATATTTGATTGGCAAAAATACCCTTTCTGCAATAAATATTTATTATAAATAATTTTAACTATTATTTACCCTTCTAAATGATTCTTTTGGATCACTAATAAATTACCCAGTGATTGAAAGCATATTCAATGGATTTTTTTAGGTGAAACTTTTTTATTTTTTTGGAAGTGACAAAAATTTCAGAAAACCTTTCTCCTGTGGTTTGAAACTTGATATTTATTGATGGCTAGTATAAAATAAATAAGTATTGCTGACAACTACCAAGAAGTCAACCTACTTTGGCTCGCAGTTAGCACAGACAGGGTAGAAGTGGCGAGGGCACATCGGTTGACGGCAGCCGTGGCACCTGTGCCGTGTCTTGCGGTCAGACCCATTTGGGCACTCGACACACCGCACCAAAGGGTCCTTGCTGTCGGCAACTGGTGTCCCTGGTGGCCTTGCAACACTTCCAGGTGAAGGGAGGTCGCAGACGCTGCAAATGAGGGCCTTGAGTCCCTGTGACAGAAATGGAGAGCTGAGCCTTTTCTCTGCCCATGGTGTGATGAGGGCCCGTGCCAAAGCTTGCATGTACGTCCGCCTCTTCGGTAACTTGCCACCTGTCCTGGACATATTATCTTTGTGTATGATCCACGAGTTAATAACTCCAGCATTCACCATCCCGTAGAACATACACAATGGCCACCGTTTTGTCTTCCGTGCACACGAGTAATGGGCACACATTTGGTCGAATGTGTCTACGCCACCTTTGGTAGCATTATAGAATTCGATCACCTCTGGTTTGCCGGTGTTTCCGATGGTTGGCTGTGTGTGCATGGAAGACAACAGTAGCACCAGTTTCTTCTTCGTCTTGGCCGTTGTTGGGACATAGGACACCAGAGTCAGCTCCTTTGTGAACAGGAACGCAGTTGACTCTAGCCTGCGGTTGTCCCTATCCGTCATCTCCTTGGGAACTTCCTTCTTGTTCGCCTTGATGGTCCCCGCAAAGGTCATGCCGCAGTTCTCAAGGAGATCAACCGCTAGGGGCACAGATGTGAACCAATTATCGGTGGTGACGTTCCTGTTCGTCTTGTGGTATGGCCTGGTGAGCTCCTTGGTGTAGTAATGGCCAAGGTTGATGTTTTCCTGGTATGGTGTCCCCTGCTTCCCAAGGTAAGGGATTGCACTCAGTAGGTATTTGCTCTTGTTATCATTGGCAAGAAAAATCTTGAGGCCATATTTTGCAGGTTTGTTGGGAATGTACATGCGGAACGGGCAGCTGCCTCTGAAGGCCAGCAGCTGCTCGTCCACAGTAATGTTTTCACTTGGCATATACATTCTCCCACAATTGCCAATGAAGATGTCCCACACCTTCCTAAGGGGTGCAAGTTTGTCAGCCTCCTGCCTCACCTCCCGTGTGTCCGGGTCATCGAATCGTAAACAGTTCAGCAAGAATTCAAAGCGACCCTGTGACATGGCCACACGGTACACGGCCGCGCCGGTGGAGGGGCTCCACATCTCCGAGGTTAAGAGATGGCCGTCTCTCTGGCAGCCACTGAAGATGAGAATCCCCAGTAGTGCACGCACCTCTGCTGGTTCTGTTGTGGAGTGTGTTGCTGTTTGCCGGGCAAACTTGGCGGCCTGCACAGCAATCTTCTTGTTGGTCCACTCCACAATCTCTTCAATGATGTGGTCCTCAAACAACAACCTGAAGCACCTCTCAGGAGTGTCAGCACTCTGTACCTCCCTTGTTGGCCCTGGAGTCAAGGGTTGAATTATGTTCCTTGCTGGTGTTCTTGTGGGAGAAGGTACCTGTGGCCGACAGCTCCACCGAAAACCGGCCTTCCCAGACACGGTGCTGGTATGGAAGTCCACAATCGATGGAGCATTGTCAGCCTCATTGCCCCCACGGCGCCTTCTTCCTTTACGAGCAGGAGACGTAGAAGCAGCAGGTGCAGCAGATGTTGAGGGAGCAGAGGTGGCAGCAGGAGGGGCAGGAGACATAGAAGCAGCAGGGGCAGGGGCAAGAGACCTAGAGGCACCATGACGTTTTGCAGGGGTTGACGTACGCCTTGCTTTTTTTCTTGAGGGTGGCAGAAGGGGCACTTCACTATCACTAGACTCATCACTCTCCACATCACTAGGTTCAGGGATGTAACCTTGGTGTATATCACTGTCATATAGTTCCTCAAATTCTAAATTATCCACTTGTCCTTCATCTTCACTATCAAGATCACTTAGATTCTCAGGTAATTCACCAGTAGTGTTCAGAATGTGGTCCAGATCATCCTGGGAGAGAATATCTTTAGACCTCTTTGCCATTGTTCACTAAAGTCACTAAATTACCCTGAAAAAATTATATTTCACTGCTTACAAAGAGAAGAAAACGTAAATAACAAACATAAAAATATACACTAATACATACTGTACCTTGGTAGATTTTCACCCATAAATATTTGTGTATTTTATCACAAACCTCGGGCGAAAATCACCCAAAATGCACTATAAACAAAAAACCAAAGCTGCGAGCAGCGCAGCGCACCCACCCTCTACCACTGCTACACAAAGACTGAAGCTACAGGGCGACCCACGCCTCTCCCGCCACTGACCATGCGGTGATCACGTGGTCGGACAAAGCGTGGGGTGAAAATCTCCCAGGGTTTGCCCCATTACAACTGCTACAAAGAAATGTACAAAACCAAAGAAAATCACAATTTTGCCAAATTTTATGTCTTCCTGCATTTATTCCTTGCCTGGTAATTATTCAGTTTACTCCCCAGCCGCTTGGCAGCACCACTTTGAGTGGTGAACACATTCGCCCACAGGAGTGGGCCATCTTTCTCTAATATTAAAATCCTTGGTGTCACAAAGAAGGTTGGGAAAGTCCTTTAAACAAAAACGAGAGAGGATGTCTTCTGAATTTGCATTTGTAGAGTAATTTGTGATTGTTGTTTGGGTTGCATTTTAAATGGTACACTCTGTAACTGCCTATTTCAAAATTAGTTTTAGCAGATTCAAACATTGCTTCATTCCTCACATTTTCCCGATATATTATGACGACATTTTCTTACCGACTTCACTCGCTCCTACATAAGCCATACTCTGAGTGGTAATACTATACAATACATGTTGACACGTCCTCCAATACTGTAAATTTCTGAATGTAACTTTCAGTTTCCCTTCCTGTGTACACCACATCCTAAAGCACATACTAGACTGGTGGTGGTCTTAGCTTGGGGTGTTGTAATGTCTCATTGATCAAACTTCCCTAGATATGCCCTCAAAGCTTATGCCTAAATTTTAAGTTTGGATGTTACACATTACAAGTACTGAATACCTTGCACTACTCTATGGTGGAGGTTCCTCCTAGACCTAACCAAAGTATCCTAGACCTAACAATCTTTTAACCTAGTACTGTAGACAGTTTTCATGTCTCCCTATGATGTTCACTACCATTTTCCATTACTTTAAGCAGGTGACCAGACTAGTCATACAGCTACTCATGCAACAGCACAAGGTAAGGAGAATATTAATCAATGAAAGTTGTGTTTGAGAATAAAATAAGCGAATGTCTTCAGAAATGTCTCAAAACCTACTTCTTAATTACTTAGTCTTCAGCTATTATTTACATATCATTAAGGCAATGAAAAAAAATAGTTTCCACAATATGGAAAAACCTTTATGTTAATCAGTAGTGTGTGCATACATGTAGGAAATGATGAGGCAATGCTTTTTCCATTTTCATGTTAATACTTGGAAGTCTTATTGATATATAATATAATGGGCAAATATTATCATAATTTAAATTTCACAGATTCATACCTTCGTCCCAAATCCTGTAACGTCCGGTACATTTCAGTGTAGACACGGATGTGTTTCTCCACACCAGCGGCAATTGCACCACTCCTCTTCACCCGAGGGTCATTTGCTTGAAACAACTCCAGTGCCTTCTCTAAGTAGTTGAAGCTCTCTCTCAGTAGCTCAACAGTTAGCTGCCTCTCAGGCTCCTCCACTTGTTGTGCTTCTTCATCACCTACCCTGTGCTGCTGGAGCTGCAGGAGTTCTTTATTAGTAAGGTCCTGGCTCTGTGACTGCTGCAGAGCCTCAACATCCTTCCTATCCACCTCCTCAAACCCAGCCTCCTGAGCCAGGTTGACAATGTCCTGCTGCACCTTTCCCACATCAGCAAATCCAGTTAAATTGTGCACTAACTCGGGCTAAATTTTTCGCCACATGACATTCATAGTTTGCTGTGACACTTCTTCTCATGAATCACTGATGTGCTCAATACCATTCTTGATATTATACTTCTTCCAAAACTCCTTGATGCTGCTCCTGTTGTGTTGTGTCTGGCAGACAACCTCCTTCATTATCCGCCTCAGGTAGTAGGCCTTGATGACGCCTTGATCCATGGGTTGGCCGAGTGAGGTGGTATTAGGTGGCAGGAAGATCACCTCAATGTTTTCTGACCACATAACCAGGTGGGTGGGTGTGAAGGAGCATGTCAAGGATCAGGAGGAATTTGTTTGACAAGTTGTTCTTGTCACAATACTCCTTGCACATGTTGGAGAGAGGTACTGGATGTAGTCCTGCATCAGCACCATCATCACCCATGCCTTCTGGTTGGATCGCCAAACAATGGGAAAGTGATCCCTAATGAAGCCCTCGAGTGCCCTGGGGTTCTCTGAATGATAGACGAGCATGGGCTTCAGGTTGAGATCGCCTTCTGCATTTCCCCCCAAGCAAGAGGGTGAGTAAGTCCTTGGCTGCCTTGAAACCAGGTGATGTCTTCTCCGAGCAATGAACGTACGTGACGGCATATTTTTCCAAAACAACCCAGTCTCGTCAGTGTTGATGACTTGCTTGAGGGAGTAGCCACCTTCCTTAATTTTCTTCTTGAGTTCTGGGAAGGCTTTCGCAGCTTCAGCGTCAGCACGCACACCTTCCCCAGTCAGTTTCAAATTGTGAAGATTGGCATGACGCTTAAAGCGCTCAAACCACCCACTACTGGCCTTAAAGTCACTCACAAAGGTTACCTGGTCAGGTCCCAGGTCTTTCTTAATGTCTTCCCACAAAGACACAGCCTTTTCCCTGATGATGTAGGTGAACAAAGGGGGCACCAAGTGATGTCTGCTCTTTTATCCACAGCTGGAGAAGACACGCCCTGTTCTCCATCACAGAATCACGAGATTATGTAAGTCTGCTTGCTCCCATCCACGTGACATTCTTTACTGCATCATTGATCTCCTGAGCATGCTTGAACATTGAGGCAATGGTAGAAGTAACCAAGCATAGGTCTCTCCCAATCTTAGTTGGACCTTCTCCCCGTTCGTGGCACTTGATTATCTCAAACTTGGTTTCAAGTGTCACAGGCTTGCGGGGTCCTTTGGCAATGATGGGGGCAGCAGAAGAATCACCATTATCCTTGGATGCCATTGTATACAAATTCAGGAAAGGATTGCAACAACACAAATGTATTCAGGAAGAACACTTCACTTGTAGTGAACAAAGAACAAATGGAGCATGGCAGAATGCAGTGTTGTGCCTTAAATGTTTATAGATTCGAGGACAAAACTTCTTGATTTAGGAAAATCTCTGTACATCATGATTGCGCTTTATATTTATGAAACTGTAAAAATATGCACACAAATGGTACAAAAAAATTTAATTACCCCACTCCTCATAAAGGAAAAAATCCTTTTACAGTACAGTGAAAACATCTCAAATAAACTCATGTCAGAAGATAACATTAGCCAGAGATGGTATCACATAACAGGAGACTGAGCAACATAAAAGTATTTTTTTTCACACCTCTAAATTTCAGGTACAAACTAATCTTTGTCATCTCTTCCCCATCATCATCACCATCGGAACTTTTATACAAGCAGTACTTTCATTCACAACTGCAAACTTTGGGGGTGATATATTTAGGTTAAAACAGTTATTGAAGAGAAGCCTTTTGTGTGAAGCATTCCACTTAAATGTTGTGGATAATAAGTAGTTTCTAATCTTGTTTTCTTTCTATTTACTGCAATAAATATGTAGCAAACACAATATACAAAGCATTAGTAAAGCTAGATGAGGAAATAGAGGTACTGTTGGGAACAAATAAACCTAGTACCTGAGAAGTGTTTGGCTGGTGGTACCTGGCAATCCCAATGTAGTAAAGTGTGGGGAGAATTCTATGAATGAATCCCTCAATTTGTAACAGTGATTGTAATTGGTTGAAATAACTTTAACCTGTATCTACCTGTATGTTGAGAAATATAATTTATAATCGGTAAAGTGATATGCATATATCCGTCAATTGATCATTGTTACTAAAGACCCTTATTCTTACATGTAATGAAATTAAAATTATTATTAAGAAGATACTGGATCATAGATTAGCAACTCTACTAATGCCAGGCTTACCACAGGTTTGTGAAGCCAAGGGTGAATATGTCAATCTGGGTCAAAAGGGTCTGATAAATGAATGTTCTTCCTCGCATTGTCTTGATAAAAATTTCATAGCTCTTTCATGCAGGAGATGTCAAATGATACAATCATAACTCTTGGTCACCCTGCTCCACCACTACTGTCCTCACCTTTTATATCACCAAAATTTTGAATAATGTACAGGTACTGTAAAATGCAGCAATAATAATAACACTACAGTACCGGTAAGCCAGCAATTGTTTTTGTAATAAGAATTTGATTATTATTATAATAATAATACAGGTACATAAAGCTGCAGTCACAAAATGCAGTTAACACTCACCATCCTGGTGGCTGAAATGCAATGTTAAAGTCTGTGGTGAACACATCCCGATAGTAGTGAAGATTCACACATGGTTCCCCAGGGTGCTCAGCTTGCATCAATTTGTGATAAGAGGTCAAACAACTCCTCATAGACAATAAGTTTGACTCTAAGTAGTGTCTGTGGGGTGACCTGGCAGGGCTGTAGTGGCTTGAGACAATGGGAAGTTGAAGACTGTTTACACACACGGTCAGCTTTTATACCTTTGAATATGTTGGGAGGTTCGTGCTGAACAGCTTACTGTACCTGGCAGAGGAACACTCGCACCAAAGATTGAAGAGATTCATTGCCTGCACACCTTATGGGTAACGTTATTGTACGGAACATTGTAGGCAAGGGTACATGCATGTCGGTGTACACTTCATCTCAACCTGCTACATTATTTTCTGAAGGTAATTATTCTACAGGCTGTAATCCCTAATGTCTCAAATTTGCTTGAACAAACATTCAATCACAGTACTGGTCTCATAACTTTCTGAAAACATCTATCATTACAGGGTGGTCCTATAACACTAGCCCACACAGGGTGGCCCTATAACACTAGCCCACACAGGGTGGTCCTATAACACTAGCCCACACAGGGTGGTCCTATAACACTAGCCCACACAGGGTGGTCCTATAACACTAGCCCACACAGGGTGGTCCTATAACACTAGCCCACACAGGGTGGTCCTATAACACTAGCCCACACAGGGTGGTCCTATAACACTAGCCCACACAGGGTGGTCCTATAACACTAGCCCATGCAGGGTGGTCCTATAACACTAGCCCACACAGGGTGGTCCTATAACACCAGCCCACACAGGGTGGTCCTATAACACTAGCCCACACAGGGTGGTCCTATAACACTAGCCCACATTAGTTTTATCGTCACTGCTAATATCTGCTTCACCCTTATTTCACTTTTTTCTAATACAGTATTACTCTGCCACAGCTCAGTTCCCTCTCTCTTTTCCCTCCCTGAAAAGGGCCAGGCATGCCACTATCACAAGTGTCACTCATCACGCACGATGAAGACGACAGACGCCAACGACAAAAAATTACGAGACGTATTTAAAACATCTTTAAAGGCTGGCAGGGTAAACAATACAGTACATTACTGTGTGGGGGAGTGCGTGGAGGGGAAACGGGGGAACTAGCATCGTGATTGGTTGAGGAAAGATGTTCTTCGCCCCGGGTTGGCCAAGAGAACTCGCAAATAAATAGAGCTAACTGATGAGCACCGTGATTGGCTGGTGGATCTTTCCGGGCTGGAAGAGTGTGTGTTATATCCAGGACCTCTGGACCACCCCATGCCATAACAAAAATCAACGACGTGTCTACTGCAAGTCTATGGACTTTTAACATCATTGCCAGTGTCTCCACTCCCTACCAAACAGAAGGATGTTTGAGAATAATAGATTTATAATAAACAGGGTGAGGGCTGTGAGTGGAGAAGTAGCGGTTTACCACGTATATCCTCATATACATGCCAAACTAATTGTAAGCTTGTAGGATGACTTAACTGATTAATACTACAGTATTATTATCATTAAGACAAAAAGGAGAGAGGCTGTGTCACAAGGGCCATACAATTGCCTATTTTAGAAGTCAAATGGCCTCATACCAGTGTCATCTTCCATTATTCAACAGACCATGTCATATTTTTAAACAGCTCTTAAGCAACCTTCGAGTGTAAAGTCAAGCAAAATGGGTTTAATAAACAATGAATTATGTTGACAATCCTGCCAAAAATTGTCAACACCACTATATTGGCAAAAAAAATCGGCAACTCTATGTCCCATGTGACACTGCCTAGAAAGTGAGTTACCGTATTTCTTTACTGCACCAAAAGTTGTCCCACAAGTGCTTGCCTGCGTAGTCCTTGCGCTTCTTCAAACCGAGTTCTCTCGACTTCTTGCCACGGGATCTGTTTCTAATAGTCTGGGGCGAACACCTGATCCCGTGTTGTTCACGGATGCTAGTAGCGGTGGCAGAGGGATCAGCATGGAGGGCAGCTGTTATGGCCTCATCTTGCTCAGATGATGTGCATCGTGGGCGGCCACTGCGAGGCTGGTCCATGGTGGTGCCGGTATCTTCAAAGCGCTTAATCCATAAGGCTACAGTGTTCTTTGAAACGCCAATCCGTCGTGCGATCTCACCATTGCTCAGGCCCACGCCATGAAGAGTGATGATTGAAATGCGTGTTGCCTGTGAAGTCTCCATACTGAATGGCAGGACCAAGACAGAACTTACAACGTAGAGTCACACTGTTTTCTATATGTTCAAAACTGTTCCATTTTAACGTCAGTTCATCTTATAGCACATTACATCCCAATTAGACAACTCATCTCCTGTGGTAGAAATACTTTCTAATGTAAATAAAACAATGTCATAAATTATATTGTCACTTTTTTAAATGGTTTTTATATTTCATCCTACTGTATTTAATTACTTTATAATATATAGGTGATATACTGAAGATCTTAATTATTAAAACAGTGGTTCCTAACCTTTTTGGCACTGCGTCCCCTTTGGTTAACCGTATCAACGGCGCCCCCCCCCCCCATACCTAGAGCGAAAATTTTCAACAGTTCAACTCTAGATAAGTAATTATAGGATTAATAATCAAAACCACCAAAGTTCACGTGTTTATGAGAAAATTCCGTATTTCTATGAAGCACCACCGAGATGAAGGATGTCAAGTTCCCCCTTACGAAGTTAATTACTGTGCTTGTCATGTTCCCCCACCCACAACTTCTTGACCCACCCTCCCATTTGATGTTCCTGGATCCGTCCCTACCAATGCAATGGGGAAAATTCTATCTCAATTTGAAAACAATACTTCTCCATGTGTCCATATTGGGCTCAAGCATTTAGAGGCTGCAAATTGTTCCATACAGCATTACAAACTTCACATACAATTTGTGGAACGATTATACCTCCCGGTTGGTAACTCAAGCCAATAGTACAGAATGTGTCACCTGTTGCGAGATACTATACCTGCAACAAATAAATAAAGAAGCATCCTAGTGCAGTAGTATTTATTTTTTACAGCCTAGCCTACAACATATCTTAGTACGTATAGTTGTTTTTCATTATGCCCAGTACTTGTGGATTTTAACCTGACATTTGTTTATTGTAACCCAAGTACAGTTGTTCCTTTTTACAGGGGAATACTTTTTTTTTCAGGCTTATTAGCTACTTGTTGCTCCCTTTAAGCCCAGTTATCGGTAGATTAATTAATACAGTTAGTTGATGGAAAGTCACTTAAGGATGATTTTATCTTTCTTCAGTCAAGTGCATCAAGCAAGACTGAAAGAAACTCACGGATTGCTTTCGACAAGCACAAGCTCGAAGAAAGACCACAAGTGGTCAGGCAGCAAAGAACTGGAAGCCTTGGTGTTATGAGAAGCAAATGTAGTTTTAATTGCATCAATGAGTTCAAGAGAATAAGTGGCTTTTTTTTCTATGTACTCAATAAAATCTAAGGAAATAAAAATTTCATGGGTATAAAACAATATATAATACTGTACTGTATATAAGTAATAGATTGACATCTGTAAATACAGGGTACAGTACAGGTTGTACCTCTCTAGTCCGGCATTCTGTGGTCCGGAACGATTTTTAGTTTGTCCAATAGGTAGATGGGGAGCTTTTTTTTTTTATCTGAATTATTATTATTATTATTATTATTATTACAGGAGTATTAAATTTTTGCCCCTCAGGCCCCAATGTGGGTCAGTGACCTAAGCCCGGGTGGGCTAATCCCCGTAAAAAAAAACAACAACAAAGCCACGGGAAATTAAGGTTTGTTTACATCCGGCAGTTCGGCTGCTCTCTCTCTCTCTCTGCTTGTCTATACAGAGTACAACATTTAACCCTTCAATATATATGAGCAGTAAATAAGTGTTGCTTTCATATTCTTATGTAGAGTAATGACGATATGTTTTCACATGTGCACACTTACATACACGCAGTCTCACTTTTTTTTTACCATTAATGGTTAGCTACTTGTATTGTTCCATTTATTAACATTAAATAACATTACAGGTACTTCAAACAACCATATTAATTTTTTTACATTAATTTTACTACAGCTACAATCAGGGTCTTATTTTCTTCAGTTTTATATGTAGAACCAATCAGTCACTGGTTTTGTAAGCTTTAACATAAACAATGCCGGCAGCCGTCTCGTCTCCTCGTGTGTTTTAATATTCCACGGAATATTAATAAATTGTATTGTTAATTTTGCACACACAAACATTAATTCAATAAAAACAAATTCAGAAACATTAATTAAAATATATATGAACAGTAAATAAGTGTTGCTTTCATATTCTTATGTAAAGTAATGACGATATGTTTTCACGTGTGCACTTACATACACGTTCTTTCTTTTTTCTTTACCTTTATCGTTAGCTACTTCTATTGTTCCATTTATTAACATTAAATAACATTACTTAAAACAACCATATTAATTTTACTACAGCTACAACCAAGGTCTTATTTTCTTCAGTTTTATATGTAGAACCAGTCAGTCACTGGTTTTGTAATCAACGAAAACAATGCTGTCAATTCCTCCTGTGTTTTAATATTCTATGTATTATTAATGAATTGTATTGCTCATTTTGCACACATAAACATTAATTCAATAAAAAAGACATTCAGTAATAAACAATAATGAATCTTTTGTACATAAGAGAAATGACGCTGTTTACACGATTATGCACGTCGTCTGCACGTTGACGGGCCGTTCAAACCCGTCGAAATTCAAGTTTCCGCTGTCAATTTTTTTTTTGTTCCAATAAAATACGTTAAGAATTAAAAACTCGCAAAGTTTGAGAAGCTACTATACGACATTTCACCCTTCAATATGTCTTCAAAGAGACCATGATGCAGAGAAAGTGGTGCTAGTGCTTCCAAGCAAAAGCACAAGTCACTTCTATCCAGGAAAAGGGTGAATTTCCATGGTCCGGCACCGGTCAGGTCCCGAGGTTGCAATATGTATGTATATATTTTTTGCCAGTGTTTTATTGCAAATTTAACACGGATATGTTGTATTGTATTTGGAAGCTTTCATAAGTAGTCTTAAACTAAAGAATCCTTCAGCACGAACATCGAGGATATCAACAAAGATGTAGTTGATGACAATAATGAAGTACAATACTGCAACAACTGCATGTGACTTGCAGGAAGAGATGACAGGTTCTGTATCCACTCCACTTCAAAAGATGAAGATGCCTGGCGTCATTAAAAGAGGAAGTCTACCACCACGAGTCATATCAATAAAGTCATTATGTATTTGCATGGGAAAAAAAAGAAAGAAAAAAGAGGCAATGTCTAACAAACAGGACGATGTGGATTATTTTTTTATGAGTGCATGTCACTCTGCTAGGGAGCTGTCTCGTAAGCTTCAAAACCAAATCAAGAGAAGCTCTGGACTGCTATTGCAAGAGCAGAACAACAACATGAGCATGAAATGTCAAGGCATGTTTTTGCACCTTCCACCTTTTCTGCTGCAGCTGCACATAACGACTCGGAATCTTTCATTATTTGGAGTGCGCAGGGATCCAAAGTTTCTCAAAATGTGATGCATGATATCCACAATGAAGAAATAAAGCAATGCACGTTATACATATGTACGTTAAATAATATTGTCACATCAGTGTACATCGGGGTACATACAGAACTGTACTGTACAGTACTGTATATGATTTAGTGAATGATTCAGGAAGAAAATTTATACCCATTTAATATGCACCAAGATTTGACCTACAGTAGTTAAATGTTGACTTGCAAAAGGTTAAAATTTATTTCCATAATGAAACAAACAAACAATTAATGGTTGTCATACCAGTGCACAGTATGCTGGGTTTTTACTTACCGCAGACAAATGGCCAGCCTTCCCTGGGGTAATATACATTTCCTGTAGTGTGTATCCCGCTTCTTAATATCATTTTCAACTAATAACAAGACGTCTTTGAATCGAGCGCGAGATACTCTAAAATAGTGCTTGAATTTGTCCCCATCAAGGGAGAGCTCCTGTACTAGATGATAGTACTCTTCAATTTTGTTTATTTTCACATCTGTTTTGTCGACCCATTTCCTTTTTTTCTTGGTTAGTCCCAGTGTCAGTAGTAGAATTTCCTCATCGGAATCATCATCACACCCCGGAGCACAACTGGCCATCTTGACTGGTGGAACGTAACAGAGAGCAAAGCTTAAGACACGTGTGTACTTTGGCATGAATGTCACCGGCACAGTGTGAAAATCATGCATTGTATGAAATGCCTAGCCATTCTATACAATGCCTAGGCAAAGCATTAAAAGGCAAAATGTTAATATGCATTGTTGTTTAATGGCAAAATTAACAATGTGTGAAAAAGGCCTGTTTATACAAATTTATTCCTGTAACCTAACCTAATATATTAATATTTGTCCTTTTAATGCTTTGCTGCTAAGGTATTGAATAAAATCCCTAGGTAAAGTATAAAAGATCAAATTAAAAGAAGCTTATTTCTTACTTTGCCTAAAAGTTTCTAGGCATTGTATAGAATGGCTAGGCATTTTATACAATACATGATTTTCACACTGTGCCAGTAACATGAGGATGATATAGCTGGCTCACGTAGCTTCTGGTGTTAGACGGCCTTTATCAAATGTTGAGGTAAAGACTGGTGTACACCCTTAGATCAGCCACACAGCATCCTACTGGTACCATACTGTATCTATAATCATGAAGCTCAAAAATACTGAACAAACATATTTATACCTCTTATCTGCTTAATCACTTAGATATCTCCTGCATGATTTGTTCCCTCTAACAATATTTCATAATAGATACTGCAGTAATACAATATTATAGATATATTGGTTATGTGAAAATAATGCTATCAATGCCACAATAAATGCTGTACTGTACATACTGTATTTGGAAAGATACAGATGAACAGGAAAACATGGTAATATATAAATTGTAACTCATAACACCAAACTTTTGGGGAATATTATTAAGTTAATTTGTTCATATACAGGGGTATTGCAGTACAGGTATAGATAGCTTACTGATATCCCACAAAATATATCCACAGTACTGTACCATTCACACAGTTGTGGAGAAGAGATAACCCAGCTGTCTCTCATGTTGTGGTGATAATGCTCACTGAGTAGCTTTATGTGTGAGGGTGTTGTTTAATGGCTATGTCCTAAAACAGACAACACTGTTACTATGTGAATCGCAGCCATGTGCTCTATATTGGCAGAGCCTCTAATGACTACCACTATTTAATGGAGGGATAAAAAGAGAGCTCACTGGATATAAGGGAACAAACGAAAATACAAGATATCTTCATTACAATTAAAAAACAGAAATGGACCTAGGTGGGTCACATCTTCATGGAACAGATAAGAGATGGTATCAAAGTAACAGAGTTACAACCCAGAGATGGAGAGACAGGAGGAGGTAGACAGAGAACTTGGTAAAGGGATGAAATTTTAAAATTTGCTGGGCTGTTTGTGGTGTTGTGCTCGGGGAGAGGGACGGGGAGGGGGGGGGGGGCAGATGAACAACCACCTAGGTGTTTTAGCATTACACAACTAATCTGTCCACAGCATATTTAGAAACAGTAGCAAATCAATGACTTATACAATTATGTAAAATTATCCAATTAACTTAAAATTCTTGCAAATAATGGGGGTACAGTACTAACCAATGAACTACTTTGTCTTATACCTTATGCAACCAGGTGTAACTAATTAACCCTCTCAGCCTCGCAAGATGCCACTGTGGCGTTGAACATAAAGGGTGAAAATACTTACGCTCAGCCTCGCGATGCCATCGTGGCGTCCAATGGGCTATATTTTCAAACAACTAAAAAATTATTAAGTAAAACTGACTGAACTGGACACCATTTGACAGACGACATTTTCTTTGAGTGGGCCGTCTCACTTTCCCCGTGACGGCCTTGGTCATCGTGTGCGTGGCAGCACAGCATGAAGCCAGTGTCACCTTGGCCATTAGAGCGAGAGGAAGGTGTGACGCTAGGCCCTTTAATTATTCCACGAGTTTTTGTGTTACACTATATTATTTTTCCTTATACCACAATAGTAGATAGTAAGCAGCTACCAAACAGGGAGGTACTACCGCTTGGGAAGTTATTGGAAGCATAATGTATTGTCTAATGGTAGACCCTGTTGCCATATGGCCAGTGGTGGGCACAGCTAAATGAAAAGTTAGCTTCGCTAACCGCTAATCTGCAAATTAAAAAGTTAACTTCGCTAACGCTAAACAGCTAAAAAATTAGCAGAAGCTAACGCTAACCGCAAACTTTTATTATATGAATTTAACTTCTTTTTTTTTGAGGGGGGGGGGTGGGGGGGCCTCTAAAACCCTTAAAAACAGACCTAGAGAGCTGAAATTTTCATATGTTGTCTTGTAGTTTAGACATAGAGCTTTCCAAAAAGGTATAGCATGCCAAGATCAGATGATGATCAAGGTGTACACAAATAATTAAATGAACAAATGAAATTAAACATTAGTTTGCATTCAAGTTTCAACATACACTTTATAATCTTTATTTACTGTACGAAAAGACAGAAAGTATTAAACGAATCCAAAAACTATAGGACAGTGATCCCTCGGTTAACGAATTACCTTCCATAAGATTCTTCACTTCGGTTAACGAAAATATTTCGGTTAATTAATTCCTTACAAATTTTTCCCCAACATGTTTTCGCTTGCATTTGGCTGCTCACCAGCTGTAGTATTAGTCCGACAGTAATCGGTTCTAGGGCTTAAATTCATTACCATTTTAGTAAATATCAAGAAGGTTGTGCTATTCAATCATTTTAAAAGTTTTATATTAAAATTTTTAGTCATTTTAACAATTATTGAACATAATTGAAGTACAGGAAACTAGTTTTTTGCGTACCAAACAGCCTGTCAACACACCAAGCTTGGCGTCAGTTTGTTTATCGGTTCAGAGGAAGGAACATCTTGTTTGAGACTCTTCAACATAAACACTTTTTTTCTGTTTCCAGTCAAATTATTGGTCATTCTGAAGTTTATTTTACATATTGACAATATATAATGCAGTGCAGTGTTGATTTAAAGAAAATAAACTTGAATTACACCAAGTGAACTAAAATTTTATGGGTGAAATGGCGACATGGGGTGACTTCTCTTCCACCCCAATGCCTTCTCTTTTCCCTTCTCCACCCCCATTTCCTTCTCTTCTCCCTTCTCCTCCTCCACCTCCCACTTCAAATTCACATCAGCATCATCATCCAGGAGCCTTTTACATACACACCTCAAAGTAAGTGTACTTTACTGCATTTTTTTATTGACTTTAAGTAATTTTTGGTGAGCTGGAACCAATTAACCAAAAACCCATTGAAACAATGGTTTCGGTTAACGAACAACCTTTTGGAACGAATTGTGTTCGTTAACCGAGGGACCACTATACTGTATAGCATAGGTAGCAAACAGCATCATGCGACGATCAGATGATGATCAACTTATCAAGGTGTACACTGTACACAATTTCACAAATAATTAATTTGCATTCTCATACAACCTATCGGCCTTGTTCATTATTCATGTAAATATGCAATACCAACCACATACACATTATACCAGTGCATTTTTATATAACTTATTGTTGGTCTTAGTCATGTAAATAAACAGAAAACTCTAAAATTTAATGAAAAGTAAGTTTTTAGAAAATTTTGTTTGGCGCACACCTTGGATGACATCCTGGTTATGAACTTATGCAGTACTTAGCATGACCAAATATATTGACACAAAAATATCCTAATTAAATTAACAAATAAATGAGAAATTAAATTATACATTAGTTTACAATTACATTCTATGATTCTTTCAACATACACTGACAGTCTTTATTTACTGTAAAAAAAAAAAGTATTAAACTTTAATAATCGAAAAATTCCATTCACTCCGGCTGCAGTGGCTGGGCCTTCTCCATCGCCTCGACGTGATGCTGGTTGCTCTTCATAAACATCAGCCTCTCAAAGTTGCCATCTGACAGGGTGGCTCTCTTGGCCCTCAAGATATCTTTGCCTATAGAGAATAGGCGCTCAAGTGCAGCACTGGATGGGATGGCGGTGCTATACTTGTTGAACAGGTCGATCAAGACATGCTCACCCAAGAAGGCGACGTCAGTCAGGACCTCCTTCGAGCCGGCCTCCAGCCAGGTCTTCACCAAGTTCTGTGCCTTGGACTTCAGTGACCTGTGGCTCCTGCTCTCCTGGGACTGAGTGATGCCATATAATAATGCAATAAACTTGTATAATTTTAGCCTCGTAACACAAAAAAAAAAAAAGCAACACAGAATCTCTGAATCACAGTAAAAAAAATTAGTTCTACAATAATAATCATTGCAACTTTAGCATTGTTTAAATATTTAAAATAAACAAATTGTATGAAAATACACAAAGAATCAATTTCAAGGGAAGTTATAAACTTATATAACAATACAAACTGCCACAACAAACTCTTCTACTGTACTTCTAAACGAGTCATAACTTGCAATACCTCCCACGAAAAGTATGAAAACATGAAAAAAATATGAAATACGCCATAATAATAATTTAATAAACTTGTATAATTTATAAATACCTTCTAAGATACTCCTCCAGCTGTTTATGGCTGGCCAAGATCCTCCTGCCCAGGGTGCGGCGGGACATCGACGTCTTGCTGGGGTTCAGCGTCTTGATCAGGCTGACAAAGGTTGGGGACTCCACTACATGCAGCGGTAGCATGTTGCAGACGAACAGGTCCACAATCCTTTTGTCCACCACAGACTGACGGACGCCAGTGCCAGCAGCTGATTGGCCAAACGCCTCGTCAATGGTGGGCTGGCGTGGTTTCTTTGCAGGTGGCTGCAACGACTGACTGCTGCTTCTGCTACTGGCACCGCTACCAGAAGACTGCCTGTGTTTCCCACGGGAAGAGCCAGCCTTGATCCTCTCCTCAAACTGGATGGCGTGCGCTGGGTGTTTCCTCTTGACATGCGACTTCAAGTTGTAGAGGCTTGTCGCCTGTCCCTTGATGGTAGTCTCCTTGGGCTGGCATATGACGCACTGGAAGTACAAGATGTTGGCGTTCCTCTTATCCCTTGACTTAAGGACAAAGTAGTCATCCAGGTGGGGCCACGGGCTCTGAGACTCCTGGGCCTGGCCCTCAGCCTGAGCGGTCTCACTCACAGCCACTGCAGGCTCCTCAACACGGTCAACAGGCCCACCTGGCCCAGCATCGTCAGGCGGAACAAAAACGTCTTCACCTTCCATAACAATAAGCGATAACGTACGCTGCTGTCACTGACACTGTAAGACTGCTTAGACTGTCTGTAACGTGACAACGTCATAAGTGAACTGAACTCAGAACTGCGGAATTACACAATGCTGCTCAGCTGCTGCAGCGCGGCGTCGACAGATCATATCTTGTCACGTTTACACGTACTAACACGCAGTCAACCAAGCGTGCCTGACTAGCTGTTGGAGACACGCGTCACGGAGTCACATGCTTACAACAGACAGGAACGAACATGTAAAAATTTTGTTAGTGGACTTAAAGTTAGCGTAACTAAATTTAGCGGAAGCTAATTGGTCCGCTAATGGTTCCAAAGTTAGCGAAAACGCTAATCCGCTAACGAGAAAGTTAGCTTCGCTAATTAGCGGTTAGCGGGACCGTGCTCACCACTGCATATTGTGTGACATTATCTTCTACCACGTGCATCAACCATCGCCACTATGTCCAAGAGGCCAGCTACTACATCATTAACTACCCCAAAGACCAAGAAATCAAGGCAAGCAATTACACTGGAGCAGAAAATCAAAGTGCTGGAAACACTGCAGTGAGGAAATTTGGGCTTCAAGTATAGGGCGCCAATTTGGGCAATGATGTGGATGATGAGCTGGTCGAGTTGGGCTCTGCATATTCAGAGGATGAATTGCCTAACTAAAGTTGAGTACTGTACTGTCTTTTCGTACAGTAAATTAAGATTATAAAGTGTGCAGTCAGTTCTGCTATAACGCGATAATTGTGTTCTTGTAAAATATCGTGTTATAGAAAATCGCGTAATAGAAATAACAGGGGCTTATGGAGAAAATAGGGTTAGGTGCAGATTACTACTCGAAATCGAAAAAAAATTAGTAGTTAGCCTAACACAAAGGATAGCACAGTCTAAATAAATGTTACATTCATATCTAATAATGAAATCATACAGTAAATGTAACACTTTACCTTGAAAAAATATGAATATAACTTGATGGGGGAGAAGGGTGGTTTTGAGGTTGATAACATCAAGCTTCTCTTCAAGAGTTATATCCTTTCTTTTACGATCATCACCGGGAATTCGATCACCAGAACGCTTCTTGGAGATATTCTTCTTTACCATATTCACAGTTAATACCACAAAAGTGGAGAAATAGTAAGCAAAAATCACGTTACAGCAAACAAACGTTCGCGTTATACAAATATCGTTCCTCCATTCATAAATCGCGTTAGAGCAAATTCGCGTTATCAAAACACGCGTTATAGCAGAACTCACTGTTGAAACTTGAATGTAAACTAATGTTTAATTTCATTTGTTCATTTAATTATTTGTGTACACCTTGATCATCATCTGATCTTGGCATGCTATACCTTTTTGGAAAGCTCTATGTCTAAGCTACAAGACAACATATGAAAATTTCAGCTCTCTAGGTCTGTTTTTAAGGGTTTTAGAGGCCCCACCCCCCCTCAAAAAACGAAGCTAAATTCATATAATAAAAGTTAGCAGCTAGCATTAGCTTCCGCAAATTTTTTTAGCTGTTTAGCGTTAGCTAAGTTAACTTTTTAGTTAGTGGTTAGCGAAGCTAACTTTTCGTTTAGCTGTGCCCACCACTGACAATATGTCTGTTCACTAGAGCATCAGCGCGAGAACTGAAGATGCATAAGGGTGTGGGAGGGTGGCGGCCAGCCTTGTGGCGTGCCCAAAGAAGCATCTGGTGGGAAACATTAGGTGCGAAACTTAAAATAGTGTGTATTTCCATATGATGTGTCAGATTGACTCGCATAAAATAGGAAAGATTCGCTTTAAATTAATACATTGTCCTTTATTGTGGGTGTCACTTTAAATCAATAATTTTAAATTGAATTGCTTTAAATCGACGTTCTACTATGTTTGGCGATCTTGTTATGGGGTGGTCTTAAGGAGTGGTCTTCCTTTAGGGCGGTCAGATAAACTTCCACTTTCTTCCCATCTGCGCAACCACAAGCTTACCGTTGCTGTAGAAATTCCAAGTTTTGTTGCAATGTTTCAAATAGATCGACCACACTCTCATGTCAACTATTCTTTCTCGTAGAGCCACTCTATCCCCGTGCTGATTCATTGGGATTCCCAGATGCTTCTGGCCACTCAGAGGTTTGCTGTTCCATCAACAACTCAGACACCACACTGACATGAGGTATAATAAACTACCGTACTTGAAATGTGGCAGTTTTATGAAGGCATAAAATTGCTGTACACTGAAGTAGTACTATATTAGTTGTTACTCGGTGACCCATCAAGCCTTCCAAAACATGAGACATTTTTGCGAGGAAAGGATAAATATGAATGAGTGTTGTGTCTCTTTGTCGATATATAGATTGTTGGATATGTTAAAGTTGTTGTATATTAGAGTGCTACTTTTTAATGCAGGGACAAAAAGACAGCTTATTGAACAAGGGAACAGATAAAAGTGAAAGACATACAGTGGAGTCGCGATATTCAAATTCTTGGGTGCACAAGTTCCCACTCCAGACTAGAGCTCAGCTGCAGGGTTTCCATTTGGTATTTTTCCTCACAATATAACAGTACTGTACCAAAATCAAGGAAATTTGATAATGAAAAACGTGTTTAGTTATGAAAAATATGGTGTGGTAATGATGATATGCTAAAAGGACCTGGATACAGTACAGTATCACGACAAAAAGTTGATAAATTTTCTGCTGAACTGTTTGATCGTACATCAGAGGGGAAGGCGATACCTTGGCAGTGCTGTATGACTAAACTCCCAGTGAGTGTGCCAATAGATTTATTACATGCCAGTTAAACCATCATTAATTTTGTCTTTATTATGTTCATTTCTATGAATTTGTAAAACAAAAGTAATTTAAAAAAAAGGATTTAGTACAGTGGCTGCAAAATCAGAGTTGGCAACCATATCTCAGCCTCCTACACACAGTCATCCCATCAACAGCACCTGCTAGTCTCTTTTTCCACTGCACGAAGATGTCGAAGTAGGTAGCTCCAGGTGAGCTGGACCAGCTGGTGCTGCCGAGTCCAGTGAGGTATCCATTTCTCCACAATTCGATGGATTGAAGCTCATCAGATGATGATGTGTGAGGTGCTGCAAAGTTACTACACAGCTGCTGCTGGTGAGTTTTTAACTTGTGATACGTAAATAAGTGTCTGAATTTTAATAGCCAAGTGTTGTCAAGTGAATTAATGTGTTGCCATGTTAAATCTGGTGAACAAACAAAAATTTGCTTTTAAGTTTGAGAAAATTAAGCTCAGCATAACATAATTATATTTTCTATTTACATCGGTACGAGAATTTCACCTCTCACACACTGCCGCCAACCACAGGTGCCCACCACCTCCCCACTCCCACTCATCCAGTGTAGCGCTGCCCATCTCACTATTGGTGTACTGTAATGGTGGAAGGTAAGTAGCTGTTAATGTAATGTACAACTACTTTTTCATTAATATCTGAGTGTCTGTATTTTCTGATGCATTATTTATGATACAAGTGCTCCTCTACTTATGAACGAGTTACATTCCTGAGGCTTGTTTGTAAATCCAACTTTACTCTTGTAGATACCAAACATATCGTAAAAAATGAAAAGATTATGGATATTTAGTACAGCTATACCCTTTAATACAGCCTTAAAACCTGGTTCACTCTTCTCCTCTTAGGTAATATTTGTTCTGTCTGGAATTTTCTTCAAAATAATCCAGTCTCATCCACATTAAACACCTGTTTTGGCAGGTAACCCCCCTCAATGATGATGTTTGTATCTCTGAAAGTTTGTAAGTTGAATGTTCTTAAGTAGAGGAGCACCTGCTTTGTGTTTATTAAAGTAGTTTGGCCTCTGGAACTTGCTATTTCCATTTTAATTAAATTAAATGTAATTTGCCATTTGATAATTCACGATGTCTTCTGGTACCTAACCCATGAATTATCCAGACTCTATTGTACAGTATAATTTTCACAACCAAAAAGCAGAACTGGACATAGGCAAGTCACAGCTATTATTGCATGGACAACTAAATTGAGAGTTTAACAACCCAGAGATGAAGCAACAGCATGTGGTAGGTGGAGAACCTGGAAGAGGGATGAACAGCTTAAATTTGCTAACCTGTGTGGATGACTGGTTTACCTTAGGGAGGAGGGGACAGATAAGCAACCGCTTATCTTTACATTAATCTGGTGTTCTGGATTGCCCCTCTACTCACCAGAAATATATTTAAAAATCAGGAAAATCCTGCATCAGTCTGGACGTTTTGTGCATTCGTACGTGCAATTGAACATACATTTGTGTGTGGGTGGTACACGTGGCACGTGACTCAGTCTGAGTCCTGTCTTCATACATATACAGTATCAGCCAGGGCTGAATCATACTCACCTGAATGCGAGTGGAAAATCTTTAAGGCGAGTCAGATTTAGAAAATCACTAGAACAGTTCTCGAATTTACCTTCAGTTTCTCTACAGAACTTTCTAAAAACTATACTGATTGGCATAATATAAATACTGATATACAGTATAACAATGTGATGTGCACGAGAATGGGTGCTTATTGTTTAAGACTCATCAGCTGACTCATCGACGGAGGCACCACCCAGGAAAAGACATGTAGTAACGTATATTTTACCTAAAAATTAATAAAGACAGATTAATACAGAAAAATTATTTATCAAGACAATACGAGGAAGAACATTCATTTGTCAGACCCTTTTGACCCAAAATGACTTGATTTATTCACACTTGACTTCACAGATTTGCAGTAGAGTTGTTAATTCTATGATACCTCTTAGTAATTTGCAATCACACTTGTAAGAATAAGATACAGTACATTACAGTACAGTAATCACCTCTCGATTTGCACAGATTTAATTTGCAAATTTTTAAAATAACACCTGTAGTAATACATTAATATCTATTTTTAAAATATATATATATTTTTTTTTAAAGAGCACAGCTTTGAAAAGAGCACCACTGTGCCAGGCAGTGTAGTTCAGTGCCTCATTGCTTTCCTACTTTACGAAAAAGGAAAAAGTAACATCACCTGAACCTCAGTCATCAACAACTGGCATCTCAAAAGCTCCCATTTCTCCTCCCCCATCACCTACTCTGTCATCTGATTCAGGTGACTCCCTCCCCCAGTAACCCTCCACCACCACCAGTTCCCGCAAGCCATCCCACCCATCATTCAACGTAAGTTTTAGCACAAATTTTCATTTAATATCTATTTTCTTAAGACTGTATTATTAGGTTTGCTTCTATTATTGAATTGTTATTTTATTTATTATTATTATTACCTATTGTATTATTTGTTATTATATTACTGTAAATAAAACGTATTGAAGGAATTACTGTAAATAAACAAATTGCTGTTTTTAAGGAGCCTTTCCCCTAATCCTTGCCATTTCCTCTATTTCTTATGGGATAATTAAGTTTGATTTACAAGGCCACTCTCAAGAACGTAACTACTGTACCATGTAAATCAAGAGATGGCTGTACAGTACTCCCTCTTTATCGACGGATTTTTTATCGACGGTTTCGATTATCGACGGATTATTTAGACGGATTTTTATTTTGGCTTTATTTGAACTCTGCGGGCCTTGTTTGTACTTTCGCCGCTAGGCGGCACTAGTGGCGTGACTAGCGTCTACCCGCGGCCCGCCTTCCCTGAACACAGACATCAGCCAAGCCGCGTGGGCAACAGTCTTTGATTTTCAACTTTTGCTGGTGGTTCATCACATCAACTTATATCACCATGCCTCCCAAACGACC